GATCCATGATGTCAGCCTGGAGACAAAGCGCAGCGTTTCGGGCATCACTCGCTGGTCTAGCGTGGCTCCTTTGAGGTTGCGTTCATCAGGCTCTTCGCTCTCAGCTTTGATAACAAGATGGCTCATCAATCGCTGATAAACGATGAGATTGCCAAGCACAACAAGGTGTGCTTCCCCCTGGCACCCAAGCAACCAAGCATCTAGGCGATACTTGGAGTGGTAGGGATGCAAACAGAGGCCTTGTCAGGAGACGGAGACACAGCACTTTTCGGAGAGACTTCCCAAGGGCCGACGATAACAAGTCAAGAAGCATCGTCTATCCTGGCTCCATGGCGGTAACTCGCGGCGTTCAGTCGGACTCATCACGGTTCAGGACGAAAAGGCGGTCCTCTTCCACAAGGGTTAGAAGGGCTATTTTGTCGGTGGAGATTCGAAAATGATAACAGAGCCTGCAATCCTGCAACTAAAAATGTCCATTCTCTCCTAAGTAAGTAAGATATGGCATATCGTGACCTTGCAGCACTAGCCGACTGGTTCGGATACTGCATCCATGCGGAGAATTATTTGGAAAAAAAAAAAAATCCTTCTCTATAGTATTCCCAACCAGACGTCACTGGTTGCAGTTTCTCCATACAGGGCTCTAAGAAGGGATGATTTTATGTTAGCCAAACGTAAGATTCGATTTGCTTTGCACATCAACAGGGACCTGGATAGGAGGTAAAACCACTTGCAAGCAGCATCGGGTGGAGAGAGGTTGGGATTAATGGCCTTCGGTAATGCTCTCCGACAGGAGGAAGTTGGCCGTACTCCGTAGGCTCTTGTTTCACTCCACGGAAGCTGAGCTTGACGGCAGCCACCGGGTTCCTGTAATGCTTGTCTTCCGGCACCTCTTATCTTTCGGCATATCCTTCGCACCCTCTCTTTGCCGTTCTCTCGATGCTGGTACTCCGTAGCGGTGGTGGTGATGACGATGATGTCGATTTGACGTTACTTATGTAGATCCGCAAGGGGGGTCAACACTCCTGTCACATGACCCGCCCTCGAAAAAGCCACTTTTTCTTCTTCTGCCTCGAACGACCAACGTCAACGAAACAACGAACGTCGGGCTCGTATTCACCATGTCCACAGTGTGTCCTACGCTTGTTTAGCTGATCTAACAACTTCTGGAAGCTTTCCTTTTTTTTCTCTTCCGTCCGTGAAACCTAAGCAAGGCGCGCTCGCCCGTCTTCAAGCTTTGCACCCTTTGACCCTGAGTCGGAGTCGCCCCCCGCCTCCATTATTGTTAATTTTGGCCTGGGGGCGTAACCAAGCCTTCGATTCGGCCGCCATCAATGCACTCACCAGCGACGGATAACACTAATACGCCGCGTGATGGGCTAACAAATATATCCTCCAATGGAATACTCCATATATGACAAGAGAACGAGAGCGAGAGGACTCCCCAAATCTCGGCTTGACGCATTTGTTCCAGTGCCCAAGTGGCTGTCACTGTCAGACTCCAGACAGGGGCCCCATGCCGCTGAAATTACAACCCCGGACGACAGGGATCTTAACTCACGTTAGCCTGCAATCTCCATGAAATTTCATACTTTTGGTGCATAATAGCGATAAATTATATGGCTGTCCCGAACGCTTGCATCAGAGAAGCCCCCGTTTGATAGGTTGGGCGGTTTGTGGGAGTCTCATCACGGAGTAACTCGCCATGTCTACGCAGGTCACCACCGGCTTCTTCCCGGCACCGCACCAATAGGATCCAAGGGTACTAATACCACATACGCCCAAACTATATACGGGGTGAACACGCTTTTTCGGGACGCTTGACGGAGTACTCGACCCAGCTATGGAGATGGCGTTAAGTCGGAACCTCTCCCTCTCTGCAACCCTAGAATGGTTAAACGGGAGTCAATAGGGCCTTTGCCCACTTTTTTTGCAAATTTTTTACTTTTTCCTCGCGTTTTTGCACAGTAGGCTATGGTTGTGTTCTTTTGGGGCTGATATAAATACTACCCTTTGCGCCCACCAAGGCGCAGCCTGCTGCATTCTCCCTCCGACCTTGCCCTCTCCCGCCTCAAGACTGACGGTGTTGAAGCTCTCCCACGCGGCACCGTATTTATAGAGTGTCTAGAGAGCCCTTGTCGGCGTGTCGAACTAGCTGCCTCAATAGCCCCAGTCCAGGCCAGACGTCTCCGGCTTTTGCCAACCGCCCACGATGGCGACCTGGGAACAGAAAGATGGCCCTCTCAGTGAGACAATGCAGACGAAGGAGGAGTTTTCAGATCAGACCGGCGAGATACAGTATGAGACCGATCCAAACACCAGCTTGCACCGTGGACTGAAATCCCGGCACATTACTATGATTGGTAAGCTATGATAGATCCAGCTTGCAGCTTGGACGATATCGCTAACAGCTGTTAATAGCTATTGGCGGTGCAATTGGAACTGGTTTGATTATTGGTACTGGAGCTGCTTTGGCAAAAGCTGGTGTAAGTTGAATTTCCGCGTTAAGCCATGAGTTTCCACTGCAAAGCGCTAATGTGATAACCTTCAGCCCGGGTCCGTTTTTATTTCTTATCTCATCGTCGGTTTCGTCGTCTGGATTGTTATGAGCGCGCTTGGTGAGATGGCCGCATGGCTACCCCTTGCCAGTGGTTTTACTGGATATGCCGTTAGATTTTGCGACCCTGCTCTTGGCTTTGCCCTGGGTTACAGGTTAGTTCCTGCACCTGCATGTATGCGGTTTTGTTCTTTTTTTACATTATCTTTGCTAACAAGTTGTGATAATAGTTATTACTGCAAGTATATTATCATCACGCCGAATCAGCTAACTGCTGCTGCACTGGTCATACAGTACTGGGTTAAGCGAGATAAAGTGAACCCCGGAGTATGGATCACCGTTTTCCTGATCGTCATTGTCGCGATCAACTACTTCGGCATCAAATTCTTCGGCGAGTTCGAGTTCTGGCTCTCCTCGTTCAAGGTCATCATTATCCTTGGAATCATGCTCCTGACTCTCATCCTTGCCCTCGGAGGCGGTCCCGATCATGACAGGAAAGGGTTCAGATACTGGAAGGATCCAGGAGCGTTTAACACCTACCTTACCCACGGCGCATCCGGCCGATTCCTTGCTTTCTGGTCAACTATGGTTCAAGCCACTTTCGCTTATCTCGGAACTGAGCTTGTTGGTGTAACTGTCGGCGAAGCTCAGAACCCTCGAAAGACGATTCCCCGTGCTATCAAGCTTACCTTCTACCGAATTCTCTTCTTCTACTGTCTCAGCATTCTCTTCCTCGGAATGGTTGTGCCATACAACCACCCAGACCTCCTCTTTGCAAACAAGTCTTCCAACAGCGCCAGTGCATCTCCATTCGTCGTGGCCATCCAGATCGCCGGAATCAAGGTTCTTCCATCCATCTTCAACGCCTGTATCCTAATCTTCGTTTTCTCTGCCGCCAACTCCGATCTCTACATTGCAACCCGAACCATCTACGGTCTGGCTCGTGAAGGCAAAGCTCCCGCTATCCTTGCCAGAACCAACCGCAGCGGTGTCCCTATCTACGCCCTTGCACTCTCTACCATGTTTGCCTTGCTCGCATACCTGAACGTCTCGGACGACTCCAAGGTTGTGTTCGGCTACTTTGTGAACATGGTTACCATGTTCGGTCTTCTCTCCTGGATTTCCATCCTGGTAACACACATCTACTTTGTGCGTGCTCGCAACGCCCAGAACGTTCCAGAGACGTCCCTTGCCTTCAAGGCACCATTAGGTGTTCCTGGCTCTTATGGTGCTCTCGCCTTCTGTATCCTCATCGGCCTCACCAAGAGTTTCAACGTCTTTGCTCACAGCCCCAAAACTTATGGTAACTTCGACTATAAAAACTTCATCACCTCTTACCTCGGTATCCCTATCTATCTCATCCTTCTCTTCGGATACAAGTTCTACACCAAGACCTCTGGCGTCAAGGCTGCAGAGGCCGATCTCTGGAGTGGAAAGGATGAGATCGATCGTGAGGAGGCTGAGTTCCTGGCCCAGGAGGCTCTCAGGAGAGAGCAGCAGGGTGATGCCGGCTGGTTCTACAGGACATTCGTATCCTGGCTATTCTAGACATCATGTTTACGACCCAGCGTTGATGTTTCTTATGAATAAATACAGTTTCATGCCTTTCTTCTATTTTTGAGTGAATCTTTATGGAGTATATAAGATAATGAAAGCCATATCTCTCTCAAATTTGTCTATATATACTCTGTAACTAGTTATTCTGGCAGCGTCTGGTCTCGTCGCTTCGCTTCCTCAGGCCCGACTCGTTTATGCACGGCCGACAGGGTTAACCAACACTAGCTAAGCAAGTCAACTCACGACGTCCCTCTGATTTCTCGTCAACAAAAGAAGAAAAGGCTCAATCCCGCATTTGCCCACCGCTGTGATTGGCGTATATATGCATGCAGATATCGAATGTGCAGGAAATAAAGAAAGATGGCTGGTCGATGACTCGCTAACTCTTTGGTGATTCAGTGTCTGCTGGCGATGCTCGCCCCCTCTCCCCCTGCAGCCGCTCCGTTCTTTATCAGCTAACTACGACAAAAACAAAGTTGCGACAGGGGATTCATTCTCAACCTCACCACCGCACACTTGACACGGTTCACGCTGCTGATAGCCTTGCGGACCTGTCAAAACGTGCCAATGCTACTTCTATCGCTTCATTAATATTTGCGCTACTCGTCGTCTTAAGTTGTTCGTCGCGTTGAGCGTTTGTTTTGAAGCTTCTCTTCGTCTTGCGCAGCGATAACTAACGAACTGTTTGGATATCAACGTCCTCATCACAACCTGAGTACTTGCATGGCGGGGTTATAATTTCCAACTCAGCTGGACATTGGCAGGTATATATTGTATCCTATCTGCATCCTCTTGACATTTGATGTATAATCTTCCTTCTCCTGACGATGCTAATGTTCAACTTAGCTCGTTAGTTACATGTGCTTAACGGACTCCCTCAGATACCACAATGAACAAGCAACGAAAAAAATCCGGCAAAGATCTTGAGCGGATAATTGAAGACATAAACATTGGTTTTGACCTCGATTTACCAAGGGTACAATCCCAAGGCTCCTCCGAAAGTTGTCCCGCTGAACAGAAATGCGTCAACCACATTATCTACCTGTACTGGCAGGATCATCTCCACGAGCCCCTAATGGAGTTATTCAAGTGGGATAGACAACAATTCCCCAACCGCCAAATATCTGGGAGATCCTTTCAAAGTCATTTTGCTGACCCGCTCTCATCTACTGCGCTACGGCGGGGGCTTGACGAGCGTTTGAGGCTGCGTTCTGAGAAAGAAAAAGCCGGGGTTTATGAATATTGGTCTAAAATACTATATGATGCTGCTTGGATGACGAAGTACAACTTAGCTGAAAGCACCTCTCCCGCGCGACCGACCAGCTCCGCGGACACGTCAACCATCGATACCCCTGATAAATGCATACCGGAAACAAACGGCAATAGGTCAGCTAAACGGAAGAATAAAAACAATTCTGAGGTATTTTCCACCGCGCCTTCATCCCCCATTTTTGAATTTGACACATGTTCATCATCCGATGCTTGCGACGGTGGCTACGGTTCTGATACCTATACGCTCTCCGATTTTGATAAGTTTGATGGATTTGATTTTGATTTTGCTGTGGAAGCTTTGACTGATATTGATGGTGAGAATCCAGACTCCCTCTAAGAAGCGCAAGCAGCTAAAACTTGGAGATTATGGAATTGTCCCCAGCGCACCCGCGAAAGGGTCCGCGCCGTGTACGACATCTCCTCGAATTGATACGTTGCAGTCCAAAATAAACGATGGGATGATTGTGAAGAAAAGTCCCAGTCGCAGCATGCGCCCTGGGCTGTCGAATTCGAAGGGCCTTTCCTTCAACGATTCTACCAGCCCAGGTCGAAGCTTTTCCTCAACGACTGTATCCACTGTGCCAAATTCTCGTGTTACCACGCCCTTGACTTCCTTTGCAAGTGCTACGTTTAGGTTGCCAAGATATCCGGTGATGCGTATCTCTCCCACTCTCACGCCATTAGATGAAGGAAAGCTCATTCCAATGCTTTCGGACCTAGTGACCAAAGGCCCTTTCTCCAAACGGCTTGAATGGTTTAAAGATGTTCCTCTACGGCTTCGATATGAAGTTGAACGCTTGGCGCGGGCGTGTGATATCATGCCTGAGACCATACTCTCGGAAGATATCCTTATTGAAGACCAATCTTATCATACTCTTTTCCAAATCTTGTCTCGTGGGCCATACAAAAACAAGATTGAAAAGCCAAAGTTGGGAGTTTGGAGGGTAGCAACCGAAAGCTACATGGATCCCGAAAAACGGACCATGGTAGTTTTCAGTGGCCAGCTTGAGTGGAAGGATGAGAGATTGGTCCTAGTTCTGAACCCACTGAAGCTTGAAAAGAGCCACAGATTCGCTCGAAGATACGGGGCTGATAGGTTCCTGGAGGTATTACTCCCTTCAAAGCATCCAACCAAAAGTGGACGTGATGCAGAGATCTTTGGGAAAGCCTTAGGCAAATGGCTTTCGAATGAGTACCATTACCTTCTTGGCCGTAGATGGCGTGCATTCTATTTGGAGGACCTTAAATCAAAGTCGAAGACAACTTCCTTCAGTGGCTCTGGGCGTAAAGCGTTCCTATTTGCCGTTGACGGTGAGGATTTCCTTGGGACTCCTTCAGGGATTTCGCCGATGGATGAGACTTCGGAGAACCACGCCCCTATGACGGTTGAGCAGCTGGTTGACTGGCACATTCACTATGCCAGGAACACCCATCAGGAATACTCCAAACTGTTTACTAGAATCCGCCTAGGACTCTCGAGGACCACAGCGACCATTACTCTTCGGCCGGAGGAATTCATTTACGATGATGATCCAAGACAAGAAAAAATGAGTGACGGATTTGCCATGATGTCCCGCTCGTTAGGAAGAGCAATTGCAGATTCCCTGTGTCTATCCAAGGTTCCAACCATTTTCCAAGGTAGAATTGCCGGAGCTAAGGGAATATGGCTTGTTGCCAAAGATGATCAGGACATCCACGTGAAGGGACTTCGAAATTTTGAAACTGAGAGAGGATATTGGCTGGTCATCAATGCATCCCAGCTGAAAGTGCAGCCCCCCCCCCTTGTGATACTAGTTTGATGTTCGATGAGCACCAGTTGACTTTTGATGTCTCGTCATACTCCCAGCCTCCCCAACCGGTGCATTTGAATATCCAGTTTTTGATGGTACTGCAAGACAGAGGTGTCAACAAGGAGTACATACTCTCTCTCATCCCAGACGAAGCAGATAAATTTTACAGCGAATTCTTACTCGTCCAAAACGGAGATCCCGTAGCCTGTCGAGCCTGGGTCAGGAAAAATGGAGGAGATGCATCCTCTCAAATCCCGGCTTTGAATGAGAGTACTTTCCCCACTAACCACACTGCACAACTCAACGGGCTTCTTGATGCCGGGTTTTCACCCTCGAACCTTGCATTCGTACGAAGACTATTTAAAGAGAATTCTCTAGGTGGCTTTGTGCAAAAGCTTGAAGCCCTCAAAATAAAAATCCCACAGTCGACCTACGTATATTGTATACCTGATCCCTATGGTGTGCTTGAAGAAGGCCAGATTCATCTCGATCTTGGGGATAGCTGGGAAGACGGCACCACGGACTTGGATGGTATCGATGTGCTGGTTGCTCGAGCTCCTGCTCATTTGCCTAGTGATATACAGAAGTGCCGAGCTGTATTTCATCCTGCACTAAGATACCTGAAGCACGTGGCTATCTTCCCCACCAAAGGCGACGTTCCTCTTGCTTCCCTACTTTCCGGCGGTGATTATGATGGTGATGAAGTTTGGGTTTGCTGGGACCAGGAGATTGTTAAACCGTTCGTTAACTATCCCATGCCAGAAATCCCGGAACCTGAGGAATACGGCCTTGTGAAGGTGTCTCGACGTGTCGGGGACATGCCATTCGACCGTTTCATGGAATACGCATTCATTTTCAATATGTCGCAAAACCCTCTTGGCTTGTGCACCAACGAGCATGAGAGGTATTGCTACCATCGGGGTGGCATTGGTTCCCCTCTTGCAATACATTTCTCGGGTTTGCTTAGCCACCTTGCAGATATACGAAAGTCCGGGTACGAGTATCCGGCGGAAAATAGGCAAAAATACCGTGAAAGCCTGGGCCCATTAACCCTGCGAAATCCAGCTTATAAAATCGACAAGGCATCTGAGCAGGACGGAGAGCCTATTACCTGGAAGTCGGACAATATCCTCGACTGCTTGAGGTTTGAAGTTGTTGAAACGGTTAAAGCGAGGATCTACTCTCGCCTAAACAATGACTGCCCTTCGATTAATATTCCCAAGGTAGATGAAGATCTCATAGCAATCTGGAAGAAAACCTGGGACCGCGCAATTCAAGAAAGGAACTCTGGGTGTTCCAAATTATTGGATGCTATCAACAAGCTCCGAGAACAGGTTGAGGCGGCCTCTGAAACCTATCGAAGAGTAACCGACAAGCTGTCCCATGCAGCTAAAGTTACGTTTGCCGCTGAGTCCTTGATGGCCATTAAGCCCCCTGATATTGACCATCCTGTTGCTATTGTCTGGAGAGAGTCCGCTTATGAATGGAAGAACCTGCTGGCTTCATGTGCGTACCAGTGTTCGCCAGATTCCTGGTTTACATGGCACGCCGCGTTCAAGGTCCTTTGTGATATGAAAGCCAGAGCGAACGGCCACTGGTACAGCGTCCAAGCGCCTATCTACCATAGATTGACAATGAACAAGTCAATGATGAAGAAAATCGAGACAGATCGCCGTAAGGCAGAGACAGAGGAAGAGCTGTTACTCCTGAGATCTCTTGAGGAACAAGAAATCCTCGATAATGATAGCGATGATGACTGGTATTCAGTTGTATGATTTTGAATTTCGGATACCCGATTTTATTTTTACATTCATCCCTTTCCTCCCTTTCTTTTATTTTGGCTTTTAGAGCAAGATACCCTTATTTATGCATGTTCTTTTTTACGAGCGAACTGCGAACGCAACATACACTTTAGCAAGCAAGTCTCTGGTGATTATTATGTTGATTTTGATAGACCAGGATAGAGTGTTGGAGTACAAGTACTTTGAGTACTATTTTGGCTCTTCATGTGAAACCCACCAGTCCCCGCTCGAAACGCTACAGGTTGGCCATGATGAACTAAACCTTGAATTTTTTTTTGGTTTGTTGGGGTTTGCGACTGTTTATCTTGTTCCTTCTAGGTTACAGAATCCCTTGAGTGGTGCCATGTACGATTATTCATACCATGTGGTTATCTGAGGCAAAGGTGTTGCTGGGTTTATCCATGTTGCTGTTTGATGAGACGGCAAGTTTCGATTCTGATCAAGAGAGATACCCTACGAACTACTTGCATCACAATGTTAGATTAAGTTTATCTAGAATCCGATGCACTGTTCTGACATCGACTCCATCTCTAGACATGGATTAGCATTGTCCATCCGTTTGTATGTATGTACTTGTACATTGCCCTTCTTGCCCCGGGGCTTGTCCCAGCCCAGCAGACTGTCTCCCCCCCGTTTGGTTTTACGTAAATGACAAACCACGTGTTTTGCTTGAGCTGGTCTCGTCTTAATACGAGGATATGTGACGGATCAACTCTGGCATCTGGCTTCGGCAGAGGACGCCTTTTGGCAGACGTCCATGACATGATCAAGCAAGCAAAACATGGCGCAGCTGCCGGACGTCGTTCCACCCTCCCTTATCGCCGCCGTCGCCGTCGCCATCCGCCGGCGCTTCGTCCCCTTCGGCCGCGGGCTTATCGCCTTATCGTTATCTGATTAGATAAACATTCAAATCGAAAGTCTTGGCGAGTCGTGATTTTGTACCTTCCAAATAAGGAAATAGGGCGCTTCTCCCTCCAGCCAATAGAATCACAGCGATCCATGACTAAGCCAAAATCACATGCTGCAGCCCCCAAACAGTCACATGTCACGAGCTCGCGCATTTTTCTGTTTTTTTTTTTTTTTTTTTTTTTTTTGTTTCTTTGCGTCGTTTCAAAGGCGACGAAAGCGCGAGATCTGCTGTCTGTCCAGCCAGTGAAGGCTCTTCCGGGCACTGCTGGCCTCCTGGGGGTTCCATCCCGCTTGCTGAATTGCTGGCCGTGGACGTGGTGATTGGCATCTGTGCTGCTGTGTATACTATATTACTACTTACTTGCTCTGAGTTAACTAACTCAACGTAACTAAACTAACTAACTACTGGGTAGGTTGTGGATACCCGCCTCGAGGCTGAGCTTCTTTTTTCTTCTCTTTTATCACACGCAGGCTCCCAACCCTTGAAACTCCCCCAGCAAGCTCGAACGAGTGGCCTCTCCTCTCCCTCGTCCTTCTCGTCTGCTACATATACTCGCCCGTTCTCGTGGGAAACCAGAGCAATAACTCGCCATCAAGCCATCGCCGTCCCGAGTCCGGTGTTAATATACAAACTAGATCCCCCGACGCCAAGACAAAAACTACCCGTCGTCTTCACGTGCAAAATCCGCAAACGGCAGAGCGACGACGAGCAGTTGGAACAGGCGGTTGTCGAGCGCGGTTGGGACATGAGATAGCTGCTTCGTTTTCTCTCTCTTCGTCTTTGCGGCACGGCAACATGACAATGATCCAGGCCTTCCCGCCTAGTAATGCAGGAGGCCAGGCCGCTGTCCAGCAGCTCGAGTCGCAGAATACCCCGTTGGCGCTTCCGGGCTACACGCCACAGCACCAGCAGCAGTCGCAGGCCATGACCGACTCTCCTCCCCCCCAATACCACCCTCCCAGCGCGGAGCAAGCAAGCTCCAATGACATGGAGGTAGACAGCGTTGGCAGTGACACGCGCTCGAGACGCGGTACCAGTGTCATCTCCATGGACGATATTGAGGCCGCTCAGGCTCTAGAAGGGCTACGCTCAGGTATGATAATCTTCTAGTGTCAACCAACTGTTCTTTTATTTTTTATTTTTTTATTTAAGGATCTCTGTCTGACTGATGCTGTGATCAACTAGAATACACGCATACTCCTGCTCCTTCAAGGTCTTCTAATAACGCTACCTCTCAAGCTCCGGAAACCACAGAGCCAGAGCCGTTGTTATCCCTTATCACATCACACCCGTTGCTCTCGTCCGCAATCAACAGCTCAATGTCGGTCTATACGTCGTCCAAAACATACTCTCCCAAGTTCAGATACGGCGCCGAGTTCATTGAACGGAACATTGGCCCCCAAGTTCTGAACACGGTGGGCTCGGTTGGCAGGCGGACCGGAGTTGAAGGCGGCCTCCGCTGGGCCCTTCAGCGTAGGGAGAGCGTCAACAACAAATCCAACGCCAACTCCAGTTCCAATAGCAATAGCCAGGCCGCAGAGACAGCAGACATCGAGAAAGGCATGCACGACCTCCGAACCAGCCATTCAAGACGGTCATCAACCCTTTCGTCTGAACCCCTACCACCTTATGATAACGCTTCTTCCCCGAAATACGACGAGCTGTACAAGGGTAATCAACAGCCCCAGCAGCAGTCTCAGACCCAATATTCCTGGCAAAACCGGCTCATGATATCCACTTCGGGTCTCGGAGTAGCAATGAGCGAAGAATCGCTCAGAAGCTTGACCTATTGTCTCACCTGGCTGCAGTGGGCAAACAGGCGGATCGGGGCGTCCGTGGGCAGTCTCAAGGAGGCACTTAGGGAGTGGGACACTTCTAACCAGCTTAATACGGAAAGCAGGACAAGTGAAGAAGGCAGTCAGCAGCAAAGCCCTGCAATACTCTCACAGCAAATTCAGCAGGTCAAAGGGGATGTCCTGCAGACGTTGAAGATGGTGGTCGACGTTGTGTCCAAGTACGCTGGTGGAGCCTTGCCCGAGAACGCCCGCAACCTCGTCCGAAGACACCTCACATCTCTACCGCAGCGGTTCCGTATTGCGTTCAACTCCAACGTACCGGCAGATGGCTCTGCTCCTGAATCTGAAATGAGAACAAGGGCTTTCCGTGTCCTCGTGCTGGCTGAAGAAGGCCTTGATATGATGGGCCAGGTTAGCAACGTCGTAAATGATACTCTCGTCAGCGCCGAAAACTGGTGTGATACACTACGACGACCGAGGCCATCTGCAAGCAGCAGCAGCAACAACAACAACGATAATAATAATACCAACACACAAAACATGCCACAACCTCCCCCTTTCGATAGTGACCTGGACCGCAAGGTTCCTATCCCCATGCCAGCTCAACGAGAAGACGTGGAGATGGATGGTTAAAAGCAACGGTGTACTTGTCTTGCGGAGATGATTTAATGTCCTATAATATACGGCTGCCATCTTATCACTTTCTATGCACGTTTATGGCTCTGCTGAGCTTCCTTTCTCATTTTTCCTCTTTCTTTTCTTTATACCCCCTTGTTTTCCAAAACTTGAATGGCCGTAGGCCAAGCGTCTTCTTTCCTTTCCTTTGTCTCCCTCTTTTAGGATCCTCTATTGTTCTCACGATGTATTCTGGCTGTCGAATATGTTGCTACCGTGTTCTAACTAGGCGTTCTTCCTTGGGAGTCTGGATATGCAGAAAATCGTTCTTTAGTAGACCCATAAACTGTTTAGGACTCTGTTCAGTCATGCTCCAATAAATGGGCTTTTTCTTTTCAAGTATTCTCATCCCTTGCAGTAGGTGTTTTTGGTGAGTCATCACTCTAGGGGGCGAATATCACAGCCCCTTTTTTTGATGCTTGTAGACTCTACTAACGGCGGATAACCACGCTACAACTAAGTATAAAGCCTTCCTAGGTATATGTGACTACGCTAGAGAAGATGTACAGTAAGAGGAATAAGTATGTTTATGCACCGGCCAGACCACTTTACTATTACACTCGTAGATGAGGATATACTACAGCACAGGACTACCATATCTTACAGTGACTACGGTGAGCTACAGTTACGGAGCTACGGTGACTACGGTGACTACGAGGAGATGATGGAGATAGAAGTTGAACGCAGCAAATACATTTATTGACTGACTACATGATTGTTAACAGGACAGGCAAACATACATGCGTGCATACATACATACAGGCAGGCAACAGAACATAGAACATTCAAATCAAATTTTTTTTGGGTTTTTTTTTTTTTTTTTTTTTTTTTTTTTTTTTTTTTTTTTTTGGTGTGCAAGATGCACACGAGAAGAAGGAAGAAGAGACAGAACATTTTAGGTCTTCTTCTTTTTCTCCTTCTCCTCCTTGTTGTCACGCCCCTTGTTGTTGTTGCGCAACGGTGTGGTGACGTTGCGGGGGCGGAGTCGGCGTCGGGCACTGAGAGCCGTTTGGGTGATGGCTCCAGTCCGGGTGTCGTAGATTATCACCCTGTCGATTCGCGACAGGGTGAGGATGAAACGGCGGGCGTTGCCCAGGCCGTTGTTGCCGGTATTGTCGTTGCCGGCGTTGGTGTTGCCGGCGTTGGTGTTGCCGGCGTTGTTGTTGCCGGCGTCGTTGTTGTTGGTGTTGTTGGTGTTGTTGTTTTGAGCAGGCATTTTGGCTACTGCAGGGCAAGTAAGGGGTGATTAGCTATGGCTCCCTGGTAGGAGGTAGGAAGGAGATGAGAGGACGGTGAGGTGAAGGAGGCACTAACCCTGCTCCTGGTGTTTTTTAATATATATATAAATATAAATATATGTCCTTTGGTAGGACAGATGAGTGCCGCTGGCAGTGGTGTTTGCAAGAGACGAGGTGAAGAAGGGCTCTTTTGGCGGTGTTTTCAGCGGATTTGCTTGCTTTGGAGGAGATGTTGAGATGAAAAGAAGAGAAGGAGGATTCCAGTCGAGGAGGGGGTTTATATAGACCATTTCATTGCCACAAATGGCAGAATCACGACGTAAGGATGTGAGCTTTCCATGGTTGAAGCAGTGCTGAAGCAGAAGTCGTGATGTCACTGAATCGAGGAGTACATGGGCGTTGTCGACGGCGAGCTTCAGACTCGGGATATCAATGCCCATAAACAGCCCCTGAACGGGCTTGAAAGGAGCCAAAATCACCACCAAATGAAAGGTGCTTCAAAGACAGATTCCGTAGCCGTTTTTTCCAGGCCCAAATTGGCCTTTTGGCAGAGATCATGCCCATAATGCCATGGACGAGGTGCAGGGCTTCTGACAGCTCTGAGGTATCTTTCCTTCTGTGGCATTCTAAGGCATGACGCACAGGAGAGGGAATCTGTGGTTCACGATGGAATCATCGACTCTGCAAGAGCGGCCATGGGGCGGCGGCGAGGTCTTTCTGCTTCTCTCTGCGTCTCTCTGCGTCTGGCTGTCAGGGTCTACGGGCTCGCCCACCTTGAAGCTGCAGTTGCCGGCCTGCTCTCCTGCGCCGGCGAGGTGCTGCGAGGCTCCCCTTCACTGCTGGGGCTTCGCCTTGGCCGGCAACTTCCTGCAGCGTCACCACACAACCTCGACAGCTCGACAGCAGCATCGTCACCGCATCGTCACTGCATCGTCATCGATCTACTCTCTCAGACAGAATTACCCACGGCAGCATGGACGGCGCTAACATCTCCGGTCTTGTTCAGCGTGTATCGACGTCACTACGAGCTGGCACAGCGCTGGGCCGGCGTGATGCCCAGTCACACACAGAGCAGGAGGAGGATCTTACCTATGCTGTCCTCATGGCTGACCTCATCCCCCTTCTAGCAGTAGCAATATACGTCTTGCTAGCTGTAGTCATTGGCTGGAAGCATATTGTCGCGGCGGTGACGAAGGGGCGAGCGTTGTTTGGGAGCTGTCGACGAGGAGGGTGGCCAATAGCAAGAAAGAGCAGACACAGAGACGCAGAACAGGGGCTTAACCGACACAACAGATATCTTGGTATGGACGTGGAGGCATACGGGGGATATTATGAGCTGGAGGAGCTTGAACAAGGGGACGATGAGGACTCTCGGGAGGAGGAGGAGGAGGATGACAACGATAACGAAGGTATATTCCTATTACATTATATACAGAGTGGGCAAGCGCCTCAGCAGCAAGAAAGGGACCCGGCGGAACCGGTACACAAACCACCACTTGACGATAGTCGCCACTCCCTAGACAACATAATTACCACGACTTCAAATGGCATTTCTAAATACTTCCATCCTACCTCTGGGAGACTGAGAGATGATATCGTGCAACCTACTCAAACAAGGCTGGATAGGATGCTTGGTGATGACGAGGATGAAGGGCATGGAAACATTGCTTGGTATAAAGCGCTCCAAAGATTTTCAGACAAGTTCATTCTGAAAGCCCAGGCATGGCTTGATAAAGACGAAGCAAATATTGAGAGGGTCGAACATAGGGAGACGTCAAATGTGTGTGGGGAGAGCAACCGCGTAGTCCGGCAGATCCTACGCGAACGGCGGGAAGAGGAGGGATATAAAGATGCAGAGGACAATCTGCACTGATTTTGGCCCAGACAGGCTGAAATTCAAGCGAAGTTATACATTTGTTCTCGACTTCTTGCGATATCAAAACCTCCCGATTCTTGCGATGTCGTTTGGGCAGGTTTTTTGAGGTTTCGCTTTTATACCCCAAGCGAAATTAGCTGCATGACTAAGCGCGAAAATGGCCAGGATTTGAAGTCTTTAGTTTAGGCGTATTTGATTGGTCGGCGGTCATTCAAGCGCTGACGTCCATTACTTCACATCATTTTCTCATCTACTCTCCAGCACCAGGCAGACTGCACAAAATGATCTCATCCATGTCTATATCGAGTCCATAGGCTTAATACTATTGACTAGCTGTAACTACGGGTCTAGTCATTGCTTCCACGGTGCTGCTTGCTTTCCGTCCAAGTAGAAAGGAAGTGCAACATGTTTGTCACGCCTTCCGCCAGCATGGAAGCTCCCATGGAGTTTCTGTATATACCCAATAGATGGATGTCTGTTTCTCCCGCATGGACTGTGCCACTCTCACCACCTAGTAGTCATCATGGTCATCGGGTCATGAACACTTTTCTTCCCGCCTCCTGAGATACCCTATTAACGCTCTGCCGCGACCTATCAGGTGCCATTCTTCCCAGCCTCACAACTACCTAAGAAAGAGTGGAAACAATGATGTTTCTCACTCAACTCGTATCAGCGCTGTTTCTCTTCTTTCTTGGCCCTATCTCCTATGGAAAACCAGTCGAGACTTTTGTCCTCCCCCTAGCTCAGGATGCTCCTATTCCGCCCTCCGAAGACCCCTTTTACCAGCCTCCCCCAGGATATGAAGAAACCGAACCGGGAACAGTTTTGAGACAACGCAGACCTCCTTTTCCTATTTCGTTATTCCGGTCTGCTCCGATCGACCTAGCTGCAACCTATCAGGTCCTTTATCGTTCATCCGATACTTTTGGACAACCAACCGCCACCGTTTCGACCATCCTTATTCCTCACAATGCAAACATGTCAAAAGTCCTATCCTACCAAGTTGTTGAAGACGCAGCTTTCATCAACTGTGCCCCTTCGTATGCTCTTCAGCTCCATTCAGACCCAGGAGGCCTCTTTGGAACGATCATCATACAATCCGAGCTACTCCTCATAACTGCGGCCCTTGAGAACGGGTGGGTTGTCACTATACCGGACTATGAAGGACCCGCAGCTGCCTTCTTAGCTTATTGGCGTGCAGGTTACGCAACACTAGATGGCATTAGAGCTACTCTTGCTTCTTCTGGGTTTACAGGTGTGGACCCAGATGCAGCGGTAGGCTTGTGGGGTACATCTGGAGGGAGCGTTGCGAGCGCTTTTGCTGCAGATTTGCACCCCAAATACGCGCCAGAGTTGAATATTGTTGGGGCAGCGCTAGGCGGTGTTGTTCCAAGCATTACTACGGCTTTGCATAGTCTCAACAAAGGGTTTGACGCCGGGATAATCGTCTCTGGTGTTATTGGGCTTTCAAAAGAATACACCTATATGCAACCCATCCTAGAGTCCTACCTTGTGCCTCATCTACGGGACAAATTCATGAGTGCTGGTAAAAAATGCTCGGGAGCAGTCTCTTTGGATTTTAGAATGGAAGATATATTCAGTTACTTTAAGGGAGGGGAGGAGTCTGGTTTATTTGCTGATCCCAGAGTGAAGGCGATTTTAGATCATAATGCCATGCCGCAAGGAGTACCAGAGATTCCTATTCTCATTCTCAAGTCGGTAAATGACGAGATCAGTCCGATATCCGATACTGATGCCCTGGTAGAGAAGTATTGCTCCAACGGGGTCACTATCGACTATAAACGGGACCTGCTATCTGTACATACCATCCTAGCTGTCACTGGCGCTCCCGAGGCAGTGCTCTGGCTCAGGGACCGTCTTGATGGAATAACTGTTGAGAAAGGATGCAAGACCTCTACCATCTTTATGACACTGCTCCAACCGGGAGCCCTGGAAGTCATGTCCAAGACTATCATTGATAACTTGTTGAATCTCTTGGGGAAGCCCGTTGGACCAAGGTTGAGAACTGAAATTGTACATGTTCCTCCTCTTTAAGTGTTGAGACGTTTCGTTTTCATTGGCCCGCTGCTTATACCATCCTGCTGATTGTCTGCTTGCTATACGCCTTTACACCTACAGCCATTTCCTCTAGACTCGTTAGTCCTACAGTAATGTCAGAGTAGAGATATGTTTAGTTTGCCCAATCGGGTTGTGGTAGAAATCTTAGTTTTGTCCTTGACTTTTAGGTATTCCCGGCCAAACATAGGGGTTACTTCGCCGTACTGTTTGCTACAGCAGCGTATACATTAAAATGAGATGAATATCTAAACAAATATGTACTCCTACGTATCGATTTTTGACTACGGTCGATTGCTTTACGTTTGTTTGTGCCCAAAATATAACCAAACAGTATTTTGAATAATACAGAACTATAGGTCTGATCGTGTTATACTACAAGTTCATAAATAGCGACGTACTGCGAGCATTAATCTTCTCTGCAGCTTACTTGACCTGGATAAGAGTTCGGACTTGATCATTCATTTTGCCCGGAGCTCTCCATCATGATCGACTCACCTGAATACCAGTTTGTGCTTGTGACCTTAGCCTTGGTGGCACTGGTTCTCTTCATCTTTGTGTTCTGTGTGTGGATATGTTACGGAGTCAAATCCATTATGACTCCTAGTGGCAAAACCAGAGACAGGAGAGAGCGTGGTAAGATTGAAGCCGTTATACCAGCAGCATAGCTTCTGACATCCGTACAGGCTCGATGATACCGCTCAGTAATTATACCTCATCAGGATCAAAACCTGTCCAAAAACCATCCAATATTGGGAGTGAACGTCCCAAAGTTACACCAACGGAAACTAGGGTTAGTGGTTGCGGTGATAATATGTGCATTATATCCCCCGGCTAAGAAAGAATAGGGTGCAAGTAGCGAGCCTCGCAGATCTTCGGTGAACGACACGTTATCGCTGGATCATCCATTACCGGCTCCACCGCCCTGTGCTGTTCGAATCCCGGGACTTGTTCGACCATCAACTCCTGCAATACCGGTTAGAGTGCCGGAAAGAGGTGGAAGGGTATCGCCTGTCGATTTCACTACCCCGAACCGGATGACTCGGTGGGGGTGACCATAGAGGATTTTGGGGGAGTGTTTTTGATAGAGATATCCTCATACGGCAGATTTGCAATGAACATGAAGTCCAGTACGCCGGTCATGGTCTATCAAGTACAGAGCATAGAGTTCTCCAAAAATAGTATTAGATTCGGATTAGCTGGGATGCGAGTAGACTCGTTAGAAAGGGATATTGGCTGGATAGAGTGGGCATTCGTAAAGTATTATAAAGTCGAACGCAGGGTATCCGCTGCGGAAACAACCTGGAAACCATAAATAACCTATGAAAGTAACACGATACTGATCAGATATCGCATCCATAAAGAAGAGGGGGACTTATCCCGTAGAACGGTTCTGCTTCCTTCATAATTGGCTGCAGTAATTGCACTCTATACTTGAAATCTTCAACCCAGTCGAGTGTGAACAACGATAGTGCATCTAAGGGTATAATCGACAAATTGGAAACTCTAAGGAGTTATGCTTTTGTTGATTTCTGATATCTTTTGCCTTGGGGAAGTTACGATATTAGGCTGGCTCCGACTGTATTGAGTAGGGTATAATCACACAAGGTAGAGATCGAAGTTAACAATAAGAGGTAGGGCAATACTGAATCACTCGGTCCTTCGCCACTTCGTTTCATCCCCAGCCGTTCCGTTCTCGTTGTTTGAGGCACCAGCCTCATTCATTCCTTCATCGTCATCTTCACGCGGCCTTACAGTACCTGCTCCTGCACCCAAGGGAGCTTCCTCTCCACCCTTCCAGTTTCCATCTTCATCAAAATATTCGTGGGCGTTCTCTGCGGTAATCCAGCCACCGCTTCCAGGTAGAGCTGGGGGTAGGCCACCTGTGTTGTTTCCAGGGAAAATCAGACCATTTTGGAACAAGGCACTACCTTGGAGCTGTTGATGGAATTCCTCACCTTCATCCGCATCTTCGTATCTGTCTTCATCGTCCTGCTCGACAGGGTCAGGGTGGAGATTAGAACAGGCAGATACAGCCTCAAAGAGTGCCTCAATTTGGGACTGGGTCTTTTTATCTTCTTCTTCAGCTGACATTTCCTGGTCGGTAGGTTGGGTAGCGGGGTCCGAAAGAGGAATGATGGTGAGCGAAATGCTATCTTCATCTACATCCTCATCCATATTTTCATCTCCTCCACTCGTGATGGCCAATTGCATGTAAAGGCCTTGCACAGTATCATTATCGGAAGAACTCGGCAGGGGAAGCCGTTGGATCGCATGTAGAGATATTATCGGATACGGGATTGCGACACCACTGGACGTCTCCGTGGAAAATAACAATAGCTTTCTGCTAGAAGTCAGTATAATATTCTACGCACGAAGGAGCGAGAAACATACTCAGAAGTGACCCAGACACTGACACCCGGGAGAGATAGCTCTTTGGTATTCTCTGCTGCCTCATCGACTGTTGTACCTGCAGTGGCACCGCGTTCTCCCTGTGCTGTGCCATTCGATGAGCCCTCTGACGTCGTGGACCGCAGACTATTCAGAGCAGGGGAAGCTAATAAGTCACGCTCCAGAATAACCACTTTGCATCTCTCGCTGAAGTGGTGTAAAATTGGTGGTCCGGAGTAGAACGAGGCAGGAGTTCGCGACTGATGCTCTGCGAGAGGTACGAACGAGGAGGTATTTGGGGCTTCATGAAGGACTTCCATTATGGTAATCAGTTGAAGTTTGGTGTCGGCACTTTGCTTGCTTCAATGGCCAACTCAGACTGTGCTTGTTGTTTGTTTTGGAGGGTAATGGAGGCGTGCGAGGCGGCGTTGAGGGGAGCTTGGTGGAGCGAAAGTGAAAATGATAAGATCAAACTTTGTTTCAACGTCATCCCTTTGCTACTAGCTAACTAACTAGCTAACTAGTGAAATGCAGACTATTTATTGCTGAAAGAGAGGACTCGATGAAGGAGAGGACAAGATAACTTTGTAAAGCATTCAATAGCTATGAAAATAAACTAGTTATCTTTTTCATTGACAAGAACTATTGCAGGTGACCAAATCTTTCCCTTGTCGTAATTTTCTCCGTCCTCATTCCCAAACGCAACTACTGCTGGTTGAATGATAACTAAAATCTCTTTGCCATCTAATTTTTTCTCACCCTCGTCAAGCTGATGGAGGCGATGCGCAATCATTGATCGATCTGTATGGTGATAAGCCCTTGTATTGCCGGCGAACACAGAGTTGCAAGTCATATGAGCTCTGTGGCACCATAATGATAATGACAACTGCATTGCATGGGCAAAGATGTGATATAGATCATCCAGACATCCATCTTGAATGGCCCCAGGCTTAGGTACCTCTAGAAGCAGACCTATGGGCCCTTTAAGGAATAGTTTAGCCATTTCGGTACTGTAGCTTTCGACAACCCGTGGCGATGCCAATGATGATTCAGGCGAACCTGGCTGAAGTTTTGTTAAAAAGCGCAGCAGCTGGGAGCGCCATATGTGTGCTTCGGAAGGGGAAGCTGTGGAGAGATCAGTCCTACTCTGGGAATAATACGGGAGGGTGAGGGTATATAGCTACCATTTCCCATTGTCTGGTATAGGCCAAACATCGCGGAGTGAGAAACAGGTTCCGAATTTGTGTTAAAGCGTTGAAGCGCAAAAAAAGGGTTAGAGAACATCGGGTTGAAAATGGATGCGGCGAGCATCGCGTGGCCAATAAGAACAGGGAATCTTTTCTTCAGATGCGGAGCCATTTCCTTCAACAAGGAGTCGAATGTTGATCGTGCAATGCTGCCTTTGAGATGATCAATTATTGCACCCTTCTCGAGGTCCGCAAGGGGCCTCAGACGGCTGCTATCTTGGACTACATATTTTCTCACCCATGTCCTTAGTCTTTCTTCGAGTCTAGAGAACTCATTACGAATCTCTTCATCCCCTTTTGGAATCCACGAAGTAGCTTTCATCGAGCGAAGATTAGCTTCTTGAGCGACGCGGAGGTCATTCAATAATTGTTCCTCATTGCAGCGTATAGAAATTACTAACTGCATGAGTGAATCTATTTCTCTGTCAGTACCCCAATAAGAGGTGCCGTTGAACTTGATATCCTCAATCGAGTAAATAGTGACCTGGTACAGTTCTCCAAGAAAAGGCTGAGCTGACCTATTCGATTATCACGATCCTTGATCTCGCGCTTGAGATATTCGATCGTCGCTTGATGGTTACCAATCTCTTGGTCATGTTTATTCACTCGGCCTTCAAACTGAGATCTAAGTTGATGAAGCTGGGACATCATGGATCCTATCATATCCATTTCACTGACGACGGCAGCCTCCGCAGCGGGCTCTGATTCCTTTGGATGCCATAACCATTAGAATGAGATAAGCAGAGGCCAGTCTAGGGGACTAACATCCTCCAAACGCCTGGACACTGGCTCTGTCATTGAACCAAGGCTTGGGCTTGACTGGCGTTCCGATTCTGAGCTGCAGCTGTATTTGATGCGCTGTAAGATATTAGCAACTGTATAACTAACATGTAAGAAAACAGAGGAAATAAATGAGCATACACTTTCTGTCATCTCAACATCCCCAGCGTGGTAACTAGGCATTTCACGTGTAGATGCCTCCATATCGCAGGTTATACTGGAGTCAACGACCTAAGTACAAAACCTGAAAAGATGAAGAAAATTGATAGCAACTGAAGTAAGTCCCAGCTTAGATTAGGAAATCTTAGATAAATGGTGGGAAGTTCCATTAAAAATTTTCTTCACGAGCTAAACCAGGCTCCTAGAGGGACAAAGGAACCAAATATTTAGCTAAATAGAATTGAAGTCCTGGATATAAGCTCGTTCTTTTCTCCTGTTTGTCTTATCAAGACGCCCATGCAGGTAGACACCTGCAAATTTGCAGAAAGAAGAGCCAGAAAAATGGCACCCAGAACCCCCATGAAGCTCAATCAAGCGACATCGCGCCATAAGATTATAGTTGGAATTGATTATGGAACCACGTTTACAGGTAAAGAGGCCGTTATTGATTAGAAAAGTGAGCTGACGTATTTCAAGGAGCCAGTTATGTGAGTACGACAGGCAGTGATGCCAAAGATGTCATCATCATTGGAACGTGGCCTGGTCCATCAAGAGACTCTGAAACAGTCTTCAAGGCGCCTTCACGTATTGCATATCCCCTCGATAATCCAGCAAACGAAACCATTCGATGGGGGTTTCAAGTTGAACCTGGCATGACCACCTACTCTTGGACAAAGCTGCTATTGGACCGGAACATTGCACTTGGAGAGTTTGATGACCCAACCCTTGAAGGGGCTTCAAAAACGGGAATTTTGCAACTTCCTTTTGGCAAATCCGCAGTGAGTGTTGTAGTAGACTTCCTTAAAGAGGTCCGAGCCCACGTATTGAAAATGATTGAGAAGCATATCACGAAGGAGATGCTTGGAATCACTCCCATTGAATACTGGTTCACAGTGCCAGCGATCTGGTCGGACCAGGCAAAAGCGCAAACAAAAGCGGCGGCCCAACGTGCAGGCTTTGCCTACAACATTAAACGGCCTAATGACCAAATATTCATGGTCACCGAACCGGAGGCTGCGGCCATTGCAGCTTTGAATAAGACAGCCACAGATGGCCTCGGAGCTTCCTTCAAGGTTGGTCACAAGTATGTGTACATCCGAACGTTGACTAACTTTCACGTCAAGCCTGGTGATGGAGTTTTGGTGTGTGATTGCGGTGGCGGAACAGTGGTATGTCAACCTTCACAGTTGATATGGATACTATCTCACAGCCCACAAAGGATATTACGACGTATTTGATCAACAAAGTTGACCCAATTTTGTCTTTTGAAGAGCTTTGCACAGGAACCGGTGAGTACTGGATGTCATTATCTTAGCGGTTGAATCGGTTGCTCACCCTAACGGTAGGCGGCAAATGCGGGTCGACGGCGATAGACAGAAATTTGTACAGACTTATGTCTCGACGATTTGGAAAAGCCTTTGATATGCTTCCTGCTAAAAAGAAAGGTCCAGGAAGCGAATTTATGAGAAAATTCGAAATTGTCAAGAAGGACTTCGGGTTTAACATAGACGAAGACAAAATTTATGAGCTGCCGCTCAATATGAGGGCCAATAAAGTGAAGTCTGAATATTTTGACGATGAGGAACGCCTTGTCCTGCTTTCAAGGTAAGAAAGTACTCGAGATATAAGCGACAGTAGGAACTAACTGCCGGTTTAGCAATGATATTCGACAGCTATTTGACCCAGTCGTGGATCAGGTCATCGGGCTTGTTCGTAAGCAAATGGATGACGCCGAGGAAGCAGAAAGCGGTATAATTAATGTATGGAACCAATTTGATATCGATCTCCCCTGTTGTCTGTGTTTGAGCTAATGTGAATAAGCGAATAATCCTCGTCGGCGGGTTTGGTGATTCTGAGTACCTCCGGGAGAAAATGGAGAAGTCTTTCTTTGGCATCACAATCACTGTCCCAGATAATCCGTAAGTAGAACGCTCCCATTTAACCAATAACAGGCTAATAAGCTTCCATGCTGCAGACAAACTGCTATAGTTAAGGGAGCCGCACTTCGAGGGCTCTGGGGCCTTCAAGTAACAACAAAAAGATGCCGTCGCCACTATGGATTTGAATGGAGCATACCATTCCGCCGAGGTACCGACCATGAGAGAAATGCTCATATCGATGAATTCACAAGGAAAAAGATGGTGGGTGGGGTCATGAAATGGATGATTTCCAAGGTCGGTCACCCATGTTGACAAGATGGAAGATGTCTGGATAAGATTGGCTAACAAGAATTAGGGAGAAAAATATACGGAAAATCATACACACACCGTTGATTACACTCAGGTATATCATTCTGGAAGTTCGATGATAATTAGATTCGTGCTCTTTTCAAGCGATTCAAACGAAGCACCTGAACGGGTTGAACACACAAGTATGTATTAATCTTTCCCGCTTCACTTAGCACCTCTAATACCATTTATTATGTAGGTATCAAAAAGGTCGGCACAATCTGCGTGGACATCACAGACATTGACTTCAGCCTTTTTAAGAAGAAAGTAATCGACGGAGTGCTTTCATATCAAGTTGAATTCTCGGTGAAGGTCATATTCGGAGCTCAGGACGGTGTGTTGAAGTTTGAAACCACCTCACAGGGCAAAGTTGTTGGGAAGACAACCATCGACTTCACAAATACCAAGTACTATTGACATCTGAAGTTGGAATGACAAAGCATGGGTGGTTGCTGAAAACCAAGGCGAAGGTAATGGATAGGATGATAAACCAGAGTTTCCATGAGGCTCCGTTAGGCAGATATCTTAGAGCGAGACTGGGGGGAGTGAGGGTTCTCGTTGCAAAACAAGGCCATCTGGCTTTTGAGCAAAGAAGAGCCCAGTTGATGGAATGAAACTAGGCCTCCTCTACCTGAGATCCATTAGATAGATTAGATAGCCTGGTTAACATCTGGAAAATGCCAATAACCATGCCTCTCGCTGTTGCCGTAGAGATATCATTTCAGTCCCAGTCCGCCGAATGCACGGTCGAGTTCAACACCCTCACTTCTCGGTTCCATTGCCGGAGAAGTGTCTTTATTCGTCTGATCAGCAACCGGCCGGTCAAGCAGACTCTGATGTGCTTCGGTCGATGTCTGTCCTGACGCATGGGTGGGTTGTAGAAGCTTTTCCTCCCGGTCTAGCCATCCGGGAGCAACTCGACGCTTTTCAGCTAAATCTCGTTGCTTGATGGACTCTTCCCACTCCTTGATTGCGGCCTCTCCCTCTGACTGTCGCTTTTTCATGTGGTCCGCCAATGCCTGGCATGTTGCGAGGATATCGGCCGGGTGAGCGGCATGGCCACTCGACGAAACAACATACTTTGGTTTCTCTGAGCCGCTGGCATCGGCTGTGACAGAGGGTGGTAGAGAGGAAGGAATCGACTTGTATGTATATGGCAGAGTAGTCGCCGTAGGCAGAGAAATGAACGGCGAGACCGTCAGCGGAATCTGGGCCAGTATGGGATGAGGTTCTGGTCTACCGTTAGCAGCGTCCGCAAGGCTTAAAACCGCAATACCACTCACTCTCTGAATCAAACATCATGCCTAGCCCATTTATTTTCTGTCATTTACGATCCTGTTCTTGCTCCTGACCGCGATGACGTTGATGGTGGTGGTGCTGTCCCGGTTGCTCGTGAATGTGGGCGGGAGATAGAAGGTTGCAGCAAATAAGAGAGCCGCGAAAGCCGCATCCACCTTAGCGAGCGACTCTCCCAACGTCAAAACTTTCGAGAGACAGCCAGCGACTGCTCCTGGATATCTACATCACGGCCTGCAGCTTTGCACATCAACGACCAGCTCGCTCGATCGGACGCCTCGCTGCCCCCTAGCCAAGCGACCCTGGTCTTCACTAGTGCCCAACTATCTGAACTCGAAAAGCCACCCACGCTCGCCGTCTATCTCTACTTTCGTCGTCAGCCCTACTAACTATCATCGAACACGCGACCCCAACCTGGCTGCGGACATTAGCTACGACTCTTCACGATCTCGACCGCCTATGCTCCAGCTCTAGTATCGCCGAGAAGCCCATCGAAGAGCTGCGCCCCCTCGATAGCCCCGTGTCACGGTTGAGATTGACAGGCATATCGTACTGTACCCCTCCCAGGCCACTGAGAACTCGGGCTGCGCCACCATTCAACCCGCCAAACAAGAAGCAGCAAGCATGGAAGGGAAACTGGTGCAAGCGGTCACGGAGAAGAAGCCCGTCCCTGAGATTGACTTCACCCTCCATACTATGGAAGATGGCACGCAGGTATCCACACAGGAGCGTGTCTGCAAGGGTTAGTTGACAAGCCCCCCCTCTCTCCATTTCTACCTGCACACAGACATTTAGGGAGTATATTGCATTGCGCATTTTGCTGATGGTTCAATCACAGAGGTGCAAGCCCCGGCTTTCAACACACCTTCGAACGAACAATTTTGGTCCAGCGAAGATCCCACCAAGCCAGACCTGAAGTTCCTCAAGCAGCACTTCTTCCGTGAAGGTCGTCTCACGGAGGAGCAGGCACTATGGATCATCAATACTGGGGCATCAATCCTCAGGTCAGAGCCGAACTTGCTGGAGATGGATGCTCCCATTACAGTGTGTGGTGATGTTCACGGACAATACTATGATTTGATGAAGCTGTTCGAGGTGGGAGGAGACCCTTCGGAGACACGATATCTCTTCCTTGGAGACTACGTTGACCGAGGCTATTTCAGTATTGAGGTTAGTGAAATGATGGATGTGACAGTTTGAGAGACTTTACTGATAATTCCCATAGTGTGTTCTGTACCTATGGACTCTAAAAATTTGGTACCCCAACAGTCTTTGGTTGCTACGTGGAAACCACGAATGTCGCCATCTCACAGATTACTTTACCTTCAAGCTGGAGTGCAAACACAAGTACTCCGAGAGAGTCTACGATGCCTGCACAGATTCATTCTGCGCCTTGCCTCTGGCTGCAATTATGAACAAACAGTTCCTCTGTATCCATGGTGGCTTGAGTCCTGAGCTGCATACATTGGAGGATTTGAAAACAGTAGGTGTTTCATGTATTAATCCCTTCTACGAATGCTCACAATTGCTATAGATTGACCGTTTCCGGGAGCCACCAACCTATGGGCTGATGTGCGATATTCTTTGGGCCGACCCTCTGGAAGACTTTGGTCAAGAGAAAACGGGTGAACACTTCATCCACAACAATGTCCGAGGATGTTCATATTTCTTTTCCTATCATGCTGCTTGCGCATTTCTAGAGAAGAATAACCTTCTATCCATCATTCGAGCCCACGAGGCTCAAGATGCCGGGTACAGAATGTACCGCAAGACCCGAACGACCGGATTCCCAAGTGTTATGACCATCTTTAGTGCGCCCAATTACCTTGATGTCTACAACAACAAGGCTGCGGTCCTCAAGTATGAAAACAACGTCATGAACATCCGCCAGTTTAACTGCTCACCACATCCTTACTGGCTCCCCAACTTCATGGACGTCTTTACCTGGTCACTACCGTTCGTTGGAGAGAAAATTACGGATATGCTCATTGCCATTCTTAACACTTGCTCTAAGGAAGAACTCGAGGAAGAGACTCCCCTGTCAGCATCCGAAGCTCCACCCTCGCCAACTCTTCCATCAACAGACCCCGAAAGTACCGAGTTCAAACGACGTGCCATCAAAAACAAAATCCTTGCTATCGGTCGTCTATCCCGTGTATTCCAAGTTCTCCGAGAAGAGTCCGAGCGGGTTACTGAGCTTAAAACTGCTACTGGCGGACGTTTGCCAGCAGGAACGCTCATGCTTGGCGCCGAAGGTATTAAGCAAGCTATCCACAACTTTGAGGACGCTCGAAAGGTCGATTTGCAGAACGAACGACTACCACCGACCCATGAAGAAGTCACTAAGCGTGCCGAAGAGGATCGACGACAAGCGCTGGAACGTGCTGCCCAAGAGGCGGCTAACGACACGCATCTAACAAACGTAGCCCGAAGAATCAGCATGTAAGTTGCACCGCTTTGTTTTTCCCTTTCAACACTTGTCCGCCCAAGCTAATATCTTTCACCTAGGTCATCTGGATCTGGTCGACCCCGAAAGCGAGAACCGTCATCTTGATGCCCCATTTTTATCCCATCCACCCATCCCTTGACATTCATCCCATCATTATGACTTCCAGCTTAACGTATCCCCTGCCCAGAACTCGACAAATCTGAATCCTTTTGCTCTTTTATTTTAACTGTTTTTTTGAATTGATTGAATGACTCCCCGGTGATGATACCAAGACCTTAATTCCACTAGGAGAAATGCAAAAGCTGCATATCCTGTATGAATCTTGAATACGTTTTTCACGAACAAAAAGGAATTGATAAATTCCGTTTCCCCTTAACGTCAACCGGCCTGGCCTCCTGGTGTCTGCCGTCAATCACATTCCTGACCCTTGACGTATTGTACTGGGGAGGAAATCGGAATAAAAAGGAAGAGAGAAAATATCAATAATAATATTTGCTTGCAACGAGGAATAAACGGCTGGATTGATTTGGGGTTTCTTTTGCTCTGATAGCTACAAGGCTTAGCAGTACTGGAATCAGGCGGCCCATTCTTTTCGCAAACAAGTTGTCAGTGATAGCAGTATAGTAAGATTTAGGGCTCCACCGTCTATGGATATAAAAACTATCGATCACCATTGTATTTGTATGATAGTTATTCCCCCTATAGCTACAATTTACACCCTTTTAGTACTTTTATACCCTAGTGTCCAGGATGGTATGCTATACAGCGTATTTACCCAATGTATCACAGAATGGCCGCCAAGAAGCTTGATTATGGTGCGTAAAAATGGCTTAGTCATCTAATATATTACCGTCCCTGTATTGAACGAACACAAGCTTGTTTTTGCTGCATCGACAACTTTGCGAAGAAGAGCGCGAGAGACATCACTGACAACCCGCAGCTCACCTGCGCACCAACCCCAATGCCTGGGAAATATCATGTCTCCCTCATCCAGAGGACGCCGCTCCTAGCCAGGCGGCTATTCTTTTGCCCATCATGCTCGCAGATACGCCACCTCTCCTTCAGTAGTGGGCCAGCTCCCACGGCCAGATCAACGATCAAGCACTCAGCCTCGACTCTTTCGGGTTCATCGATTGTCAGTGCTACCAAAAATATTCCTGAGAGGTTCCAGGAGCTATATAAAGCTTTAGAGGAGCTTAAAAATACTCCTGGTAACCATGTGGATTTGGGCAGATTAGAATTGGCGCAAAGAGGCATTGAGACGGAGAACCCATTGATACGAATTGCAGGTGCGTGAGCATATTCCATCGGCTTTGGTAACTGCTCTTCTTTGCACTTATTAAATGTTACTTTCGCAGTGTTCGGTTTGGGCGGTACCCAGACTTCCGCAAGGCTTGTACGGCTACTACTTGCTGACCCGCTGGGCCCAAAAGAAGCATGGGAAGACCAGCTTGACTCTCGTGCTAATAATGACTCTGGCAGTTTCCTTATAAGGTCAGTACTTTGCTTGTCTGCTAGGCATGAGAGGGGGCTAATTCTCAGCAATTGTTTAATATAGATACGGAGATAAATATGAGGTATCGCCAGGAAACAGCCTTCTGCCAACAGTCTCGATACCATCCAACTTGCTTCGGAAAGCAAATCTAGAAATCCTAATGTCACCATTAGGTACAAATATCATCTCGTTAAAAGAGCCAATTGCGAACTCCCTACAGATTGCAACAATATCCATTCCATCCACAGACGGGAGCCCTGCCACACATATCCAATACCCAGTACATCGATCAATAATATGCGGTGACGGGATCGATGGCCTGTTTACGTTTGCCAAATTAACTGGGAGGACAGATACAGGTGAACTCGGTCCAGTAAAGGCAGTATTCCAGGCACCGTTGAGCAAGAGTCCAGAGAACGGTAATGGATACGTTTCATTTATTGATATTGACCGTGCTGAAGTGGCGTTGGATAAGTTCCGTGAGTCAGCCCAAAATGCAACGGCTTACCAGGAAGGATGGGACGGAAGCAGGATTCAACCAATTATCGACTGGCTCGCGGCGGCTCCCACGGATCAAACTGTGTCTCCTGACATCCGGCATCTGCTCGATTCCGTGTTGAATGAGGCAGATACAAAAATCAAGCAGCACGAAAAGAAAACATTGGCCGATGTGCAAGCGAGTTCTGTTCCCGAAGAGGTACGAGAATCATTGAATGCCATGATCTCGGGATGGGCGGAAAGGGCTCATGAGGAGCTTCGGACTTCGTTAGACGAAGCTTTCAGGTGCAAGAGCTGGCAAAGTTTAGTATGGTGGAAATTGTTCTGGAGAGTTGATGATGTTCCCATGATATGTTCCAGTCTGTTGCAAAAACAGTGGCTCACTCAGGCTGAGAAGGAGGCTCTATGGATTGGCGGACGATTCCAGCAAGCCCGATTGTTGGAAGACGATTCTTCTGTGGGTAAAGAAATATGCACTCCGTCTACGGAAGATGCATCACCCGAATCTCCACGCAGTGCTCCTGTGTTCACTCCATGGCGGACACAAATAACGGAAAGCCGAAACAAGCTCACAGCATCCACTATCATGCCACTACATTCTCTCGCACAGAGTCTAGTCATGTTCAGCTTGTCAACTACTGGGTTGACTTCAGCACTATCCGCTCTGACATATTTCTCCACCACCACTACTTCCCTTAGCGAGGCTGGAACCTTTGCTGCAGTGGGTTTAATTTACTCGGTTTGGAGACAACAGAAAAAGTGGGACTTAGCCCGCAGGACCTGGGAAACAGACATTCGTGAAGAAGGCCGAAAAGCGTTGAGGTATACGGAAGATTCCATGAGAATAGTAATACGTGACGGAAACAGACCAGCGATGCCGCCTACAGAAACTGAAGTTAAGGAAAGCATAAAGAGGGCCAGAAATGCCTTATCAAATGTATTATAGATAAAAAAAGGGTTTTGTTCTTCTGTAATTATACCCCCTTTACTGCATGGATTTGTGTTTAATAGGCATTACCCTCCCATGTCTAAGTAAGCTCCACGCTTCCTTCAGGCACCCCGCTGGTGCTACGTAGCCGTCTAGCGAAGAACTGCATGATGGGCATCATTTCGTCCCTATTTCGAGGCATGGTATCTTCCTTCTTGCTTCTCCAGCAGACCACGTCCACGTATTCAAACTCCTCCTTTGTCCGACGAACACCTACATCCGTCACAGCGCTCTGCGCACCATGACCACCCAAGACTAGCACTGGACTAGGCGATTTATTTTGCCTGCTTCCTCTTTCCTTGATAGCTGAAAGAGGCAACACTCCGCCGATTGCAACGGTACCACCAAGCTCTCCCCGGCCAGTTTCTGATAGATGGAATTCCAACGCTGCGCTCAGCGCAACACTCGCCCCCTGTGCAAACCCGAAAAGTAATATCTCGCGAGCCTTGTACCCGAGCTTGTCTATCAATGTTGACCGTATGATATCTGCGGCTATCATGCGGGTAGCCCTAGTAAAGCCAGGGTCTTGATCTAATGAGTCCGCTTCAAAAACAATGTCGTCACCCCAGTGAAAACCGGGAAGGTCGAACGGCAGTGGAACAGGGCCCTGGACAACTACACAGCTTGTCTCGGGTAGATGGAGAGCCGATGCAAAGCTAGTGAAAGGCGCAGGCGTATCGCCTAGTCCATGGAGGATGATGAGAACATTTGTTGATCGCGGTGAGTCCGGTGGGGTGACGGTGACGGATACAGAAGATGGGAAGTCGCTTTCTTTAGGGATATCAGGCATATTTAATTGCTTTAATGATTAGCTGCGGGTAGGAATTGACGTTTTAGACATTGATATCCAAGCGGTGCAGAGAACGAGGAGTTGAAATTATTTATTTTCTTCATCAAACGATCGAAGGCTGATGTCACAAGTGGTCCGTAGTTAAGTTAACTCACTAGTTAACTAGTTAAGCTTTATGAGTTGAGTTTAAATTGAGGGTTCATATTTATTTACAAAGTCAATCCGCTATCACTTTTAACAGTCTAAATATGTACTCAAAAGGTATGTCCTATATATACTTATCTAGCAAAGGATATGTTAAGTAATCATCGCACAGCTCAGCCCATATCCTGAAAAGCGAGATACTCAACTGGATATAGAGGGATAAGGGAGTATCTTCCTTCATCGTTTGCAAGTGAACCCATTCTCGACGATATAAAGGGGGAACCCCATTAGACCTTGCCAGAAGGGTGGAAGGTGCGCAGCTATCGCCCGGACTTCCCGAGCCCCAGTGTTGCCGACAAACCAATAGGTATCCAAGAACACAATCAGCGCAAAAAAGTGAGCCAGGATAACAAGGGCCCGTGGACGACCCTCTGCTACAAGATCGATGAAGCGAGGATCCACGATAAAGGGGAAAACAACAATTCGCCGTCGTATCGGGCCGGGGGGTCCATCGTAGTTGTGAAGTATCCGGAATATACTGCCGAGATATCCCATGGCTCCCTCGTACGCAACCCTGACACCATCATCCCAGAAAGCCGGGTCATCGTTGTCATCAGGATCCTTGCTTCGAGCAGTCAAGATATGTTCAAAGCTTGGTCGAGGATCAGGAAATTCGTGCTGGGCATTATCCTCGTCCAATGTTAGTGGGGTTGATCTGATTAGCTTGGCTGTGCAGGTGGAGGGATCATCCCCAATAGCTTCCATGGCGGTTTGAAAGAACTTCGCATTGCTGCTAGTTATGCGAAGCCACTCTATGGGAGGCGCATAAGGTTCCAGAATCCGTTCTGAGAGCATCACGAAGGCTACAAGACGCATCAGATGAGTGGTAAGCATAATCACATCGGCCTTCTCCTTTGAAAAGGAAATAAGCTCTTTATGATGATGTTTGAATGCAAGCTGTAGATAACGATGGTGATGCTCCAGCATAGAGGATTCGGAGATATTGGACGGTAGTTTTCTTGTTTGATGAAGACTGGTGACTGCATAGATACTGTACAGCAGTCCGTCCGACTGGAAGGCCATGCGCGGGAGAGCATCAACAAAGACCTCATAAGATGTCTCCGGGTCGAACGCAATTGTCGGCCCAGTTTCAGTGATATAAAGATGCATCAATTTGAGCTCCAGGATCCGCCGGTCTTTCGTTTCTGCGGGCTCACCCGCTTCCATAGATTCATCTTTAGGAAGGCGGTCATAGATACAGGGCTCCTCAACACGCTCGCAGTTGCGGCATACCGGCTTGGTTTCATCACACTTGCTAGTCATTAGTAACTGATTGTAAATGCACCCTGTACGGAGTACCTCCAGGGACAATTGACCCTGGTAGTCCTTATATGTGCTGCTGCACTCACCTTGATTCTCTTTGTCCGGCATCTCTGGCAACCGACCCGGGACTTTCTGTGAAACTGCTTCACCCCCTTCCGGCGCCCAGAGGCCTGCTGCTGACGCTGCTGCTCGTTTATAAACGAGATTATTGGGGGTACCTCCGTCATGCTGAATGCATCTGCCTGCTCATCTCAACAAATGGCGGTCCTTCGTTCCGCTTTTGGTTAAACGAGCCTGAAGGATCGGTTACTAATTCCCTCGCGGCTCTGCCCGCGGTCTAGCCGAAATAGGTTAGGTCGTCACGGAGCTTAACATCTTCCGGAATAAAGTTAAGGCTGGATTATATAATGAACGCAAAACATTGGGCTCGCGACGCTTACTTCTTTGGGACGCAACTTCTGCGCCATCCAGCCTTCCTGCTGGATCCCGCCAAAAATCCTCCCTTCTATTGAGGCTGTATAATGGAGCCAGGACTGAACTATACTCATCTTTGGTTACCGGACTATAACTGTCTCGCAACTGATTCCAATTCAGGACACCGAAGCCATGACGCATATCTCATTCAAGATGTCTATAAAATTCGAGGTTAACTCCTCTGGATGTATACCATTTCTCGAAAATACATAGCCCAGCTACAATAGAGCAACTTGAACACAATATCCCCAACTATATCCCCTTACGACAATGAAGTTGTCGCGCCTTGCATCCCTAATTGGCGTAGTTAGTCTTTGCTCGGTAAGTTCCCTGAGCGTGTGAAGTATCTATTGTTCCTAGCTTCTAATATTTTTCGGGGTAGGCCTCTCCATTGGGCATTGAGAAGAGAGATGACACATCAATATCAGCAATTCAACTTAGCTCAGACAAGTCATTTCACTACGAATTGCTGCGTGACCTATCTCTGGTGCCATATGAAGGTTCCGACGTCAATGAAGTTCTCATTGCGGCCCGTGAAATCAAACCCGGAGACTTCGAAAGCTATTACACTGCATTCAATAAACTTGCCACTCGCGTTCATCAGCAGGCCAAAGCCATAAACGTTACCGACCATCCAATCTCCGCTCGCAATACCTTCTTCAAAGCAGCAACCTATTATCGTTCTGCTGACTTCTTTTTGCGGGGAAACTGGGCCGACTCCCGAGTTTATTCTCTTTGGGATAAACACTTGGAAGCATTCAATGCAGCAATTTCCTTACTTCCTGTCCCAGGGCAGAGGGTAAGTCTGCATGCCAAGGGCGACGACCTCAACTCAAACTTCACAATACCAATTATATTTTTCGGCTGTGGCTTGCCTGGCCCGCGACCGACAATCATAATGGGAAATGGTTTCGATGGCGCGCAGGAGGAAATGTATCATGTTCTGGGCAAGGCAGCCCTTGACCGAGGAATCAACGTTATCACTTACGAGGGGCCCGGCCAGCCCACTGTTCGCCGAGAACAGAAGCTCGGTTTCATCCCTCAGTGGGAGAAAGTTGTTACTCCTGTGGTCGACTATGCCATCACGCGCCCTGAAGTCCAAGCCGATGCTATTGGTCTCATGGGCCTTTCATTCGGCGGGTTTCTTGCACCTCGCGCTGCAGCGGTTGAGCACCGTATCGCTGCTGTCCTTGCTTTGGATGGCATTTATGACTTCGGCGAGTCCAATCTGAAGCCTTTACCACCAAAGTTGAAGGAACTATTCAAATCTGGGCCCGAGAACGCGAAACTTTTCGATTCCATCTTGGCAGAGGGTCTAGCAGAACCGTCAACTGACACATTCACCAAATGGGCTGTTCAGCAAGGTTTGTGGTCGTTTAACACCGAATCACCCTTCGAATGGCTCTCACAGACCCAAAAATACAATATGGATGGCTTTGCACAGAACATTACTGCGCCGGTTTTCGTGGGTGATGCGCAGAACGATCAATTTTTCCCTGACCAGGCAAAAGTACTGGCCGACAAGATTGGTAGCAAGCTTGCTACTTATCACGAGTTCAGCACCGCTGATGGAGCCGGCGAACATTGTTCTGTTGGTGCAAGTGTTTTGGCGAATCAAGTGGTCCTGGATTGGTTTGAAGACGTTTTGCAGCATTGAGTCGAGTGATGAGCAGGGATACTTTTCAGCAGAAATTTTTCGTCCTACTCTTAAATAGAGATTTTACTACTAAATAGTTTTATAGAATTGTAAATGCCACGGGGTACCGTATAATATAGTTTAGATATAAACTTGTGCTATAACTAATGCCGCCCAATTCCTCAATGCCACCGTATCCACCTGCCTAACCACACAAGAGTAAACCCAGAGTATTACTCTCTGTTTCATCTACGTATCCTAAGGTACGTCTCTATCTTGTTTACTCGCGTCTTATATCTCGCTTTGTCTCACCTTAATACTCTTTCTTATATAAAATAACTGCTCCCTAACCCAACCCTAATACCTCTAATCCTTTAAGGCCTAAAACTTACTCTACCCAAGCAATTCAGCCATTTTGTATATCAGTGGGCGGCATCTGAGCAACTAAGCCTTTAACGAAGGCTCGCTTTTACATTTACGTCTGTTCTCGAAACCTTTGGCCATCGTCGTCTTCACGACTATAGGCAGCCCTGATATAGAGCCTGTCCACAGCGGACTGTTATAGCAACCATGGGGTGCCCTTGCCCCTCAATACGAGCTTGCATATTTGATATGGATGGACTACTGATTAACTCGGAGGACAAAATAACCTCGTCTATAAATCAACTCCTCGAAAAGCACGGAAGACCACCCTTTACTAGATCAATTCGAGCCAGACTAATGGGTGTCCCCGGTTCCACAAATAGTGATATGTTCCATGACTGGGCCAAATTGCCCATATCTCGCGAGGAATGGGCCCTCGAATCGGCTAAACAAATGCGACTATATTTCTCAAATTGCATGCCAATGCCGGGTGCAGAGCAGCTTGTATACAACCTTAGTCGTGCGCATAGTGCAGCATCCGGCGAGAGAATAAAGCTGGCATTAGCAACTGGTGCGAAACGACAAAGCTACGAAGTCAAGACCTCAAGACCAGAAACAAAGCGATTGATCGATCTCTTCCCAACTAAACATCGAATTTTGGGAGACGATTCGCGGATACCGAAGGGCCGGGGAAAGCCAGCTCCTGATATATACTTAGTCGCGTTACAGGCACTAAACTCGGCAGTGAGTTTCGGCGAGAGGGTCATATTACCCAGCGAATGTTTGGTCTTCGAGGATAGCTTGGTTGGGGTCGAGGCCGCTAGACGGGCTGGGATGAGAGTTGTTTGGGTGCCGCACCCGGATCTCTTTGCTGAGTATCGAGACCAGCAAAAAGACTCTCTCATTACTAGCACTGGAGACTTCCAGACAGGAGATGAATGGCAACCTGGAGAGATGCCTAATGACTGGGGGGAAACAATTCAGACGTTGGAGCATTTTGATTATGAGAGATATGCCATCGATTTGTCGGTTTGAGTATTCATGTCCCTGTTTGACATACACTTTTTTCTGTATACGGTGTTCTGACCGAATTTAGATATGCAGAGATATCCGTTTGTCAGGAGTTAAATCCCATTCGATTGTTGATTCGTATTGTATAGTTTTTGGCATGTTCATGTTAATTTGCAGACAAGAAGTTGTAAATAGAGACTGACCTGGCTCGTTTGACTTCCACCTCATGATCGTGTTCCGCCCGATGCGAATTTGATATCAACAAACTGACTGCCAAGGCTGATAAATGACACTGTCGCGTTGTACAGAGTACATCGATAGTAGATGTGACAGGGGAAGTAGCACCTCGTATTTAGCTAAAAGCGTTAGAAGTCGATAACTGCAGAAGGTCGTCAGTTGTGTAACAAGTATGGCGGACGTTGGCGTGTCCTCGGGATGCCGGCATCGAAATAAGGGTGTGAGAAAAGGGACGACATGGGCCTTGCACGATAACTAGTTATCGCTAGTTAGTGAGTTAGTTACACGTTTCGAGAAGGAATAATAAGAGCTCTTCTCGTGGTGGCTGCAATGACAGCGTTAGCTGCAGGTTAGAGGGTCTGGGCTTTGATTGGAGCGTGAGCAGTCACACGACTCATGAGCTTCTGGCAAATAGACAGCTGTCGTTGTACGGAAAACAGTAGTCCAGGAACAAGATACGGGGTCTCTTTTCGTGGCAAACAAATGTCCGTCCAATTGCTGGCTGCAGAGGATGATTCCACGAAGATCCTTTCAGCATCAACAAGAGGATAAGGTTTGTTTCCCTTCGTCCCTCCCAGGGCATCCCGCGAGCCACATTGTGCGCTTTCTCCTCTTCCGCACAAGGAGGACAAGGCGTTTGTTAGTAGGACCAATCATCCCAGCTAGGGGGTTTCGTCTGCTTGCTCCCGCATCCTTCCCGCCGGCCAAACAGCAGCCACAGAGTCAACTTATCCGCATCCATCCCGCCTGTGTTGTGGTCGCCGTCACAGCATCATTCCTTTTCTTCAGCTCGTCGCTCGTTTCATACCTCTCTTCTGGCATCTGTTTCGTTGTTCGTCAACTTGCTGTCACAGCGAGCGAGAGCAAAAAGAAACGACGACGTCGAAAGAGGCTGAAATTGCTTCTTTTTTGCCTTTGCTGAGTCATCAGACACGTGCGTCTTTGCCGAAGCCGGTTTGTACTTTTGTGGTCGAGGCGCAAAGATGGAAAGACTTATATATCAAAAGACACCGCCGAGGCAGACCTGGAGCATCTCGCGACAGTGATTTATGGCAAGAATTGTTCATTTTACAGTCTCTTCAGCAGCAGTTGGCGATGAATTTACACAGGCACACACTAGAGAATGAAGTTTGCAAAGTAAGTCCCACGCTAAGGAGGAACTTGGCTCCTGGTTACCTTCGAGAGAGGAGTAAGCTGACCACCATCCATCTGTAGGGACCTTGAACGGGAACTGGTTCCTGAATGGCGGGCGAAGTATTTGAACTACAAGGCAAGTTGGAAGGCCAAGCAATGCCACCCAATGCAGATCCCCGAGCTGACCTGTAGAGTTGGGATGATCTATAGGGTGGGAAGAAGAAGGTCAAAGCCATCGCAAGAGCTCTCCGACATGTCGAACAGGCATCATGGACTCCCGGGCGGCGGAGGTTCAGCCAAATTAGCGCTACACGCCGTGACTCGATCCAATTCCCGTTGACGCCTAATGAAATACCTGGACTTAGCAGTGTAACGCAGGGTCATGCAGGTAATTGGGCGAACCAAGCCGCACCGGAACGGTCACCGCTTCGAACTCCAGCATCTCGATTCGACCAGACTGAAGGATATGGAAGCATTGTGCCACCACGACCGAGCCACACAGTTTCTCCCTCTTTAGTTCCTTCCTCACTTCAGCTTCCTGATCCCGCAATTGATCCAGATGACAACTATTTTACGCCCCGGAATGAATCATCTACTCTGCACAACGATGGGCTTCTGGCACCCTATTCAAACAAGCAAAAGAATCTTCGCCCTGGACAAAATACACAATCCGGGCGCGGATCATTACGCAAGCAAATAAGAGATCGGCGACCTACAATTGGCACCCCTGGCCCAAGGCCTTCGTTTATCCACCGAATGTTCTCATCTAGCCCAGAATATGAGAATTCTAAAACCCAGGCACCCGCACAGGAGCAAGCTCTTGCCGAACTGAAAACTAAGGAGGCCGAATTTTTTGCTTTCATGGACAAAGAGCTGTCAAAGATCGAAACCTTCTATAAGTTAAAAGAAGATGAATCGACTAAGAGGCTGCAATTACTCAGGGATCAACTACATGTCATGCGGGACTTACGCCTTGAAGAAATCAGGCTGAAGAAAAACCAATCAAAATCTGAATCTGGAGAGGCCACGAATGGCATCAAAGGCCCTGCTGGCCAGACCGCTGCCACCTGGACTAGACCTTTGGCCCGTGGTAGAGGCTCCCATATCGGGAAGACAACCAAGGCAATGGCACAATTATCAACACCTAGCGGTCCAGTACCACGGGCAATGCCGGACGAGCAGAGAGATTTTGTCACCCGCAAAGAATACCAAAGTGTACCTTATACCTCTGCAAAGAGGAAACTAAAGCTTGCCCTTTTAGAATTCTATCGCGGCTTAGAACTGCTTAAATCATATGCTGATTTAAACAGAAAGGCATTTCGAAAGATGAATAAAAAGTATGACAAGGTTGCATACGCCCGCCCCACTGGGAGGTATATGACTGAAAAGGTCAATAAGGCATGGTTTGTACAGAGTGACATTGTTGAGAATCACTTAGTTGCAGTTGAAGATTTGTATGCCCGTTATTTTGAACGAGGGAACCGCAAAGCTGCCACTCATAAACTGCGTGGCAAAGCAGGGATTCCAACGGACTACTCCCCAAATTCGTTCCGAAATGGGCTAATGCTAGCCGGGGGACTCGTATTTGGTGCGCAGGGCCTTGCCTATGCAATTGGTCACTTGTTCAGCGATGAAATCGACGTCAAGACAGAAACCAGTTATCTTCTTCAGGTACAGAAAACAGATACCTCTACTACGATGGGAGACCTTTCTAACATTTTTTTTCTCTAGATATACGGCGGATACTTCCTTATCCTTGTTCATTTCTTTCTCTTTTGTTTGGACTGTAGAATTTGGACTCTGTCCAAAATCAACTATATTTTCGTTTTTGAATATGACACCCGCCACGTTTTAGACTGGCGTCAACTTTCAGAGGTAGGTGATCCTAGTGGTCATGCTTCAGCTCTGGCTACCTTGCTAACGTGTAGTTATTTAGCTACCATGCCTGTTTAGCCTCCTCTTGGGGCTATGCATGTGGCTAAACTTCCGCTGGATAAACTCGTTTTATATATATTGGCCTGTAGTCTTAATTGGCTTAACCGTCGTTACGTTATTTCTACCCGCGCGAATTCTTTACTACCGAAGCAGGCTTTGGTGGGCGTACTCGCATGTAAGTTCTATATTTTCTCACTTTACGGTCCACTGCTAACAATGCTACAGTGGCGGTTGCTCCTTGCAGGTCTTTACCCAGTGGAATTTAGAGACTTTTTCCTAGGAGACATGTACTGCTCCCAGACCTATGCCATGGGGGTAAGTAGGATATTTTCTCTTCTAAGTAAAAAGAATCAGTTCAGCTGACGGAATATGCCTAGAACATTGCACTCTTCTTTTGTTTGTACGCAAATAAATGGGATAATCCGCCCATGTGCAATTCTTCACACTCCCGCATATTCGGCTTCGTGACTACAATTCCGTCCATATGGCGTGGATTTCAGTGCCTTCGCCGTTATTATGACACTCGCAATGCGTTTCCCCATCTCGTCAACTTCGGGAAATACTCTTTCTCTATACTTTACTACCTAACCCTCAGCTTATACCGTATCGACAAGTCAACCGCCTTGCGCGGTATATTTATCACTTTTGCCTGCCTCAACGCCATATATGCATCCGTTTGGGATTTAGCCATGGATTGGAGCTTGTGCAATCCCTACTCAAAAAACCCATACTTACGTGATTTTCTTGGTTTCCGACGCCGATGGGTATACTATGTCGCAATGGTAATCGACCCTATACTACGTTTCAATTGGATCCTATACGCCATATTCATACATGACATACAACATTCGGCTGTTCTGAGTTTTGCCGTTGCGCTCTCTGAGGTATGTCGTCGTGGAATGTGGACTATCTTCCGTGTCGAAAACGAACATTGCACGAACGTCGGCAGGTTCCGAGCTTCAAGGGATGTCCCGCTTCCATATGATATATCCATGACCGTATCCGATGAGGAAGCAATGTCTTCTATACCCGGCGCGTCTACCTCATACAAGGGGCGGGAGTCAAAGGCTTCGCCTCCACACGCCCTTGGACGCATCCCAACAGGTGGAACCGCTGTGTCGAGCGGTGCTGCCACACAAATGCCCGATCTTGAGAGCGGTGATGGCGGAGATGAATCCACGAGCTCACTTCGGCGCCGACGCTATTCTCAACGCGAAGGAGGTACTCCTCCCAGTGGAACATTGGCTCGGGTAGGCACCATGTTAGCCACAGCGCACGCTCAAGACTTTGAAAGAAAGAAACGGCCTAGCATACTTGATGAAGGGAAAGATAGCCCGAATAACGGCACGAGTACGGATGAAGAGGAGGAGGAAGAGGAAGAAGAGAACGGTGGTAATGATGTTAATAATAATAATGGGTATGAGGGTCATATTTCGGAGGAGTCTGATCAGTCCAGCAATAATAATAGGGAGGGCAGGTCCGGAAGCACCGGTGGTGGTTTGCGTAATTCTGGCACTTGCAGCAGCAGGGCAAGTCGACATGCCATGTAGACTGGGCGAGCCTGTATCACTGGCTGTTTATCCAATGATGATACTAAAACGTGAAAGAGAATCAAGAGAAGCACGAGGTCTATGTATGACTGGTGTCAATAGAATTGGTTGTTGCAGTGCCACACACCCTAGATAAAATATTACACGTACATTATTGAAAGGATTGACAGCATTTCAGACAGATTATTATCAGGTGCAAGACTTGTACGGCGTTTACCTCCATGGAATGTGGGGAGTGAGTTTCGCCTCGTCATCGAACCTGAGTCGCGTGCCACTTCCAACAAATTCTTGGATATAAGATATGTGGAGACGTATAGGATGATGCATTGTCTAACGGCTTCATTTACACTTAAACTCTCTTTGGGACTGGCATATGGGAGTATTCGATAAGAATAACTATCTATGCGTGCCGAGATATAGGCCCTGAGAACGTCTCATGGTAACTAAACCTGAACAAAAAGCCCTGAAAAATGAATGACATCATGCAGTGCAAGTAATAATAGACAAACCATACAAAACCGTGTGTAAAAACGAGATGCGTCTCTAAATCACAACCTGTGGATAGAGCCTAGAGTGAGGTACGAGGGGAAAGAAAATAGAAAACAAGCAGTACAAAGTAATATCACACCCGTGGAACATGAAACCAAAAACAACATCTGCGCCAAGGTTGGAATTACCAACGTGCCATTAGTCAAGTTCGTGTGTTCGCACCTTGATCAGTTCCAGGTGGTGGGACGAATAGTGCGAGCATCTGGCCCGATATGTAGTTGAGTGTAACATATCGTATGTGGCGTACTAGTATAGCGTACGTCCTATATTATACCTCTTATGCGACGACGGCGTCCTTGAGTTCATTGTAGATGGCAGTGAGGCCCTCTTCAGCCAACTTCTCGAGCTTCTCGGTGAGGGTGGAGGAGAATTCCGTAGTGTCGTTCTCCCTAGCACCTCCAATGATTTTCTTGTAGTCGTCAGAGCCACCACCGTTCCAGGCGAGGAGCTATAAGTAGTATTGTTAGTAAATGTTTCAAGCGAGATGATAACTATGGGGGGAGGGGTGCTTACGTTGGGGGTGTCAGATGGGATATCAGAGAGGAGGTCCTTGGAGGCGATAGAGATCATGTTATCCTTCATTTCAGCTGGAGTGATCTCAGCAACGGCAAAAGCGGAGTCGGAGGCAGGCTGGAGGGAGAGGAAGTAGGCCAAGAGACCGCAGATGTGGGGGGAGGCCATGGAAGTTCCGGAGATGGTGTTGACGGCGTGCTTGCTTCCGATCCAGGTGGACTGGATATTCAAGCCAGGAGCAAAGATATCGGTACATTTGCCGAAGTTGGAGAAGTAAGCACGCTCATCAGCGAGAGTTGAGGCACCGACGGTGATGGAGTTCTTAGAGCCAGCAGGAGAGTAGTTGCAAGCATCAGCGTTATCGTTACCGGCAGCAACGGCAAAGTGCATTCCAACAGCAACAGCCTGGTCAACAACACGGTCCAAAGTGACGGACTTGCCGCCTCCCAAGCTCATGTTAGCAACACTTCCCTTGAAGCCCTTTCGGTTACCCTTCTTGGCCTCGCCGACCGACTTCAAGTGACTTTCGGCGGCCCATTGGACACCCTTGACGACATCAGACATGGTACCAGAGCCACTGGTTCTCAAGACCTTGACAGCGTAGACATTGGCCTTCTTGGCAACACCGTACTTCTTGCCAGCAATAGTACCGGAGCAGTGAGTTCCGTGGCCGTTGCCGTCAACGTCATCGTCACCCTGGGGAATAGTCTTTCCCCAGCTAGCACGGCCTTCAAAGTCGACGTGATCGATGTTGGTGCCGGTGTCAATGACGTAGGCATCAACACCCTCACCACCCTGGGAAGCGTAGATGTACTTGTTGAATGTGCCGAAGTTGAGCTTGTCACGGTGAGAGATACGAGCTAGACCCCAGGGAGCACCGTTCTCAGTGGCAGCCTTGAGGGTGTGGACTTCAGAGTCCCGCTCGATGTATTCAACCTGTATGATCGGTCAGTATGCTGGAGAGAAAGAGAAAAAAAAAAAAAGGCAAATAAGGAGCAAAGAAGGATCCGGGGGTAGCTGGCAAGCTCTTCGAGAGCTCTTTCAGCCTTGAGGTGAAACTGACGTCAGGATGTCTGCGGACTTGCTCGATGACTTCTTCATCGAAATGGCCAGAGTAGCCGAGGAAGCCACCAGCAAAGTCGAATGTGTGCTTCAAGCCATCAAAGGCCTCATTCTTGAATGTGAACTGGTTGCGTTTCTTCATACGCTTGGACTCGACGGAGGTGTGAATGTCCTGGACCCAGTTCTGGTGAGCTAGGGCCGAGGTGGAGGTGACACCCTTCTTGAACACAACGATGTATGAATCCGGAATATCTTTGGCGTTCGTGGAGGAGAGGATGGGAGCAGCATTCTGATGGATGGAGTCAACGATCATGGGGGAGGCGTATGCCAGCACAGGCAACACCGAGAGGCTGAGGAGGCCCTTCATGGTGACGAGGGCGAGTCAAGGACAGAAGGTAAGGATGGGAAGCTCGAGAGATGGAAAAGCAGGCAGACTAGAGATGGACGATGTGCTGGATGACTCTGGCGATGGTGATGATGAGTGAAGAAGAAGAAGAGGCGGCAGAGACGGAGAGTTAAGAAGAGACGATGATGACGGGGAGGAGGAGGTTGGAGGTCTGAGGTCGGCGGTTGGCGGCAGACGACTTGCCCTGGAGGTCCCGGAGGTCGGAGCGGATGATGTAAGATCCTCGCGCTGACTCATCGAGATCACGTCACATGTCTTGCTCCCAACTGGAGCCTGGTGGAGTGGAGCTGCGCTTATGTAAGGTTTGGCTGCGGTCACGTTCGCTCGTTCGTACTTTCCCAGTTTGATCACCAAGAAAAGAAAGAAGCGACGCCGCAAGGGGGAAGCTCGTGACGAGGCTTTTACAGGGGGTTACTACTCCGTACTGGTCACTATCTACAGGGACAGGACAACCAGGGGAGAGGAAGGCGGCCTTGCTGGCCCAACATCTGCAAGCTTCGAGTCGTCATATCCGGGGACAGCTCCAGCAGCTCCAGCTTCGCTCGCTAACTAGCTTGTTAGCTCGTTAGTTAGCTCCGCAGGGATCGTCGGGGGGATAGCTTCAGCCTGCCTGAATCTCTAGTTAGATCCGTACGGAGTACTCCGTATCGACTGCGGCCTTGAGCTCTTCTAAGACATCACGTAGACACCGACTATCGATTAAGGCGTCTATCCGGTTTATAGCTCGTCTTATCGCTGAGTTGCGGTCGAGGCTTCTCATTACCTATCCTAGCTAGAAAACCTCTCGCGTGACATGATAAATTCGCCCACCTATTGTAGAAGAGAATAGGAGATTGGGCCTTTTTGGTTACTATTTTTATCTATAGCTATTCCACTACTATATCTAAAATGGTACATAAAATATATCGAGTAGACTGTGTTACATGGTGGTTAAACACAGCCTACAAGCACACCACATCTAAGTATAGAGAACGGAAGTCTCGGAGTCTCCAAAGGCTCTTTTTGCCTTCGGTAGAGAAATATATTATATATCCCACGACTTCAGCCAAGAACATGTTCTGTAATCAGAACCACCAGTCCAGATTCCAGAACATCATTTGGAATTGGCAGGTCCGGGAAATCCGACAGTTCAGGGTCGTCTCGCTCCTGTATTTCCTTGTAGCGCCTAGTTGCTGAGATGCCACCCTCTGAGGAATCTGCTTACCCAGATGCCACCGTATCCATCTACCTAACTACATAGAGTAAAGTATTCTTAGGATAAACTTCTCTGTTTTATCTATGTATTCCTAACCTATACTTTACCTTATTTTATTTACTTCTTATGCCTATCTCATTTTGATTTCCTTTCTTACTCTTATAAAGAATTCTTATACCTTTAACCCACTAGCCCTTACCCTACCCTATTTCTTGTAGATATTTATAAACCTCTCTTCCCAACTGGTATTCCGAAAATACTTCGCATCAAATCCCTCGACGTCTTTATGTGTGCATGTTCTCATCTCCTCAAAGAGCCTCTCTTCCACCAGTCGGCGAATTTGCTCGCTACCACGCTGGGAGGATGACGTCGATCTCCAGGATGTGCCCTCTGATGTGGGAGAAACTGTTGCAGGAGGGGTGAGTTGGGAGAGAGGCTTAATAAGTTGAAAAACTGCTTTCCAGATATCGACTTCCGGAGCCTTTTGAAACACTGGGCGTACCAGGTCTCGATAGAGACTGTAGTTAAAGCTTCCCTTCTCCTTTAGGAGGTCTGCCAGGTCCAAACCCACTTTTTGATCGTATATCTGTGATGAAAGATTCAATGCTGCATCAGTTCCCACTAACGTATAGACAAGTTTCGTTATTCCACTTTGATAGAGACGGTCGAGTCTATCAAAGACACCATCGGAGGACCTCATCCGTGAGTCGTGGACTTTCTCTGCCTCTTGAAGCAGTCACCTAGCCGATCCAGCGAGTCATATAAAGGATATTGCTTGATAATGTCGCGCTCATCCTGTGAAAGATCCATCATTTTCCGAGAGTAATGTGTGTATTCATTATAGTCCTATGCAGTCAACGGCTATGAGGACTTTCCAAGAGTAAGCATATGGTGCTTCTGAAGTGGAATATCAACCAGATCGCTTGCTCGGAGTCGTTTCGCATCACCCTATTATAATAAAACAAAGCTGTAGATATTACGGTGGAAAAAAGGGGACGTGTGGTGTGTGTGGAAGAAGAAGAATTGGAATTGGGAGGTACCTTCCACTTTAGGTACCTTGGGTTGTAAGAATCAAACGACTTTGGTAAGGCCAGGCCCGGGCCTTGTCACGTGATGCGTTTCGCCGCGCGGGAGAGTCGAGGAAAGATATCTTGACGCAGCTTCGAGGGCGAATTCACCTTCATTTGATGGACTACAGAGGACTCTGCTGGAGAGATGCCATCTTGTCCGTCCATTGAGAGTTTACACGTTTCAGTCACTGTTAACGGCAGAGAGCTACAGTTCATGACCGAAGTTTCTCGCTGATAAACTAACACTAGAGACGTCTGTCTACCTGTCACGACCAAGTATGGCTGGCTGCATCACGCGATGAGATTGATAGCTGGTGACTGCAGACCTTATACACTGCATATTCGCCCAAGATGAGCGGCGCGCAACCTCGCTCGAGAGTGTCGTCATCCACCATCTCGGTAGAGAGACTGACCCCAAAACTCCAGCCCGCAATCGACGGGTTAGCTAGCTGCTGCCATAACCTTCCAGGGTCGATTGAAGAAGCATCCGAAGCCACCGAACATATCCTTCTCATACACCATACGCTTATCGACGACCACCAACCCCAAGAGGCAAAGAGCCTCTTTCGTCAGCTCAGAGGGTTCGAACATGTCTTAGGACTACTAGAACGTTTGGCAGATCTATACAAACCAGACACGATAGGGGATGCAGACGGGAAGCTACTTCTGTCAATTATTAAAGATTCCCTATGCATCGTTGCGGAAAGCTTGAAAGATGATCCGGGAAACAAACGATATTTCGGCAAACGGGATAATGTGGCTGGAATCATCGCGTATGAACGCATCCTCTCAGGCCTGGCTGTCAAACTGAATAACACCCAGGATGTCGAACTCCTTTATGGCGGCCTGTTGGCAGCTGGTCTGGGAAATGAAACAATGTCACAATTCTTCTCAACTGTCAGGAAGAAGGCAGAGGACGCTGAGTCAAACACTTTGCTTTCGCTCTCCGAGCTGGTTAACCGCAGTCTGGGAACTGGGGAGGTAGTAGAAAACCCAGAATTTTTCGGGCCGTTATTGCGATTATGGCTGGCACAAACTGCTGAACAAGAGACCTATCCAATTCTTCGACTCTCGGTTCCACTATGTCTTACTCGTCTTGCTTCATTGTCCCAACGGAATTGTCTAGCTCTCCATTCCACAGGCATTCTCTCTCCGCTCTTAACCCTTGTAACAGTACCTGAAAGATCAAAGGATGAGCTAGAAGCATACTTGAAACTGGCCACAATTTTATGCCAGCATGGCGTTAACTCCCTGCAGGATGCTATACAACTCTACCAAAAGGCCCAAAAGGCACCCCAAGTTTCCAGGTTCCTATTAGATGCATTGAAGTCTTCAAAAAGCCCTCCCTGTGTGCACTTTGACCTTTCATCCCATGGATATAGCTCGATCGAATTGCCAACTTTGGGGAGACCATTTCCCTCTATTACCTCTAGTGGTTATACTCTAACCATCTGGGCACGAGTTGACAAATTTGAACCAGACACCCATACTACCCTGTTTGGTGCCTATGATGCTACACAGACATGCTTCCTTTTAGTCTATCTTGAGAAGGATACTCATAACCTTATTTTGCAAACCTCAATTAAGGGTGTGAGACCCAGTGTTCGTTTCAAGGCCATGAAATTCCTGCCTGGTCAATGGTACCATATTTGCATTGTGCATAAACGGCCCAAAACGCTGTCTTTATCCCGTGCACTTCTTTTCGTAAATGGTGAATTTGCAGAACAGCTCAAAGCGGATTACCCGGTTGTACCAAGACTTCGGGTGAACCAGAAGAATCCTCAGATTCAAGCATTTTTAGGAACTCCTCGGGATCTCGCTGTTAGAGTTGGGAAAGGCGTATCTTCCTCGAAATGGTCACTGGCCTCTGCCATTCTATTTGATGAAGCTTTCAATGATGACCTTATTGCTGTGCTTTGTCATCTTGGGCCTAGATATTATGGGAACTTCCAGGATTGTCTAGGCTCCTTTCAGACGTACAGGGCGTCTGCTACCTTGAATTTACGCAATGAGAGTCTCCATGCTGGCAAGGAGGACCAGTCAGACATTGTTTCCGTCATTAGACAGAAAGGCAGCATTTTGATTCCCGAAAGCTCTGTCCTGCTCAATATATCACCCACCTCAGTTATGGATGATGATGATACCAATAACATTGATGAATCACAGTTGGTGAAATCACTCTCAAAAACTGCTGGCAAGAATTTAACTCAACTCACCAAGGTCAAGGGCAATTCTATTGTCATCAATGGAGCCGTTCCCGCAATTAATGAAGCTCTAACACAACCTCATGGAGTTGCAATACTCACGGGAGATCCGGTGGTCATTGTCCCGCAATCTCTAGATGATGTGAGTTGGCGAATTGGTGGGTGTGCAGGCGTCCATCTCAGTTTGGTTGAGGCGGCAACAACCCGCGAATCGCTTCATCTTGCTCTAGAACTGCTCTTTGAAGCTGTACAGGACAACTGGAGAAACAGTGAAGCCATGGAAAAGGAGAATGGATACGGTATACTCGCCATGCTCCTGCGGGAAAAACTTGGGTTTCCATCGCCTGTGCAGAGTTCTCCTTTAAAAACAACTCCAGTGTGCAGCACTACACAAGAACGCAACGAGGCGTCTATGGAGCTTCTACTACCAATCCTCAGATTTGTAGGGTATGATTTTGAGAACCCGAAAAAGTCTTTAATCATAAATCCATTGGCATACAGGATCCTATTAATAGACCTGGATATATGGAGGCAAGCTGATTTGCCATTGCTGGAAATATACTATTCCCAGTTCCGAACTTTTTGCGTGGAGAGTCATTACCACAGGTTCAACTCAAAGCGGCTGTCCAGAATGCGTATGTTCTCACCACCCTTAGGCCTTCTGCTACTGCAAGACATGCTAACTTAGTATGTATAGGTGTGATCAAAAGGCTTATAGAAGCCCTGAAAGCGGAAATTTTCACAACAGCAACTTTGAAACTATTCGTGGCAGCATTTAAGAGCTTAGTGGGTGCTTGTATGACTGCGGAAGTTCTTCGTTCTGTATCGCTGTTCATTACATTTTCCATACACTCAGCAAAGCAGCGAGTGAACAAAACCAACAAAAATAGAAATACCCGTCTTGACATACGGTCCCGACGAACAGGAAATTTATACCCTGATCATGTCCCAGGCTATGTTTCAAAGGAACAAATTGGGGTGGAAATTTTGCGGGTGTTCACCGACGTCTTTTGTAACAGCGAAGATACGGCCAGCATCCAAAAATTTGCCAGGACAGTCACTAATAAGGTATGCTTCAGCTTCACAACTCTCGTAGGAATTTACAACTTACATGTCGTTTATAGTGGCTATTATACCTCCTATCAGAAGACAACCCAGATGTAGTGATATTAGTCACGATGATTTTATCTCGGCTGTTTATTGTTCATGGCACTGCTTACACCAAAAAATTTGCCGAGAAGGCGGGTGGGTTCGTGGTGATGCGGCACCGACTCAAAAGGTGGTGGAACTTAGCACCATTATGGCCACTATGTTTCTCCATCCTCTTTGGTCTGGATCCGGGCTCGATTAACTTGGATAAAACTTCCGGTACCTCGGATCTTCAGCGACTCTTGTCTTCCCCTGAGGCCCTCAAAGTGTCGTTTCCAGAGGTTCTGCCTGTTATTACAGGAATGCTCCAGCTTGGCTTGAAAGCATCTGTGATGCCTAGGAGTGGTTCTCCGTCCAGCCATGCAGAGGATGATGATGGCGTGTATGTGGTTCGTCCTAGGGCGGATTCAGGGAGCAGTTCATTGCGATCAGGTTAGTGTTTCTGCCATTCAATTAATCATTCTTAATAGCCAACCCAGCGTTGGAATTATGTTCTTTTCTTCTCCTTAGGGAAACTAACTATTCCACACAGAAGTTAGCACCCCGGGGCCTGTATCATCGGACCACGACATTTTAAAATCCGTTGTGGATTTCCTGGCTCATATACATGAAAAGTCTCAAAACTTTCGGGATTTTACAGTGACATCCAATTATGTAGAAGAACTCCTGCGAGCTTTATACCCTGTAGTAGTTGGCTCTGATATAGTCAATGCAGGTTTTGAGCTAGAGTCCAATTCAGAAGGACTACGATTTGGTGGGGATTCGGTTACAATTCAACCACTCCAGGGGCCTAGACCGATTGTACGCACTAGTACAGTTGAGGGGACAGATGCTCAAGATAACGACAATGAGCTTCACCGATCGTCATCATTTATCCTGGTATCATCAAATAAATCAAAATATTCCCCTTCTCCCGCCCGATTGCAACAAATTGTGACGCCTGTGCCTGATGCAGCAAGCCCCCGTCCAAGCAATCCTGTGGCCAACGATATCCTTGATATCCTTTTAGCCGTTTACACAGATCAGCTGTTCGGACGCAAAGAGTTTCCAGGATTGCAGTTGTTTGCCAGGATACCTCCCGGGTTTGTAGAGCATCAGATATATTTCGAGTCCTGGATTCTTAAAAACCTCCTTACACATTTAGAAAAAAAGATATCGAAGGACAAGAAAGTGCTAACTGAACCTCGCGTTTTGAACAATTTGTCTCGACTACTGTCATACGTGGCTGAAGCCGTGTATGGAGGATGGTTTATTGATGGAGCAATGGCTACGTTGAACTTTATCGGCCCTGTTCTGGAATACTTACAAGAGCCAGATATTGCTTCTTTGAAAAGCGTCCGGCTTTGCAGCCAAACGATTGCTGGCATCCGTTCGACGGTATTTCGGACTGTACTCCTACGACTTTCTGCAGCTGAAGGAGAAAACGCATACACCTTCCTACAACAGCTCACATACTGGCAAACAGTCCTTTTGTCTCATGAAGAGTCTCCCAACGAGCAACTCCAACTAATATATTATTTATTATACTCTAAAATAGTGACGGAGAAAGAAAATGTTCGCGTGGCAGCAGCAGGGTTGTGGAGAATTACCCTCGTTCAAAAACCGTCAGAAACCTCTGCAATTCTTGGTCAGGCTACTCCATCGCTCCATAGGCGGCTTTCATTAGGCTTCCAAAAACTCGTTGGAATGGACGATGATAGCTTTCTTCACTGGATCGATGACCAACGCGACGACCTTGATTGCTTTTTCTTCGGTGCTCTGTGTAAAGGCTGGGAAAGCTTTGTTCGTGATGAGAACACCAAAACTCAGGAAACGGCGCGGATAAGAGCATCTAAAAGGAAGGAAAAGTTAAAGCAGTGGACCCAGACTGAGTCTATAAACGAAGAGATCCTGCGTAAACATGGCATTACGTTTGGGCATTGGACAGCCAATATATCCGTGTCGGAAGGTTTGAAGCATCAGCGAGCAGTCCAAGACCAACAGGATGATTTCAATTTCATGGCTTCTGCTTTTTCCCGGATGTACACGAATTTGAGGCGTGAGAATGGCTTCCTCGCAACTCAATCAAAGCATAACTGGCGCCTGGACCAGACAGAGGGACGCAGCAGAATGCGTTTACGTGTAACACCAGACGATTCAACTGCCAAACGGGATTATCAGCCAAAAAGAAAAATCACTAATGATACTCCTGAAATCAAATTGGATATTCGCACACGCCCTGCGCCCAATAGTGATATGATTAATCTGTCACCTCCCACGATTGTGCCCGACTCCGTTGACACGGATTCTCTTGATAACGAAACTGAAGATAAATCTGCCACTGAGGATAGCTTTGAGCTGATAGACGAACCAACGGGAAACGACCCTTATGAAGATAAGAATCGGAAAGTGATGAAAAATCTCCAACGAGGCGATCAAGTGCAATATGTTTGCAACATCTCCCGCATTATTGGGCTTGAAGCTTGTGAAGGCCTGTTGATATTGGGAAAAATCAGCCTTTATATAATGGATAATTTTTTCCAGCGCTCTGACTGTGAGATCGTCCATGTGTCGCAAGCGCATCCTGATGAAAGAGATCCTTATGTTCGCGTCATTTCTGGCAGAGAATCTGATGATCGGAAACACAATAACGGCGCCCATAGATCCAGAAGCTGGATTTGGGCGGACGTCGTCAGTGTGTCGAAGCGCCAATTTCTCTTCCGCGATGTTGCCTTGGAAATATTCTTCTCTGATGGGCGGAGCTACCTGTTTACTCTTATATCTGCCAAGCTACGCAACGAGCTCTATAATGAGCTGATATCCCGTGCACCCCAAATACATAGCAGTACTAGCTCAACAGAAGACTCATGGCGCTTTGAGACTTTACGCAGTGAAGGGAATAACTCACAGTTCTTTGGATCAAAGCTTGTGAACGTCTTCAGCCAGATGCCTTCCCACCCGGCAACACGAAAGTGGCTGAAGGGCGAGATGTCAAACTTTCATTATCTGATGCTTGTTAATACGCTCGCAGGCCGAACCTTCAATGATTTGACTCAATACCCTGTATTTCCGTGGATTCTTGCTGATTATACCAGTGAAGAGCTCGATCTTACAAACCCAAGAACCTTCCGTGACCTTTCGAAACCAATGGGATGTCAAACGATAACACGCGAAGCAGATTTCAGGAGCAGATACCAATCTTTTGCAGAAATGGGAGACGAAAATGCTCCACCCTTTCACTATGGGACACACTACTCTTCTGCCATGATCGTGTGTTCATACCTGATACGACTCCAGCCATTTGTCAAATCCTATCTCCTCTTGCAGGGCGGAACGTTTGATCATGCCGACCGCCTGTTTTTCTCAATCCCTGATGCGTGGAACTCGGCATCACGACTTAATATGACCGATGTTCGAGAGTTAATCCCGGAGTTTTTCTACCTGCCAGAGTTCCTCTCAAACTCCAACAACTATGACTTTGGGATACGGCAGAGCACAGGCCAATCTATTGATTCTGTGGAGCTTCCTCCATGGGCAAAAGGAGACCCAAAGATCTTTATAGCTAAACATCGCGAGGCGCTTGAAAGCCCGTTTGTCACCCGCAATCTACATCAGTGGATTGACTTGATCTTTGGTGCCAAACAACGAGGTGAAGCGGCTCTGGAAGCCGTCAATGTTTTCCACCATTTGTCTTATCGTGGCGCCAAAGATCTTGATAGCATTGAAGATCCCATGGAGAGATTAGCAACCATAGGAATCATCCATAATTTTGGCCAAACCCCTCACCAAGTTTTCCATAAGCATCATCCAGGGCGGGAAGAAATCCAAAACAAGCCCATTCGCCTGGACTCTTCTGCAGACTCATTAACCCGTTTACCATTTACCCTGCTAGGTAAGGCTATGTCTCACATGTCTTCCTCGATCTTCTTTTAACATGGCTTCCGCTTCTAGATATTCAAGAACGAGTGGCTTCCCTATCTTTCTCGGTGAAACAAGACCGCCTTCTTTGTGCAGCAGCATTTCGACTCAACATCCCCCCAACCTATGATAAGTATATGGAGTGGGGGTTCTCAGATGGAAGCGTCCGTTTTTATGCGGCCGAGTCAAGAAAGGTACAGTACAATCTCCTCTAAGTTTAGACTGAATATTAATGCTAAATTTCCCATCTTGACAGTTAATTGGCCATTTCGAGCATGTCCATATCGGCCAACTCTCTTGTGCTATTTTTGCCGATTCCCAGACCTTGATTACTGCTGGCACCGATTGCACCATAGCTGTTTGGTCATTCACATCGACATCTCGATCCGTTGACCTCCTGCCAAAAGCCTCTCTCTTTGGCCATCGGTCACCAGTCACCGTCCTTGCTGTTTCACGGTCATTTAGCACAATTTTATCTGCTTCTAAAGATGGTCAAGTCATGCTGTGGGATCTAAACCGACTCGAGTTTTTGAGAGAGTTATCAACTGGCCCGCCAGTTAGCGTAAGATTCTACTTCTGACCCCATGGTGACTATCCTTTGACTAACTCTCCCCTTTAGTGTGCCCGTATAAATGATGTAACTGGAAATATTGCCGTTTGTCGTAGCAATATGGTTTGTCTCTATACGTTAAACGGCACCCTTCTTCTCGAAAGACCCGTCTGCGAACAGTCAGATGATAACGTCCTCTCCTGTGCTTTCTATGAAGGGGTTGGCAATGAGTGGTTAGAGCGTGAATTATTTTTTACTGGCCATCGGAAAGGACTGGTGAACGTAAGTGACCGATTCGGCGCACACTTTCTTCCATATTTTGCTGATCTAGCTACTAATTGTGGATAATATAGATATGGAGCAAGTGCATCAGAAATGGGGTGTTTGAGCTGGATCTCATCCGCCAGCTACATCACGTAAACACTTCGCGTGGGGATGGAGCAGCAGCTCTTGCAGGAATTACATGTGTTCTTCCCCTCTCACATGTTGTATATACGGGTGACGAGTCGGGGCAAGTTTATGAGTGGAATTGTGTGCAGCGCCATTAGACCTTTGGGCGCATGGAGCTGCTGGTTGGCACTTTTTTGTTTACATTATAGACGATTACGATTATGATAAGTGTTGATATTGCTCACAGCCATTTGATCCAGCTCAACTTTTGCAAGATTTTATAGGGTTAAATTTCCAACAGGATAACTACCTAAAGCTGGCCAGAACCTACTATGAAATCTCTCCTGTATACCACTCGGTTGTCAACCAACGCAGAGGTGGTAATCTAAGCATATTTACTACAGTCTGCATTCACGTTCTTATTCGTAAATCGAAGCCGTTACAACCTAAGCCAAGGTCTAATAATTAACCATTCCTTGCTTTAATGAGATAAAATTACGCAGTACCGTTATTGAATTTTAACAAATTAATGTAGCCCAGCACCGAAAATCATCGAATGTAGCCAGACAGACACTAGCTCATAGCTTGGGTATGGTCTGTGAACCCCAATTTCATATCTCAATACGACTTCGACGCAGTGAGCCAGGGGAGTGGGTCTCGACTGGCAATGCCAAGACAACGGCGCGGTCCTTAACCTTGTCCGAACTCTCGACGATATTCGATTTCATTTACTCGGACATTTTTGAGGCTTTAACTTTCCCTTTACTGCGGATATCAGCCCCTTTCTCAATATTTATAAAAAGGTATTGACATTAGTACCGGAAGAACCGGAAGCGATTTCAGTGGTAACAGATTGAATTTTCGAACTGTATGGGCCAGACTCTCCACGTCGTCCAGGGTAACCTCACTGCTGCCCAACCTCATCATCCATTCTATGGTGGTGACATTGGTGCATCAATTCAAGGACTGACGTCTATAGAATTTAACGGTAGATCTCTAGTGTTCAACTTCCTGTAGGGTCGAGTAACATATCTAGAAGAAGAGACGATGGATCGTTGCAGGTGCCAGAAAATCCCCCTCCCTCCACTTTTTCCCCTTTTTGGCATTCGCTTTACCAGTTCGTTAACCAACTCAGGCCTTAAATGTGAATAGATCGATCTATTAGAGAAGTATTTGGGTGTCGAAGTGGTGGATATGACGGAAAGCTGCGTTGATGACTAGCTATACTATCCGGCTTTCCGAGGGCAAGATGCTGACATACGGGAGAATACCTCTCAATGGATCGTATCACAACAACAAATTCTCAGCACCGCCGGATTCATTTAGTGGCGTTACTTTGGATGACTTATATCAAAGGGAGAATTCCAAAGCCGAACAAAAATCTAGACCCGTTCGCGCATACAATCAAAACGGCAACCAGAACGGCCGATAAGTGTACAATCGTAGCAAGAAGGAACTATGCACTAAATTATGGGTCATGAGGTTACGACTTCAAGGTTCATCAGTATACCGGTCTGTGTTCGTGTTATGGCCTTTAGGGAATATGGAGGAGTAGATGGTAACTCTTGTTACTCTACGCCATTGTTAATCAGCTCTTGTGAGAGCCCTGACTCGTTGAACAGACCATCCTAGGATATCCATTGGTATCCGATTGTCTAGGAATTGTTAAGGACACTCAGATTGATATGGATTCACCTTGAGAAATAGACAATGCTATTAGGACTCAGTGAGAGAATCAGAGGAGCATTGAATCTGCAGATTTAGCCTCCATGGCACCGGGAAATCTCGGAACATCAGCTTTTTTGTTGGAGGGCAGAATGTGATTGATACTAGACTAGCGTCGCAATTGAGCAGCCTGAAGAGTTGGTAAGAGCAATGGCCAAAGCAGCCATGGCATGTAAAGGGATGCCAGGAAACAAAGAGTTGAGCAAGGAGTGTATAGGACATGGAAATTGGAGTCAACTACATGCTTGTATTAACTAGCTCCAAACCTCCCCAGGGCTGCTCCTGGGTATACTAGTCGATACTTGTTCCAGGGCGGGCTCACTTCCCCCATATCGTTGGTCTGGTCCTGTAATGTCCCGTTGCACATACACTGTGATGCAGCTAGCTAGAAGATCAAATGTTAATGTTTCCAAATAGCGGTTGACAGCAGAACTAACTAAAACCAGCGAATCAAAACCTCCAGTTCCTTACTTCACCGCTTGCATATAAGCAGTTTAAGGTTTGAGCCTTCCAACTGTGTTTCCTCGAACGTGGCTCTCTGTTTAACTAGCGGAATACTCGGCAATGGGATATCTCGGGTCAGTTGACCGTCATGGAGGCAGTATGCGGCTCCTCACGGAGTCACAGACGGACAGATGAGCCAGCTCGGCCAGGGGAGAAGAGGGCAGCACAGAAGAGCTCGACGACCTCTGTTCCATTGACTTGATAGAACGTCGCCCTTCAGCCTTTAGCAACGACGCTAACTAACTAGTTAACTAACTAAAGCTGCCATAAAAACTCTTGCTTTCCGGTGGTTGATGTGCAGGCGGGCTTTTTATATCCCAAAAAAATAAGCGCGGCGGAAGCTCAACCGAGACGCTTTCCGCGGGGTTACGCCCGAGAGGGAGCCCAGCCCCACCGGGAGAGAAAGAAAAAGGAAGAGACGGCGAGCTGCTTAGTGAGCCAACCAAACCAGCCAAAGAGAGCTTGCCACCTCCGTCCAACGTTAGGTTTATATGAACCACGGCGCCCGCTTCAGGAGTTCACCTTCATCTATCTTCCATCTCATCTGGACACAGAACGATTCTTCGTCTCCATCTTCGCAGTAACAGCCGGACTGACCTGCTAAATCGACCCCGAAGCCTCCCGCGACTACACAGAACGGACAAGTTGGCGTTTCTATACGTTGCACCAAGATGTCTACCTCTCTTGATCAATTGAAGGCCTCTGGCACGGTAAGTTTGGGTGCCTTTCGTGCAATTCCTGCAATTTGCCTCCGTTGAAACCCTGGCTGATGATAGAGTAGACTGTCGTTTGCGACTCCGGTAAGACTCGAGCGGGAGAGATGATGAGTGATGAGCAATGAGGGGCCCGATGAGGGGCACTCATCTGGGATTTCAGAGAGCATATGGACTAACGTGAAGCTGTTGGGACTGATATAGGTGACTTTGCAAGTGAGTGATGCCCCTAGAAGCCGTATAGCTTGAAGCGGCACAGGTCAAGCTGTCGACATTGATTCCGTGATATCCGTGGCTAACATAAGTCTCCAAACTTGTAGCCATCGGCAAATACAAGCCTCAGGATGCTACCACCAACCCTTCCCTTATCCTTGCTGCTTCCAAGAAGCCAGAGTACGCCAAGTTGATCGATGCTGCTATCTCCTATGGCAAGCAAAATGTACGTTTGATGCCGGGCCACCTATCCGTGAACGATGGAATGAAGCAGCAAGCAGCTAACACTTATGGCAGGGCTCCAGCATTGATGAACAAGTCGACGCTGCCTTGGACAGACTACTCGTTGAGTTCGGAAAGGAGATCCTCGCTATCATTCCAGGAAAGGTCTCCACCGAGGTTGATGCCCACTACTCCTTCGACACCCAGGCTTCCGTCAAGAAGGCCCTTCACATTATCGATGTATGTTCAAACTCCCTAAACTGAACCGATCAATTGAGGGGTAAGTACTCACTAGATGACAGCTCTACAAGTCCGTCGGCATCGAGAAGGACAGAATCTTGATCAAGGTCGCCTCTACCTGGGAAGGTATCCAGGCCGCCCACATCTTGCAGTCCCAGCACGGTGTCAACTGCAACTTGACCCTCATGTTCTCTCTGGTTCAGGCCATCGCTGCCGCCGAGGCCGGTGCTTACCTGATCTCTCCCTTCGTCGGCCGAATCCTCGACTGGTACAAGGCTGCCATGAAGCGAGAGTACACCGCCGAGGAGGACCCAGGTGTCAAGAGCGTGCAGAACATCTTCAACTACTACAAGAAGCACGGCTACAAGACCATTGTCATGGGTGCCTCGTTCCGAAACACTGGTGAAATCACCGAGCTTGCTGGATGCGACTATCTGACCATCTCCGTATGTTTCCCTTCGTCCAGCCAGAGTCGAAACCCAGGTTCAAAAATACTAATATAAAACTTTTTTTCTTTTCACTAGCCCAACCTCCTTGAGGAGCTCTACAACTCCAACGCCGCTGTGCCGAAGAAGCTCGACCCCGCCGGTGCCGCGAACCTTGACATCCCCAAGCGCAGCTACCTGAATGACGAGGCTCTCTTCCGCTTCGACTTCAACGAGGAGCAGATGGCCGTCGAGAAGCTTCGAGAAGGTATCTCCAAGTTTGCTGCTGATGCCGTCACCCTCAAGGGCATCATCAAGGAGAAGATCCAGGCCTCCGCATAAGCGAAAGCTCGAGCCGCTACTTAGGTACCCCCTAGTTAAAATTGAACATCTTCTTTGCCCCTTTCTTTTCTCTTTTCCGCCCTTCGGTCGTACGCAGAGGCGGCAGATTGACATGCGACTGCAGCGATTTATATTACGAAAATGCTTTCTCTAAAATCCAAATATATGTATCTAACCCAGTATGAAAACCCCCTTATAGAAATGTGAACAATTTGCAGTAGAAATCCGCAAGAACCAATCAGCGGCTTTCCCTACAAGAGAAAACTTTGAATCACGTGCTATTCTAAATACCACGTGATATATCTGTGTTAATGAATTAGTCAGCATGAGGGGCAAGCCTATTACGTCATTCGGAGGAAGCTGGAAGAGACGAAAAAGTCGAAGCTGAAGAAGTAGAAGAGAGAGGAAGATGACCGATTGATGCAAGAATGAAAGAATAGACAGGCTGGTAGATAGGAGTCGTAGGCAATTGCAGTAGCAGTTTCGCCGTCATGTAGTCGCGGGCGTCGAAAAGAGTCCTCGAGAGCCAGCGGCATCACGCCGGCCGCCGGGCGCGACCGAGCAGGAAGAAAGCGATAACTAACAAGGGCGAGGCCGGATGTTTACATGTCCAGCACCCCCACCATCGGCCGGATTCTGCTTACGAGGGGGAACAAACAAGGCCCTTTCCAGCCCTTTTCCCTCATCCTCCGTCCCTCCATCTTCTCGTCCTCTCTCTCGTCCTGTTCATCGACTCATCAACCGTGCAAAATATCGCCCTTTAAAGCGTCCAAAAGGGAAGAAGATCTAGACAAACACCTCCACAATGGTCAAAGCAGGTGAGCTAAGCAGCGTCGCATCTCCCGCCTCTTCCTCCATCCCTGTCACCCTGGTGAGAGAATTTGAGCAGGACTGGCTGTCCGCCTCTGGCTCTGGCTCTGGCTCTCTCCCCTCTCTCTCGCACGCACGCCAGCGTCTGCCGGCTGTCGATTCTTGTCTCTCAAGGTAGACCCGGGGTGGAGGGAGAGGGAGACACGAAGACTATAAATACCTTTAGGTTCCTGCTGAGCTGACGCCTTCTTGCGCTGTTGTTATTTGCCGAGCAGTTGCCGTCGTCCGTGGTGACTCCAACGTCAAGGGCACCGTCACCTTCGAGCAGGAGTCGGAGACCGCGCCCACCACCATCTCATGGAACATCACCGGCCATGATCCCAACGCCCAGCGTGGCTTCCACATCCACCAGTTTGGTGACAACACCAACGGCTGCACATCGGCCGGCCCTCACTGTAAGTTGGTGATGATTTTTTTTTTTTTTTTTTTTTTGGTATAAGTATTAGTTGACGTGCGGCTGCTAATATATGGAGTCTAGTCAACCCCTTCGGCAAGACCCACGGTGCTCCCACAGATGAGGTCCGCCACGTTGGTGACTTGGGTAACATCACCACCGATGATCAGGGCAACGCGGTCGGATCCGTTCAAGACCAGCATATCAAGCTGATCGGTGAACACAGCGTTGTTGGCGTATGTCATATTCCTTCCCGTGGTTCTATACGGAGTATATGGCGGGCTATCACAGCTAACATGGCGTCTAGCGTACCATTGTCTGCCATGCAGGCACCGACGATCTTGGCAAAGGTGGAAACGAGGAGTCCTTGAAGACTGGCAACGCTGGTCCTCGTCCTGCCTGCGGTATGTTCGGATACTTTATAGGCTTAGCGTAGCCAAAACACCACTAACTGGTCTATATAGGTGTCATTGGTATCGCTGCTTAGGAGACCACACCCATGAACGCTTGCTCCGTGCGTCTACCGATCTAGAATCGGGAGGACGTGGCGAATAAATAGCCATAGTATGAGAAAAAAAAAAAAAAGAAAGAAAATGTGAAGTTAATACTATATAATTAATGAAGTTGATATGACAGCCACCCACCTTTTAGCACACTACTACATAAAGCGTAGAGTACAAACCATGAAGCGTTAATCATCCATAGGCGCATAAATTTTGTGCCAGAGTTATATGTCTTACAAGCTATCCGGATCTACGATGGCGCTCTTGAACCCCCATCGTCGTCTCGTGGCCGAATGGCTAGTTTGCTTCTGATGTCTCCAGGCGAGAAAGTCGCTGGACGTCGTGAATTTCCCGATCTGGAATTCTGCACACACCTCATCAGGAAAATCATGTGCGGACAAACAACTTTATCTTTTCAATGTCCAACAACAACGCCAATTCCAACGTCGCTTCATCAACCTCAGGCTCACCTTCAGCTTCTCCGTCAATCATCACGTTTGTCAGCTTGCTGTCAGCTTCATTTCAGCTTTAATTTAGCTTGCTGTGGTACGGAGTACCTGTGCCTGAACTGACGGACGGCCCATAGCTTAAGTCCGTTCCTTGCCCGATTCGAGTTGCGAGTTAGTTATACGCCTCTTGAATAGTCCGAAGCAGGATCGACGCCATGCACCGATGCACCGCGTATCATATCATATCAGATAGCTCACAATGGCTCGCCGTTTTCCCCCAGACTCTCTTTCCCTCCAGCCAGCCGAGGGAGAGTACCTGGTTGATATGCTTTTTTGTCAAAGCGTGGCGACTTTGTTTCGAGAGACGAGAAGGATTCTCAGCTCAACACCATAACGGAACATTCGGCACGGATGTTCTGCAGCCACCCTAGCATGGAAGACGTTGTACTTCGTACATATGTACAGAGCGAGGTATATTTTTTTTTTATTTTTTTTTTTTTATTTTTTATTCTTTTTGCTTTTACCAGAGTTGGAATACGAACGTGCCCGTACAGATACGCTGCTCTGGAACGGAGAAGTTACGGGGTTCAGCATCTTAGCAAGCGTCACATGGGCCATCAGCCATCACAGACTAACGTTGAACAAGGGTATCGAAATGGCAATCAGCTCGCCTATGAAGGAGGAACAAAGCCCAATCGAATCCTTCACAGCATATCAAATCTAACCAGCCTCAACGCGCCACAACAACGGGGGCGGAAGCATGATTAAAACTTTATGGCATAAATTCCGCTCATAAAATATGAACCTCGGGGTTCTCTTGCTTCCGAGGCCGCGCTTAATCCCTTGATTTGCCATCAGCTGTCGATTGGAAAGCGTTACCACGGAGAAGGCGGTCTTTGCTCAAGTCCCACACCAATGTCCGCATTCGCACGCGGTTTTGAACATCCTTTTTTTTCCACCTTTCTTTTTTTTTTTTTTCTCCTGGCCCTGCCCCCTCTCGGGCAGTCTCTTGGGACCCAGTTTGGGTTTCGAGCAGCAAGGCCGGCCAAGGACCAAGAATCGGCTCCCAAGATTGGTCTGGACATGAATCATGAGCTGCAGGGCTTCTACTACTGGCAAATACTGCGACTCAAGGCCGGTTTCCGCATTTGCTTTTTGGTGCGAGAGCTTGATTGCTGGAATAATAGGTTGAAGTCTCCGTCGTCCATGCTGTCCCAGAATCGTGGGAGCCGGGACTGTCTTTTTATTCCTTTGGAGCTTTTTCTCTTGTCATACCTTGGGCTGATAAACTATTTTTGAAGGAGTAAGGTAACCGGAACCACACAAACACACACACACACTTTCTCTCTCTCTCCCTGGCCGGTGCTCATACATGACTTGCAGACTTCCAACGTGTTGCTGCATGCCTTCCATACCAATAAATATTTAATTTTACCCTTGCTGTTCTAATTTCTTCGTCCTTGCGTCAAGAAACGGGCCCAGGCTTAGTGATCAGCATCCTGACAATATCTACCAGGTATTTCACACCTTCGCAAGAACGGCTGATTCTCTCCCCAACACACTCTGCTCCCTGGGGAGAAGAAGGCCCTGGGATTCAAATCTTTGGGTGTCACCTACTGAGGGACAGCCTTTTTGCGACACTAATCTAACCAGCCAATAGTCAGCAACATAACTATATAGCAACTGGACCGGATACTGCACGATATAGGGGGAATCAGCTTCCAAAGAATGCCATCACGCTCAAAACAGTGGTAATGGACCCTCGCAACGTCCCAATCCCCAGCTTCCCGGCTCCTGTCGTGGATGGAGATGATGTCCTGTATGCGCTTCAGAGGCGTCAACAGGCATGGGCGTTCCCGAGGCAAAGTGACGCCCCTCCAGGTTTCAGCCAAATGCATCATCTGCAACAGCAACAGCAGCCGGAAGAGCAGCTTTCCCATTTCTCTGCTGCCCGCCAGCCATTCTCTCTTTCCTCTATCCAGGCCCCTATCCAGGCCACTCCCGCCCTAGAGCCTCCAACTCCGCCGCGACGACAATCAGTAGCTCAGTTACCTCCGAAGCGGTCATCCATAGCTCAAGGAAGGAGAGATTCGACAAAGGGTACTGGATCAAACTATACTCTGGCATGTCTTAATTGCCGCTCTAAGAAGATAAAGTGCCTGCTCGAAGAGGGAGGCTGCAAGAAATGCAAGAAACTTGGAATCCCCTGTCCAGGCCCGGAGGTGGACGAACGCAAACGCCCCTCTTCAAAGAGACACATTCGCGAGTTACACCAACGCATCCACGACTTAGAAGCTGCTCTGAAGCAGAGCGAGGCCCTACGCAAAGCTCAGGCACAAAATTTCCATACAATTCGCGGGATTGCGCAGTTCTCACCACCGGAATCTCCGGTATCCCTGCTCCGGCAGAAGGTGCCGGATAACATCATCGCACGCCTTTGCGATGGGCGATACCAGTTAAATTATGACTCTAACGGACAGCTGCGATATTTCGGTCCAACCTCCAGTTTACACCTGACCGACACGGTGGCAACATCTATCGTTCGGTCATGGGGAGAATACCCAACTACTAACCCCAAGATTGAGGTTTGCGAGATCGATGCCGAAACCCAAGAGTACTTGCTGAACCTTTATTGGAAGTTTCAACACACCGAGCTTCAAGTCCTCCATAAAGATGCATTTCTTCGTGATATGGCAACGGGTCAGACAAAGTTTTACAGCAAGGCGCTTTTGTACTGTATCATGGCTTGTGCCGCTCGCATTTCACATAGGCCTGAGATCCGTGCGATGGTACTGACGCCCGGACTCTCGGCATCTGATGAACTCCCGCCTCTATTCGCTGCTGCATCCAAACTTGTGGATGAGGAGTTGAAACACCCCCAAATCACAACCATCCAGTGTTTGTTACTGTTATCTGTGATTTATTGTGCTTTCTCCCAGGACACAAAAGGCTGGGTTTTGACAGGTATGTTTTCTTGTCGATGACAGGGGACACAGAGGATAAATGGTTTAACTGATGACCCGCTTTCAGGGACTGCATGCCGATTGGCTATAGATTTGGGTTTACATCGTGATTGCTCGTCATTCACAGACAAGTTCTCCCCAATGGGCATCGAGGCACGCTCGATTGCATTTTGGGGTTGCGTCATATTCGACAGGTAAACCCCCTGCATTATTGACGTACTTGTTATAAATCTAGTATGCTAACGTTCTTTATGCAGGCTGTGGTCGCTCTACCTTGGCCGCCAGTATTGTCTACGGCTTGACGGAGAAGTCACAGTACCTCGACCAGCTGCGACGGCAGCTGTGAGCGGGATGATAGCAACATGGGAAGCCCGATTAGCCGATGCATGGAGCAGCTTGCTCGAAATCGTCGGATTCATCTGTGAAGCTTTGTAAGTACCCGCTAGCCAACTATTCCAGTTTCCCCTTAATAAACAAGGGGCTAACTGAGCCAACAGAAATCAAAATAAATGTACTATGAGTCGAGTCAACGAGCTGGGTGACCGGCTCAAGACGTGGTACAGCGGACTTGAGCCGTCACTGCAATATCAAAGTAATTCACCGCCCTCAGTCTCAGTTATGCAGTATGGCGCCCTTTCCCCGCCTGATATAATTGTCGGGCGATAAATTTACATACTAACGGTTTGTAGCATGCAATATTGTGCCGCGGTCATCTTACTATATCGGCCTCTCGCGAATTTCGGCATAGAAGCCTCGGAAAGAAGCGACTACTCACCCCAATTCCGCCTCATCTGTGTGAAACATGCCATGGATGCCACTCGATACATGGAAGACTACCGAAACAACTACGGCAACGCAACCACCCTCAGCGGTATAAGTCTGCACATAATATCAACTGTCTCAACAACGCTTATAGCCGATATAACAGAACGACGGCATTCAGATGTCAGCAGGGAATTCCACTGTCTGATAGTATGTGTCCGCACATTACTCGAGCTGGAACAAACCTACCTCGTGGCTTTGCAAGTCCGAAAAGTGATTGAGGTGGTCATTCGGATATGTAACCTTGAAAACCACGAGTTACAGGTTGCTTCCTTGCTACCTGAGGGCCTTCATATCGGAGCTTCGTATACACCTACACCATCTGCTGGCCAGACGGAAAGCTCTCAAGATGAGGACACCAGAGACACAAAACAAGAACCAGACTCGAGTCTCATACTACAAAGGTTCCGTGGAGCCCCTCCACAACCACCCATCACCACTGATACGATGCCAATGCCAGAACAGCCCTATCTGGACATGACGTATAACCCCTTTCCGCTTCTTGATGGGATGCAAGTACATCCTCATCCGTCGACGATGCCGGGGGATATACATGCCACGTACCCATGTACCCAATAATTGTTACGTTCTAACGAGCATTCAAAAACCATATTACTGTTTTTTCCCTTATACCTTATAGTGTATTGACGGGAGGGTGCGTTTTGAGGCGTTTAATAAGCGAGTTGGATAGCATATCGGAGGACTTCTTTTTATTATTCTTTCACCCACCACACCTTCATCCATCCATCCATCCATCCAATCTGGCGGTTAGCGACTAACCTACGAGAAAAATGCCATATACATTGTTTCTAATTACCTATTGAGCTAGACTCTTGTTTTATAGTTCTTTCTTTTTATTTTTTATTTTTATTTTTATTTTTTTTTCTCTTTTTCTTTGTCTCTCTACCCTAACGACAGATACATACGGAGTATAACTGACTGTTTTCCCTTTTGCTTTCTTTCTATTCTTTCTATTCTTTCTTTTTCTTTCACACGGGAGGCGTTGTGATTTCTAATAAATAATACCCCCCCTTCGCATCAGGCTGTAAATATAGCAGTTTATCACAATCACAAGTCCTCAAGACAAGACAAAGCCAAGATTCCTCTGACCCTGGTATCGTAGAGCCTGATGACATCGTGTACCAAGCCTTCTTGATAACGCCATCCATCCCGTCAATTCATACGATGTTATTCGACCGACAGGGGGTGCGGCTGTGACAGCAGCACGGACGAAGCGGAGATGGATCAAAGTGCCGTCACCCTTGAAGCTGTTGTTAAAACAGCCACGGGATGGCTTCCTTCAGAGCTTTGCTAGATCGACGATGCACATGAACAAGGCTGAAATGGCTAAATGGCATTTGCAGCCGGTGTAACTGGCTTGTTTTTAAGAGATCGAATTTAGATTGACCCATGTGGTTCAGACTGAAGCTCCAGGGCTGCCAAATACTCTGTGCCAGTGCCATCCTTTAGAATTATTCCGTAGAGACTGGGTATGGGTCCCGAAGACAGGCCGTCTCTATCAATTATCAGCTTCCTGTCACCGACATAAGACGTCATGGCTGCTCTTTTCCCTTGAGCGAGACGTCCTTGGACCATGGGTGTGTTATCACTGGGTATCATCTTCAAAAATAAATAAAAGATGATAAAAAGGCAGCAGCATTAATAGTCTTAGCATACGGAGTACTGCGTATATCATGGGATGAAGCTGTTGACGACGATGTTGACGTCGCTGCTGGCGGTCGTTGCAGCGATGTGGCTTGACCCCGGATTTCCCTCTCATCCCTGCAAGTTAACTTAGGTGCGGCCAGACAAAAAAGGCCAAAACACACAAATCACCAAACGTGGTCATTTTACACCGACGACTACACAACAACTCCCCCCGGCTTCACTCCCCCTAGAAGCTCTGCCTCGACTCAGCGAGCCTCTGCCTTGCTCCTTTTTCCTAGACCTATTGTTATCCTATCTGAATAAAAAGAAAAAAAACAAGCCACTGCTCGCCAGCTATTTTCTCCCCCCGCACACGCCACAATGCCTCTTTTGGAAGCCCGAGTCAAGAGCGTCTTGTCAGGGGACACAGTGGTGCTCACCCACGTCTCGAATCCAGCCCAGGAACGCATCTTGAGCCTGGCTTATGTCTCTGCTCCGAGGCTGAAGCGAGAAGGGGACGAGGTGAGCTCTTCGTTTTGCTGTTAATTTACCAGCAAGCTGTTGAATTTCAATATACAACAACACACCTAGACAAGCTACAGAACTACGCCTCTTCCTTATACATAATCTATTTCAAGAGTGGCTGCTGATCCAATATTGTTTCCCACTAGCCGTTTGCGTTCCAATCTCGGGAATTCTTGCGTGAGCTCCTCGTAGGCAAGGTAGTACAGTTCCAGGTTCTGTATGCCATCCCCACGGGCGCCAAAAGGGAGTACGGAATCGTGAAGGTTCCCGGTGCCAATGGCAAGGAGTTACCAGAGCTCTGTGTCTCCGAAGGCTGGGCCAAGGTTCGAGAAGATGCTGGCAGAAGAGACGAGAGCGAGGATGCAGCGGTGTTGCTGAACAGCCTGAGGGAGCTCGAGTCTCGTGCCAAGTCGGAGTCCAAGGGTGTCTGGGCGGGAGACGACAAGATTGACATGGCATATGAGGTGAAAGATCCACAGGAGCTGCTTGAGAGCTTGAAGGGGACGCCAATTGATTCCGTGGTGGAAAAGATCCTGAGCGGTGACAGGTTCCTGATTCGGCTCCTCATCTCTCCCAAGAAGCATGTGCAGACACTGGTGGTTGCAGCTGGCATTCGTGCTCCAGCTACCAAGCGGGTGAACCCGTCTGATGGATCAGAGCAACCGGGCGAGCCATATGGTGACCAGGCGCAGATGTTTGTTGAAATGAGACTTTTGCAGAGAAAGGTCAAGGTCACATTACTCGGACTGACACCCCAGAACCAGCTCGTGGGTACCGTTCTACACCCTGTTGGAAATATTGCCAAGTTCCTTCTGGAGGCTGGCCTCGCAAGATGTGCGGACCATCATTCTACGCTGCTGGGAGCTGATATGGCTATCCTTAGACAGGCAGAGAAGTCCGCTAAGGATGCTCGCAAGGGGCTATTTACTAGCCACGTTGCTCCCAAAGCTGCGACTGCGGCTGCAGATACTGATCTAGTGGTTAGCAGGATACTGAATGCGGATACTATATTCCTGAGAAACAAGGCCGGGGTTGAGAAGAAGATAAGTCTGAGCAGTATTAGACAGCCAAAGCCATCAGACCCCAAGCAGGCGCCATTTGGAGCAGATGCCAAAGAGTTTCTCCGGAAGAAGCTGATTGGCAAGCACGTCAAAGTCACCATCAACGGGAAGAAGCCTGCTTCTGAAGGATTTGAGGAACGAGAGGTTGGTACTGTTTTGGTAGGCAATGCCAATGTGGCCGTCAGTCTCGTAGAGGCCGGTTATGCGTCCGTCATCCGTCACCGTAGGGACGACGATGACCGATCCCCCGACTATGATGCTCTCCTGCTCGCCGAAGAGAAGGCACAGAAGGAGGAGAAAGGCATGTGGTCTCCCAAGCCTCCCAAGGTCAAGCAGTTCCAGGATTACTCAGAGAGCGTCCAGAAGGCCAAGATGGAATGCTCTGTCCTTCAGAGACAAAAGAAGGTCTCTGGCGTGGTAGACTTTGTCAAGTCTGGATCGCGTTTCACTGTCCTGATACCCCGAGACAATGCTAAACTCACCTTTGTCCTTTCTGGAATCCGGGCGCCGAAGTCTGCAAGGAACGCTAATGAGAAGTCCGAGCCCTTCGGGCAGGAGGCCCACGACTTTGCTAACCGTAGATGCATGCAGAGAGACGTCGAGATTGATGTTGAGACTATTGACAAGGTTGGTGGCTTTATCGGAACCCTCTACGTCAACAGGGAGAACTTTGCCAAATTGCTAGTGGAGGAAGGTCTTGCAACAGTCCACGCCTACTCCGCTGAGCAGTCTGGCCATGGAATGGAACTATTTGCAGCCGAGAAGAAGGCCAAGGAGGCCAGAAAGGGTCTCTGGCGCGACTGGGATCCCAGCCAGGATGCAGAGGATGATGAAGGCGCTCCAGCACCCGCTGGTGGTGCCGCTGGAACTAGCACAGAGGCACCCGCACGAGGAAGAGATTACCGTGACGTGATGCTCACACACGTTGATGAGGATGGCAAGTTGAAACTACAGCAGATCGGAGCCGGCACCACCGGTCTCACAGAGCTGATGGACTCTTTCCGAGCGTTCCACATTAACAAGGCCAACGACAAGCCCCTTGATGGCCCACCCAAGGCTGGAGAGCTGGTTGCCGCTCGATTCTCGGAGGATAACGAGTGGTACCGCGCTAAGGTCCGACGCAACGACCGAGAAGCTAAGGCGTCCGATGTCGTGTATATTGACTACGGCAACTCGGAGAGGGTCCCATGGTCAAGACTACGGCCGCTTGCTCCCCAGTTCTCCCAGCAGAAGCTGAAGCCACAGGCTGTTGATGCTGCTATGTCTTTCCTGCAGTTCCCTACCTCCCCGGAGTACCTCAAGGACGCCATACACTTCCTGGCCAGCCAGACGGTCGACCGGGAGCTGGTAGCCAACGTCGACCACACCGCCGATGGTGTCCTATACGTCACTCTGTTGGATGCCTCTGCCTCTCAGAACCTGGAGCAGAGCATCAACGCCGAGGTGGTGCGTGAGGGTCTGGCGATGGTCCCTCGCAAGCTGAAGCCGTGGGAGCGTGCATGCAGCGATACGCTGGCCAACCTTCGCAAGCTGGAGGACGAAGCAAAGCAGGAGAGAAGAGGAATGTGGGAATACGGTGACATCACTGAGGATTAAATCAGTTATTGTCTTTTTTATTCATATATACATATATATATATCTATTGCAGAGTCGCTCCCGGTATTTGGAAAAGGGGTATCAAAAACTATATCTAACTGCATAGCGAGAATGAAGTCAGAATATATAATACTTCTCCGAACTCCCCCGTATGCACGCTCTCCATAGTTCTATCACATAGTTCCATAGCTCTCCCAAGTCTACCAGGAAGCTCCCGTCCAGCCTGGCCGGGCTTTGTGGCGTCGGCGTTGTGATAGCTAGGGAGCCCCTGATCCCAGGGCCAGCATCCAACCCCGGGACACTGCAGGCCAGCCGTCCCTGGCGATGACTCTGCCTGTCCCGTCGTATAGCTCTCGACGGAGCCATCCTCTGCCCACCGGCTACCCGCTCGCCAGCTACCTGACCAGCCTGATCAACCCAACCGTGGATCCCAGCCTCAACCCTAGAGGTTAAGTTACATAAGGCACTGAAGCCGTGGCTTCCGGACGAAAAAAGAGCCGTCGGTACCAGCAGACTTGCGGCTCCGAGATTCTTCTTCTTCTACTTCTCTCTCTCTCTCTCTCTCTCCTCTTCGCATACTTAAATGACCGGCATCGCGAATCCCTGACCCGACCGGCCCTGTCTGCCTGTGCAGTCTGTTTACTCTGTCTGGCTTGTACCGCGAGCCGCTGTCGAACCCGCCCTACCTATATCACCCAAGAGCTATAACTAGTTAACAACTACACCAGCAATGTCCCTCGAAGACACGACAAACACGGCCAAGCAGACGCCGCAGCTCGACAAGCAGGAGACCAACCAGTCGACGGCGAGCGCTGGCGCGTCCGATCCCTTGTCCGGCCATCTGAACCATCTGTCCGAGAAGCAGGTGGAGGCTCTCGAGGCCTTTAAGCAGCAGTGCGTAGAGCGCAAGATATATACGCCGGCCAAGGACGGCCAGGCGGCGAGCCACGACGACTCGACTTTGCTGTACGTTCATACTTCATACGTTCAATCTACAAGCAGAATGGAACGAGGACATGGCTAACAGTTGTCTAGACGGTTCCTCCGAGCTCGCAGGTTCGATGTTAACGGCGCCCTGGGCCAGTTCCAGGCGACGGAGGACTGGCGGAGGGACAACGAGATCAATAAGCTGTACGAGAACTTCGACGTAGACTCATACGAAGAAGCTCGCAAAGTGGTCAGTTAACACTACTACGGGTGTCTTTCCTTCTGGGAAACCGGCAGAGACTGATGTATGTTTGTATGGCATTTGGGTCAACAGTATCCGCAATGGACCGGACGACGAGATCGCAGAGGCATACCGATCTATGTCTACACCATCAAGGACCTAAATAGCAAGAACATGACGGCCTACTCCTCGTCTGCGGCCACCACTGCTACCTCGGCGACACACTCCTCGTCGAAGGTGCCGGCGCGTCTGCTGCGTCTCTTTGCGCTGTACGAGAACATGGTTCGGTTCGTGCTGCCGCTGAGCTCACGCCTGAGCCGGCCAAACCCAGAGGTGCCTATAGTTAATACCACGAATATTGTTGATATAACCGGCGTTGGCCTGAAGCAGTTTTGGAATTTGAAGGGTCATATGCAGGATGCAAGCACCTTGGCCACTGCACATTATCCCGAGACCCTTGATAGAATATTTGTAAGTCTGTTCACCTGACGGTTGGTATACGAGATGCCCTGTTTGTTAACTGCTACTTCTACTAGATTATTGGCGCTCCAGTCTTCTTCCCCACGGTCTGGGGCTGGATAAAGCGCTGGTTTGACCCCGGCACAACGTCCAAGATATTCATACTCACTGCCGCCGAGGTGCAGAAGACGCTCTCCTCGTTTATGGATGAAGAGAATATCCCGAAGCGGTACGGAGGCAAGCTTGACTGGGACTTTGGCGATATGCCGAACCTGGACGAAGAAGCGAGAGCCCTCGTCGGGTCCATCGAGCGAGTCGGCCAGTACGCTGACAAGCCGGAGGACAGCGAAGGGGCCGCACAGGATGTAGCAACCAGAAAGGCCAACTTCGTCAAGGGCCCAGTTGTGATCCACGACGACAAGATAGATGTCTACGGCAGCGTCAAGGGGGAGACCAGACGGAAGACCCTCCCGCTGCCCATCAGCCCGAACGAGAAGCAAAACCCCGAACCTACGGAGCAGAAACAGGAGTCCGGCGAGACCTCTGATGCCACCACTGTCGAGCTGTCCAAAGACCTAGAGAAGGCCGCTCTGTCTCGTAGCGAGAACGAACCCCCAACCGCCAGCGTTGCTGCTCATGCGTGAAGCCGAGCCGTCCGCTGGCCTTCTCCCTTGTTGCTGTCTACACGGGCATCCCCCCCATCCGTCTATGAATACAATAATGATCTCCATTCCACTCCCCCCCCCCCCTTTATTTGTCCCCCGGAAAGAGAAATACCCCCGCTGCTTTGCTCTTCCGGAACATGGTACGGATGCCCGTTTGTACCTACATCTAGCGTTTCGTTGGGCTATTGTCTGTATATACCTTCTATACTACTATATACATCTATATACACGAATCGGTCGGCATATCTCCCCCGCCCTCACACCCACTTCCAGAGCCTATGTCCACTGTCCACTTCATAGACCAGCAACTAGATAAGACGAATAATAGGGGGCTTCATTCAGGTCTGGGGGAGCCAAAAAGCAATTCCACTCGCTGATGTTTTCTTTTGCTGCTGGTCGGGATGAAAATGACCAAAAATCAATGTGATTAAATAGATTAAAAAAATAAATAAAAAATGAAATAAAAAAAAATAAAATAAAATAAAATACGAAAAAAAAAATATTCCTTTTTTATCACGCGGCAAAAGCGAAGATGACCAGTTAGTTCCTCTGCTGTCTCGTCTTATTTATTTTAATTATTCTCTGCTGTGATCCTGGCCAGGGGATTTTTTGCCTTTTTGTCGCAGGGAAGAAAAAAAGCGATTTTTTTTTCTTTATTTTATTTATTTTTTTTTTTTTTAATTCCTCCCTTTTTTTTTATATAACGAAACAACGCGGGCGCCCTCGCGACTGAGCAGCCTCTTTTTCCCTTCGTCTTGCTCTTCCTACCACTGCCATTGCTACTACTGTGCTCTGTCTGTCCTACGAGCCGGTCACCTTCTCGCTGGCAGATCGCGTTGGATCCAGCTTGCAACCTACTTACTAGCCTAGCTTCACCCCAGTGCGCGCACCAGCACCAGCAGCAGAACGATACAATGGCAGACGACGTAGCAACTACACCCGCGCGAGGACGCGGCCGACCACCCAAGGCCGGCGGCTCAGCAGCGACGCCCAAGGCCGCAGCTTCGACAGCTGCTGACGGGCAGCCCAGAAAGCGAGGCCGTCCGCCGAAGAATGGCGGCCCAGTGACACCCAAGCCGGTCGTGCTGGATGCGAACGGCCAGCCCAGGAAGAGAGGCCGGCCGCCCAAGAACGGCATCGCAGCACAGTCAAAGTCCAAGACCGACGCCTCCGGGGCCTCTGCGTCGGCGAAGAAGAGAGGACGGCCTCGCAAGGACGCATCTGACGGCGATGGGGCGGACGCGAGCCCATCTGCCCGGGGACGGCCAAAGAAGGAGGCCGACGCGAAGAGCAATGGTGCAAAGGGGACGCCGGGGCGCGGGAGAGGACGGCCGCCTGCGAACCCGCTGCAGAAGTTCCTGGGCTCGTTTGCCCTGGAGTGTGCGGCCGTCAGCGACGAGTGGCCGGACCAGTGCGAGTCGATGGACATGTCGATTTCAGCCTCTGACCTGGACCCCTGCGGCATGGTCGCGTCGTTCAACCTGGGCATCGTCGAGGGCACCATGCTGCTTGCCTTGACTCAAGACGAACTCAACGCCTTTCACAGTAAGGTCGAGGGCGGTTCCGGTGCGTTTTATTATCCCATCAAACCATGATTATCCCTTTCTATGACTATCCATGCCCCCTTACCGTTCGTTGTTCAACTAGTTCGGCTGCTAACCCGCTCAATTCACAGACTCCGACTCGGAAGAGGACGCAGAGTGCGACGAACCACCTGCGAAGAAGGTCAAGAGCTCCGCGGACGAGGATTCTCTGCGGCTTTACTTCAAGTGGAAAGGCCGGAACACAACTGACACCGAGATACATGACGGGAGCAGGGATGTCGGCACCATAGACTTCCTTGACTCCAAAGCAATACAGTTCAAGGGCATCGGAAGCTTCCCTGCCCTGGGATCAAAGTGCGAATTCACAGGAACAAGATACGACAAGGAGCCTACCACTGTTCCTCTGCCCTGGAGCACTTTTTCAGACGAGGCTGCTCAACTAGCCAACGAGAACAGATGGTAGGTGTCCTCAACGCAGGAGAGGGGAAGAGATATACCTACTATATGATACCCCTTTTAACCCCAACGTTGTGATGTCTGTTCGTTCTGTTCCGTGTAATATTATTATGTCCAATCTTATCTACTATCCACCCCTCTAACCTCTCCAGCTTTGCTTCTACGGAGCATCAGCCCGTCATATCTACCGTCCTTCCTATTTTTCTTTTACGTGAATCATACATACCTCTCTTTATGCTTATTTTTCTCTTGTCTTTTTCGTTTATCCGGGGAGTTCTCGCAGGTTGTAAACAGGATGCCAATGGCCACTCAGTCATTTCAGTTGAAACAGATATGAAAGCACCTTATTCTTTTTCTTTTTTTCCCCCCATTCCCCGTTCTACATATACCTTCCATTTTTTTTAAGTGGCATTCTTCGTCGACTTCGAGCAATAATTTGATCGTGCAAGAGTCTTGTGGTAAAATGGCTGGCAAGAATGGTACTTTATTTGTTTTCTCAGTCGTCGCAAGTAACTATATTGTCGTAACATTAAATAATCTGTTCAATTATTTTGGTCAAATATCCCTCCTCTAACCAGAGACGCCTTTTTAAAACCTAGGATGATTTCCACTGGAGGTTCACTTGTTTACTTCGGGCCTGTAATATTCCTCGTTTAGAACATTATATATATTTATGTAGGGGAATATGAATTAACTTACCAAGGGAGCAAGGGCGCTGACACCGGCCATCAACGCAACAACAGTAAGCAGAAGCTGGACCTTCGAGAACCCTTTACCAAGGATATCGAATGGCTGGCTTGGGGCAAGTCGGGTTCCGAAGATATCAAATCCGTATGAGAATATTAACGTCGTACTCTCAAGTAACGTTGGGCTGGATTCGATGTGCTGGATGCCCATCACATCTCGGGAATGCGTAAGATGCCATTTAGGATCAAATTCGAGGTTCGGATTATATTTCATTAGACCTTCTTCAGCTTCTTGGGCAGTAGGATCACGGCCCACTGGGCGGCGGGGGTCGAGGAAGGGTCGTGGGATTCCAACGATGCTGCGTGACGCTGGGAGAGTACATAGGAGCTGCCTAATGGATATTCCCTGGCGAGTTTGGGTGACTGCCATGTTGGAAATGGCCTCGGGGATCATGTAGGCTTGTGATATGACATGCGGCAGGGTAATGTTGGTGATACTGGAATAATTGGCTGCGTCGCCGAGAACACCACGGTCATTGGGAGTAGATGATTCATATAGTTCAGATACTATAAGCTGATATCCCTTTGCAGCGGATTGTTCACTTGTGTCTGCCCAGAAAGAATACGCAAACCAGTTCTCGGAGATAACTGAGGCGATGGGCTGAGTGGTATCAACGTCCGTGTACCTTGCTGTATGCAAGATCTGACCGGATACGCCATCAAGAAGGTAGAAGTCCACGGTAGACTCGCCAGTTGCCGTAATGAGAGCCAGATTGTGGTTCAGATACTTGTAAAGAACGGATCTGTCGCCTAGGACCTTGCCTACCGAAGCAACGGGGTCGTGAGCCGGTCGTGCAGTGGTGTGGATAATCTTCTGCCCCTCAGGGACAGTGAACTCCCACATTGGAGCCTTTGATTTGCTGGTATTCCAGCCTAGTATCCGCTTGTCACCACTTCGAGTGACGAGGAAGGCATCGATTCCATTGACATAGGCAGATTCAGTCGGTACGCCATGTTCCTCAACTCCAACCTTGAAGTCTGCAGCACCGTCTGGAACAAATGCGATAGATGCAACTTTCTGCGTTGGCGGTGTCCGGCTGGTAACCTCACCAGTGGTGATGTTCACCTGGAACGTGCTACCGTCGTCAACATGGACAGTTGCAAGCCCTAACTGAGTGGTGATGGCTTTCACGCCCCAATCAAGATCATTCTCGACAGCCTTGATGTTCCACATAACTTTCCCCTGACGGCCTGAATCGAGGGCTGCAATTCGCCCAGTTCTGGTTGCTAGGATAATCTGTTGTCCTAGGCCGAATTGGATCAGGTCGCTGATATCACTTGGCATGAAGCTAGTCAAGACTCTCATAGGCATCTCCATCAGCCAGTCAGGGAGACCTTGCTGGATGGCCTTGAGATGTCGGATCAAACGGTGGGCGTAGGCCATGGGTATACTCTGGTGGCCTTCTACTTCGAGCTCGCGGGCAAGGGTCACGCCATCGTTCAGATCAGTCCATGCAGCAGCAATAGCCTCCGTGAGTGACTCTGGTCTAGTCCACTGTAGTTTTCCATTTAGAACCAAGGACCAATCTCCTGACTCTTCGACCTGGGCGAATCGGACAGAAACACCGGATTCAAGTGCAACAACCTCTGAAACGGCATGTTGAGAGTTCTCTGGCAATACCTCACTGGTCTTCCAGGTTCCCTGGGCCTTGTCAGACACAGATGAGTAGATGATGACCTCCGTTGGAGTGATCCGCGTAAAGTAGAGGTTTTCGTTGTTCGTGCTAGTGCCAGCTGTGATGACCGAGTGCCCCTGGATCTTTGGAAGACTGTAGGCTTTTGTGATGCTTGTGGTTTTAATGTTGATATGGTAGACATCAGCCCATGATGCCGTGTCAGTGCGGTATTCCACTAGGAAATGTGTTGGGCCGCTTGAGCTGGGAGATACGTGGATTTTAATATGACGAACCCCTTCGTGCTCTACCTTGATGGATTCAATGGTATTAGACCCCAGTACGTTAATCTTGAGAACGGTATTGGCCTTGTCTGTCCAAGCAATCAAGGGTGCAGCGGCGTTTCTGCCAACAAGAAGAATCGATTCAGGCCCGGACACTTCCGTCTCTGAGTTCAGGGTATATTGGCTCCCAGTCTGCTTACCCTTGGCTAGATCCAAGGTGGTGACTTTAATTTTATATCCGGATCGAGACGCATGCTGCAATGACACATAGTAGCCAGTGGACTTGGATGCCACTGATACCTGGAATGGTACATCATCACTAGACAGTAGAGTCAGCCTCACATCTATGCTAGCGGGTAATATATATGAAAAAGAACTTACCTCTCATCCTTGTATTCCCACACTACACTGCCATAGTCAATATCCAGCCGTCTCAACACACCCTTCTTATCTCCCGACAATACCAGGACGTCATGTCTATGCATGATCTCCTCAGGCCGATCCGGGACCAACTCGAGGTCCTTGACCACCCCATCCGTAATCCGCTGAATCCACCGAAACCGTCCATCAATCGCATCCCACGCCGAAACACCGCTACCGAACGCACTCACCAGCGCATCATCGTTATCCGCCGCACGCAGGAACACTTCGTTAGACGATCCTACAGCCTGCGGGAAGTACTCTGTGACGTTCTGCCTCCACACCACCGATCCGTCCTTTGGGTTGACAGCTCCTAGGATGTTCTTATCTGAGTGTGTGTAGAGCAGCGATGCGACGGAGGAGGGACTCGAGCGGTGGAAGAAGGTGTTGGCTGCGCCGGGTTGGCCTAGGAGGGCATGGTGGTAGTCGATATGGTAGGCCTCGTCTGCGAGGATTGCCAGCGCCGAGGGGACAAGGGACGCCCACAGGAGGGAAGCTGCATCAAGCCGCATTGTATCACCTCCTTACCACTAGCATCTGACAGTGGTGTGGCGTGTGGTGGAAGTGTTCAATTCGGAGCTTGCTGGGTTGCTTGTCTGATGTATTTGTTTAGCTATCTTTGCGCAGTTGGAGGCGCTGTCTTGGCAGCTACTTAGTCAGATACGCAGAGACGGCAGGGAGCAGAAGATACTTAGATCAGAGTAGACGCCACCTAGACGGTGATAGATAAAGCATATGAGAGGAGAGTGGACAAGATGAGAGAGATTGGAGGCATTGACACGTTTTATCATTCAAGCTGAATATCTACCCTACTCCGGTGTAACCAAACCCACCCGTGATACTCTTAATACTCCGGCCTATATACACAGAAACTCCATTCGTCGACATCCATATCAACATCATGATCAACATCAGTGTCAATGTCAACATCCCGTGATAACGACGATAGTGACCAGCACGACGGTGATAGTAATCAGTCCGCCATGCGGGCTGCTGGGTGTTGGCATCGCCACGCCCGTGGACTCGGAGGCCTTGGGGCCAATCTTAGCAACCAACCCATCCCCAATATGAGCGAGAGATTCCTCGAATTTATTGAAGTTGTCCGCCTTCCAGTCAGCGCCATTCGCACCCGGCTTGGCCCCTTCGCCCTTGAAGGCAACGAAAAGAACATCGTGGTCTTCATGGCCGTTGTTGCCGGTTAGGTTGTTTTCTGGGAAACAGGCCCGGGCGAGAGAGATGGACACTTCGCCGGTATCTGTGTTGCCATTGGTGTCTCCCCAAATGCCATAGAACTATCCAGATGTTAGATCATGTGTTTAGCTGTATCTGGGTAAGAAGAGCTAGCGGGTACATACCAGTCTGTTGTTGCAGACGACTGCTATAACGCTGAGGGGCTCAATGCCTGAATCTGAAGGGAGGTAAGAGGGTCTCTTGCCCTCGTTGCCAAAGACGACATAACCATGCAAGTTGGCGTCGAGGTCATCGAGCCCGTACCCTTGCACCTCGTCCTTGAACGAGGTCTGCCCCTGACCGGTCAGATCGTTGGCGCACTCTCCCTTTGACCTGTTGGCGCCATCGCAGTCGACATCTATGTCTCCAAGACGACCCTTGGGGCCCTTCAGGTAGACCACACCTTCATAGTCACCACAGTACAGGAACCCACCTGGCACGGTCAGTGAAGTCCAGCATATACCTCAATATAACCAACCCTCAAGAGGGGGGAAATAATGGCTTACTTTGTCCATGGCCGTCCTTGAAACGGTCGCTGCTCAGGGGCTTCTCACATCGATTGTTCTAACGGCAGTTAGCATGTGGCATTACTAACTAAATTTCCGGGAGGGGATCAGCGGCACCTTTGCATGATCGTAGAGGGCCATGAGATTGCTGGGAATGGGCCTGCCAGCAGCAGAAGCAAAGCTTGCGAGGCCACACAGGGCGACGCAGAGGACGATCTTGAGCGCCATCTCGCTGTCACTACCACTATCCACACTTCACTGTCCGACCAGAGCTGAAGAAAATGGGCGAAAGCAAAGTCTTTTAAATATGCGACAGGCTTAGCGTTGCAGGCTAACAGAGCGGTTTAACTAAGTTCGCAAGGTTCAGGGGCGGACGTTCCAGATAGAAAGCCAGGACCGAAAGAGGCGCATCAGGGGCACGCCAGTCTAGTCGTACCAGGCATTGCTCCGTGCCATGAGAGAGAGAGAGAGAGAGGGTCTTCTAGAGTTGGAGGGGAGAAGCGTTTAGAGATATGTATGTCTGGGGTGCTAAATCTGGGGTACAGCAGAGACTCTTCTGTGGGATTGAACAAGCTCGCCAGGCCAGTCCATCAGCCCCTTAAGCCCCGAAGAAGTCCAGAAAGAAAGCCCCTAAAGCGCAGTTAGAGCTGCCCAAGCCTCCAGCCTCAAGCATAAGCTTCCCTTAGTCCCGGTCCTGCGCCACATAAGGACGAATCTTCTCGCCTAAGTAGATCGATCGCATGTGGGATTGCCATTTAATTAACCAGTCGGATGTCCGGTTCAACAGGTCGCTTTGCTGGCTCTTCTGGTCCATCTTGCAGTCCGTATGTTTCATCTCTTTATCGGCAGCCCAAACCTGAAGAGATCCTGACATGGTCCCCTCGTCGTCGTCATCCCATAGCTGATATTAACATATATAGTACGGAGTACCTGTCAGGGACCGGAGCACTTGGCATGTAGTAGTCTAGACAAGCGACAAGAGCAGACAGGAGACAGCACCAGCTTCATATATATGGTCGATAACCGTTTATCCAGAGTACGGAGTCGGTTGCTGGCCTTGATTCAGGCGAACAGGCTGTCCCTTTAATCTTCACCTCGCGAAAACTGGAATCAGGATCAGACCGGGATCAGGACCAAGGCTTCGAGTTCGTGCAAACGGCCATCTCTACGCCGTACTACTACTGGTTAGTTACTCTGTAGTCAGTTATGTGACTGATCCAGGCCTCGCTGGGAGGCCTGAGAGAGGCCGTGATATAGGGGGGGACGCCAGCGATGCCTCCTCCCGCGCAGAACTCATGGCAACGGCCAGCCGCAGGTCAACCGAGACCGCCTGCTGACCCTCTCCGCCTATGCCTCGTCGCCTTCACCGTCGCCTCCGCCGCCCTTCGCCTTCCTATCGTCCTCTCTTTGGCTTGTTTGTCTCGAGTTTATCTTCGTCGACACACAGAATATAAAATGAAAAAAACCGTCAGGCGACATCTGCTTATCTAATCATGTGTTATTCCCTTTTCTTCTTCCCTCCAAGCGCAGTTTGACCGCAACAACCGAACAGCCTCTAGCAAGTTGCAGTCTTATGCGAGCTAGCTATATATATTAAATCTACACACGCGCATTTAACGACCGCGACGGCCCTCCTCGACGCTGCAGTGTTTCTTTCTTCATACTCCGTGCCGCCGGGCTCTTCTCTGACTTCCTCGCCGTCACCGTCGACGCTGTCCCGTCCGCCTCCGCATCCCCTTCTCCGCAATCGCCCCGGTCCGCTCGCCGCCCAGATTCAAGCAAAACGACATGTCTTGGGGCTGAAACCCGCATTCCCTAGACTGAAACATATTTTACTGGATTTATTTTAAAAAGAAGAGAGGGGGGCTCAGATACCGTGTTCTCTTCGACCCAGTCGACAGACGCACGCGCACACAGCCATGGACGATGACGGTGGTGCAGTCGGTGGTCGAAGTCGCAGGTATTTTACGCCTCCCGGTGATATCACTGTTTAGTAGATGTCCAGACGCTAACTCCAAGACCCGGTGAATAGGCGACAGTGGCCTAGCAAGAAAGATGGCGGTGTCGTTGTACAGGCTGGATGGACCAGCAGCGTCATCAATCTGGTCAACACAAGTGAGTGTCGTCATCTCTGCATAGAAGTGGTGAAACGGGGGGAGAACCACAGGCTAATATCTCTTCAGTCGTCGGTGCCGGAGCCCTGGCGATGCCGCACGCCATATCTCGCATGGGAATGTTTCTAGGAGTCACGGTTGTTCTTTGGGCCGGCCTCACTTCGGCTTTCGGGTTATATTTGCAGACACGGTGCGCTCGGTACCTGGAGCGAGGCACATCTTCCTTTTTCGCCCTCTCCCAGATCACCTATCCGAACGCAGCGGTCATATTCGATGCGGCAATTGCGATTAAGTGTTTTGGCGTCGGTGTCAGCTATCTCATCATTATTGGTGATCTGATGCCCGGCGTTATCGAAGGGTTCGTTGGTGGCACTTCTGGAGTTGATTTCTTATACGACCGGCATTTTTGGGTTACTGCGTTCATGTAAGGGCTTCTCCTCCATGCTTTGATTGAAATAATTTACTAACTACAAGTTCTTCCCAGGTTGATTGTCATTCCTCTATCGTTTCTGCGAAGGCTAGACTCGTTGAAATATACTAGTATTGTCGCCTTGATCTCGATCGGATATCTTGTCATTCTGGTTGTCGCCCACTTCATCAAGGGAGACACCATGGCTGACCGTGGCCCAATTCATTTTATTGAATGGCAGGGCCTTATTTCTGCCTTGAGCGTTTTTCCAGTCATTGTATTTGCATATACTTGCCACCAAAACGTACGTTGGGAAAAAAAACCCTGTTTCTGCTGTGCAAATTTTCATACTAATGCTCGTATTTTCCTGCAGATGTTCTCGATTCTTAATGAGATCGCCAACGATAGTCATTATAGAACAACTAGCGTGATCGTGACGTCGATCGGCAGCGCTGCAGCAACCTACGTTCTCGTCGGTGTAACCGGGTATCTCTCCTTTGGCGATACCATTGGCGGCAACATTGTTGGAATGTATGCACCATCATTAACGTCGACAATTGCCCGCGCGGCCATCGTTATCCTCGTTATCTTCTCCTATCCTCTGCAGATTCACCCATGCAGAGCATCCCTGGACGCAGTCTTGAAATGGCGTCCAAACAGCAACAAGTCTCCTGCAAACACCCATTCGCCAAATCGAAATCCTCTAATCCCACGAACAAGCCCACCAAGCGAGGGCATGAGCGACATGCGCTTTGCAATCATAACTACTGTCATTATCGTGCTCAGTTACATTGTTGCCATGACCGTTTCTTCCCTCGAAGCGGTGCTAGCATATGTCGGTGCAACCGGAAGCACAAGCATCAGCTTCATCCTCCCAGGACTATTCTACTACAAGATTTCTTCTCCCGAGTCAGCCGCCCACCAACGTCTGATGAAAGAAGACGACGAGCTGGATGCAGAGGAACACTCCAATGAAGTCAATCCTTCGGCCGATGCATCCCAAGGCCTTCTGGGTCAGTCCTATGCCCGCTTTATGTCCCGCTCTACCAGCCAATGGCGCCGAGGCCTTCTCCGCAAACTTAGTTTGGGCCTCGTAGTATACGGCGTCGTGGTCATGGTCGTCTGTCTGGTCACAAACACCTTCTTTTTAGCCTCAGACATCAAGGGATGAGCCATCCAGACTCTCTCTTTCACCCCACACCTACATACCTATCTATCGACCAACAGCTAATTCAATACAACCTACTTTATTCTCCCGTTAGCCTCCGCACCCCAAGGGGGGACATATGATCTTATAATACGGAGTAGCCTTGGGGTTATCGCAGTTCCGATCCTTTGGTCACCTGCTACATCCTATTACCTCAGCCTAACCGCTTGATAGGCTAGACCGCCTCTTTCCTTTGATCACACTGTATCAACAATCACTACGCTACCTTGCACCTTTTTTTTTTTTTTTTTTTTTTTTTTTTTTTTTTTTTTGTTTTCATAGAGCTCAACCATAATACTGGATAGAGCATATAGTTGCCACTTTTTTACTTGATGGCACTGTTCATTAACCTTCTTTTAGGAGTTTATCTCGGGGGTGTTCTTCTGGATGACTTCAACTTTTGTTTTTGAGCCTGTGGCATTTTCCAGCCAGTTCATTTCTTTCCTGGTAAGTGAAGGCGGGTTGGATATAGGATGGAGGGGAGACACAATACAGCTGATTTATCGGTGTATCTTGAATGAAGATCCAGATATCAATAGTAACAATACAAATACTGTCCAGAGCAATTTTTTACGTTACACTTGATAGGTATAAAATCCGTGAGGATAGAGAGAGGAGGCGTTTTGGATTATCCACGACCCAGTAATATTACCACCCTAACGGGGTAGGTAGAATAAAGATATTAGAAATAAAACAAATAAAAGGAAATAAACCAGTCGCTAGCAAATACCAGAAGCAATGAAAAAATGTTCGAATGAGAGAAAAGGGCGAGCCAAGCACAGATATCAACTTCCCACCGTCTGTTGCCATGTGTAAGTTTGAATCAAATGGCAATGCCAAGCCGTATAACAAGCTAGTTATTGCTCTGGTTGTTCAGGATTCGGAGGATGGATAGGAAAAGATTGATGATGTCAAGGTAGAGCGAGATAGCAGCGGCAATCTCCTCCTCGACATGATAGTGTCGCATCACAAGTTGCGTGTCAACAAGGATGTATCCGCTGAATATCAACGCGCCAACAGCCCCGTATATCAGGTCCATGGTCTTGCCAACTGGGAAGAAAGCCGCCACAAAGCCGAAGATCACCAAGAACCAAAGTGCACCGAATAGGTATGGCATCCATCCGGTGAAATCATACTTGGTCTGGCAGGCGAACAGGGTGAGGCCGATAAACAGTCCCATGGTGATGACGAGTGCCTGCATGACTATCCTGGAGTCGTAGAATGAGGTAATGACACTAATGGCGTATCCTTCAAGCAGGGTGAAGCCGCTGAGGAAGAGGAGATTGGTAGGGTAGCTCTTGCGCTTCCAGTATGTGAGGAGCATGAAGACTATGGCTCCGATGAGGGATCCGATCATAAGCCATGAGTGCGACTGGACCCAGGACTTGTATTTAGCGTTGAAAAAGGAGACGGAGCTCAGGGCGGTGGTGAGAATAAGCTGAACGGTGCTAGATGGGAGGAAACGGACAGTTAGCTTGACCCCCTTTTGAACGTCGCAGTGAAGCTGGCTAGGACGCTTGACTTACAGGATAGAGTATACTTTGCGAATGAACTGCATCCGAATAGGCATGGCTGCCTCCGCCACGGAGCCTCCATACTATTAACATCCAGTCCCGGTTAGCTACATTTTATACCGAACCAGGCGGTCTCAAAACGGGAGCAGGCAGCCATATTTTCGTCACAAGCGGATCAAGACATACCTTGAAGTCATCTGGAACGTTATCGTCTTCAGTTCTTTGCGTTCCATAGATTCCAGCGGAGGGGCCGGCGGCATCCTGATAAGATGGAGGGGCATGGGGATAGGTTTGGGTGTCCATGGAATCCCGCTGGGGGGCCTGCGAGTACCGGGCGTTTGACGCCATATTTGCGCAGTAACAGAGCTTGGACAAGGGGGGAAAGCTCGTAGCGGTGGGCTCTCGAGTCGACGACCAGGGAATATCCCACGGCAAACGAGGGCGTGCGAGTGTGCTGGGACGACGGGACGACGGGGACAGAGAAGGCTCCGGGGACAGCGGCGGCGGAGGGAGTCGCTATATATCCAGCGCAGCAGAAGGCGAAGGCCGCCACCAAGCACAGGCTGGGCCCTGACAGGGTCACATGACGGCTGCCGGCCCGGGCGACTGGCATATTCCGAAAGTTACGCTAGGATACAGAAATACCACCGTCTATTGGATGGCTGCTTTGATTACAGTACATGCGGTAACACGAGTACGAATACGTCAGACCTACCATATCGGGAAAAAGCCTCGGCAAGTTGCAATGGCTTGTAGTATTAGTCAGCAGCTGTCAGTTCCCTCCTGTGCAAGAGCGGGCGAGCTGCTTCCTGCGATCCGGCGGCCTCGCGGGTCTTTGGTGCCCTGGGGTGCGAGCGTTGTGTCACCGACACCCATGAACGCTCCGTAGCCAATGCATGTCGTCCGGGATATTCCACAGTCAGGCAGATGTGGATAATTGGACTGTCCACCATGAGACATCTATGTCTCATTTCTGATATTGTGCAGGATCAGTAAGGACTTATGTTTTAACACTAGGAACCATAAATCAGTCAACTTCCAATTAGTCTGGTATCTATTATTTGCTAGAATCTGCAACCAGGTTATTATTCTCGTCGTTCAATGTCAGAACCAGCGCGCATTTTAGGTTGTGCCTCGAAAAGCTTAAAATATTTAAGCACTCAAAAGTGGGGCCTTAGTACCTCGATCGCCACATTTTTATATTCCCTCCGTATCAGCGATATCTTTTTCTTGACAACCTTGGTGCACTTCGGATTAAAGAATAAGAGTCCCTGCATAATTACGAAGTCATGCATATTACTCTGGTACACTCGAGCCATGCAGCTTTTGTTTCAGTGCCTGTGGTTAGCAAGTACCCACAGAACTACGAAGTAGATATCCAAGTTATTCGATAAAAGTCTTGAATTATGCGCCTTCAGCAGATTCGATGAAATTAAGTTTCAATATCTAATAGTAGCGCTGGATTTCCATTCTTCCTAGCGCTGCGGAGATGTTAGATAACAATAGCCCTCACCTTTATATGGTTACTGGTACCTCCTTACAGTAGTAGGAAATGAAGCCGAATGTGGACTCAGGACAACGGAGATCAAGTTTACTCCGTATCAGCCATGCACACATCTATATCTTCTAGTTTATCATGATCTTATAGACATCTTTTTTTCTTCCAACAATCAATGTAATATTATTATAATTCGAGATCCAATCCAGGGCAATGATAGGCAGCCGAACCTGTCTAAAATGGTATAAATACGGCTAATAATACTCTGCTCAAGAATACGGATTTGAAATCGTCCGAGCATATGAGAGCAGCAATAATGGAAATAGAGCACGTCAACGGGATAGGTAAATGAGTAAATTGATTGGAAAATGCTAATTTGCAGTAAACAGGGGGGAAGTAGAATAAAGAAGAGTCTAGCCCACTTCTAGTGATCTCAGAATGAAACGCCAGTCACAAACTCCTCGTGCTAAATGTGTTAAGACAGCCATATGTTGCGCCCATGGTCCTCTAACCGATGCACCGGGCAGCTAGAAAGGAGGGAAATGAAAGCAAAGAAAAATGTGAAATGAAAAAGGGAATATGAAGGAAATATGGCAGGAGTAAATGGTCCTACTTCTGATGGCACCCCATCACATTGGGGAGCCGGCCTCAGGCTCACTCCCGGTGTCCTGGTCATCGTCAAGTTCGCAGTCCGAGTCGCTACCACCGAACATTTCCTCGAAGGAATCCTCGTCTCCGCTATCGACCCAGAAGTCCTCATCTCTTTCGACGGGTTTTGTAGGAGGTGCAATGCTAGCCTCGTGAGAGGTAGGCATCTCGTAGCCGTCTGGGATGTCCTTGAGTGATCGCTCAACTTCAGCCTTGACGCGCTTCTTGTAGGCTGCTGGGTTGCTGCGGAGTTGCACGCCGGCCTCGACGTTGGCAGGCGAGCTGACTTCTGCGTCGTCGAGGAGGGAGATAATCGAGATCAGGACAGACTCAACTCGCTGGGCTGGCGACCAGCGTTCAGACGCGAGTTCCCCTGACATTTCGTCCTCGCCGGGCTTGTGTAGGATGGAGATGCATACGTAGCCGTTGTCGTAGATGTTAGGATGCCAGAGAGATGGAGTGAATCTGAATTCTATAAGTAGGCAAAAGTCAGATGTCAGCCCTGTTCCGTTCCAGTTCACTTTATAACTACCGCCGGCCCCCTTTTGCTCGCGTGATATGTCTGGAAGGGGGGTTTTAGGCAGCAAGGTGAGGTCCTTACGTGGAGGTGAATAAGGGTAGTTTCTGGGGAAAGTGATTTTTCCTTTAAAGTAGCCGCCGTGGTAAAGTGAGTCCGGGTTTAGGACGATCAGAGCAATGTCCCAGTTGAATATGTCATCGTTGCTCAACTGCGCGACACCATTTTATCAGCAACCGCCTGTATATTTCTTCACCAACAGAACCCCGACAAAAGAACAGGAGAGAAAACAACTGACTTCGATGTTTAGCCACTTCTCCTTCACCAGAGACTTGTATTCGTTCATCAAGATGCGTTCGGCCATGGCTGATATCGCGAGCGACAGATGGGGCACTTCTTGGAAAGGTTTTTGCGGAGAAAACCGTGGAGGCAGTTAAGGCAGGCTAGGAAAGGCCAGGAGGTTTTTAGGCTAATAAATAAAAGAGAAGCCGCTGGAAGAGGTGAGAAGGCGATGAGAAGTGAAGGAGTCTATCTTCTCCGTCTCCTTTTCTTCTGGTCTGAAGGACTTTGCTGCGTGAGGGTTTTACTTGCCCCCTTCCAAGGCCCTTTTTCATTAAAAATAGCTAATGACGGGGGCAGAAAAAGGTACATCGTGATATCGTTGGGCGCTTCGAAGGGCCGAACGACCCACATGACCGCCAAACCTTTCAGCTTAACCACGGCTGCGATGGCCGTCTTATCGCCGAACACAAGGACAGATGACGTTTGGCCGCAGACGGCGAAGACGACGTCGAGCAGGAGTGGCGATGTCGTTACTGTTCTCCAGCACGCCATTACACCTTGCTTGAGGGCAAGCTATCTGGTGATCATGACCTCGCCGTGGCAGCGGGTGGTTAGGGACGACGTTGGCTGGCGACGACTTATACCCCCCAGAAACGACGGGCTTAACCATCGTCTTCCATCTGATAAACAGGATAGACGGAGCCGGATAACAGACCAGACAATTGAATACTCTCAAGGCTCGCCAAATACATCGAAGGACGTTTGTACCAGCAGCAGCCGCCACCACACATGTATTAGCCAGGTACCTATCAGCCAGGTACCGGAGGCTCGACCGACCTATGAGGTTTGATTCTGGCGAAAGTGAACCACATCTGTGTGTCACTGAAAGGCAAACGATTCTACCTCTTGATATCAGGTTATCGTGGACAGGCCGACGCATCTCTATGAGGCTGGCTTGACAACAGCGTCAAAAGCACCGTTCTAGCCCTTAGACAAGAGTCCGATACTGTGAATAGGAACAAGAATAACAGTTACCGCACCCATGGTGTCTTACATTCTCGAGGAGTTCTTCAAAGACGCTAGAGAATGGCGACGGGGATAGAGGACTGTCTTGACCATGTGCTGTCTATAATGGTGTTTGTTCCCCGGAAAATATCGCCAAGGGACAGGGACAAACGACATTCGCCGCAGGATCCGGGGAGAGGTATATACCAGATACCACTTCAAAGAGGACTACGCCCTGCCATTATGCACCGTGGGGCCCAAAAAATATATCTCCTCCGCTACTATCAACAGATAAGGAGCGCAGAGGATGTAGCTCTTTGTACAGGGACAAGGACTGCAGGGACAGGCATACATCGATCACTTGCAGAGCTCCAGTAATGTCTAGAATTGACCCTTACCTGCAGGTGTTTACCATGCCCGGACTTACTTACTTACGTTCTGGAAGCACTGGGAACAGCGGTATGGGACGCACTCTCCGCATCCGCCAAGGCCTCTCCTTGACGGATGAACACTGTCTCTTTTCCCCGGCCGCCTCCCAAGATTAATTATATACCAAGATTCAAGATATAAACATCACCTATGCAAAGAGCCTGAGTCAGGCGCCAATAATATGTGTGAAGGAGTGTAACTGAGCAGCCACAAGGCTTCGCGGTCCTAAGGAAATGCTATGAATGGCCACGTCCCTGAAATGTCGAAGAAGAAATCTTAGGCCGAGAAACCTAGCCAGGGTCACATTTTAGACTACACAGAAACGAGGGGGATGTGCACAACAACGTGTGATCCCCATGGGATAATGCCTGCAACACCCCCATGCCATGCTGGCAACCGACATCGGTTAAAAATCTAAAAACCCATCAGTTGATGATTTCTGACCAAGAAAAAGAACGCTTGGTATAGAACTATAGTCTGGGTAATAATAACTATATTGTCTCTTCCGCAGAGGAAGCTTGGCTCCATGGTCCAGGGGCCCATATAACGTCCCGTAGATAGCGACTACTCGCTTCTTCTCGAGATGGCTACAAGCGGGAAGCTGTTCTTATCACGCCATTAACCCCATATGCAACCCTTGTCCGATGATGCGGAGAAAAAAAGCACGTATTAACGAGCTAGCATATTAGAGGAGATTTTAATATTTTATATATAGAAGTCGGCGACCGTTCGACCGGAGGCTCCCTTGCCCTGGCATGCCACTCTCCCGAGCCAGAACGAGTCTAAATCAATTTTCCGGGTAGCTCGCGGGAAATCCGACCAATATTTTCTCCTTGGACTGCCTGAGAAGTGGTATCGGCCTCTTTTCCTGTTTGGTAGCTTGCTAACTAAACTAATCCGTCGCCACTACTGTGCAGCAGTTAGTTAATTGAGATTTCAGCGTCCAAAGATCAGAGCAGGGTTCATGCCCTCGGCCACCTGCCTTGCAGCGACTAGAGTTGCTTGTTAACCCAGTCTGGAAGAGACCGAGATGACGGTTCAAAAAGCCACTAAATTAGTTAACATTATCACTGTCCTGATGTCTTTTAAGACGCCGGCGCTCGCACATTCATCTGCATATGAGAGTGAGGAGATTCTGGGGTGCATCAAATCGAGATTCAAGCACACGACATCTCGCACAGTGCTTCAACGGAGGGCGGGATGAAGCGAGCTGGTGGTGTGAGAATGAGAACTTGCAAGATAAGAGAAGTGAAGAGGCCTTCTTCGTTCTAGAAGTGCCATGGAAATGTCTCCGTGTCGGAGCTCGTATCGAAGGTCATCGAAGCCGGGGTTTTTCCCTGTTGGTTGGTTGATACCCCCTGGCCATATTCACAAAATCTGGACGACAGGGGTCACCAAACCATCATCTGAATGTTCATGCCTCGTTCTCGGACTGTGAGAACAGGACTGTTCAAGTATCCTTCAAACAAGATTTATACCCCATAAACACTTAGCATTCATGCATCTTGGCTCTTCGAATCACCACCATGGCTCTTGAGATCCCGTCTGGAACCCCTGTCTGAGTAAACCATCACCACCTAGCACACAGAAAACCAGAGGAAGGACTAAACATTCAAAGGGCAGAATTCAGCTCAATAGAGACTGAGATACTCAATCTGGATAATCTATGCCGTGGCTCATGTGATTAATACCTGTTGACGGCCATTCTGCAGAATGTCATGCTTGATTGCAAAACCGGCAATCAAAGGCATGTTTATACACAACAATGGGGCATCCTGATTCCTTTAGCACCGTATGGTGAGCAGGGAAGAATCTCGCTTCTTCGCCCCACGCTCAGTGCTGGGCATTGGGGGAGGGTCATTGAACAGCAAATACCTGGACGGTTATACTTCGCTCCCCTGTATACCGTCTACGGCCACTTGCTTCTCAGCTGAGCAGTGGCTGTTGGAGTCTTCCCTCCAGATGGACAGGGGGGAGTATGTCTATATAAACCGCCATGGATAACCTCAAGGGAAAGCCAGAGAACCAGCAGCTTTCCCTCAATCCTCCCAATCCCACCCCTTGATTACCAGTCGGGCAGAATTCCCCCCGTCAGACACCATGCATGGACTTTTGCTTGCGGGGCTGTTGGCTCTCCCCTTGAATGTGCTTGCTCACCCTACTGAATCACACAGCTCTGGTGTAAGCCGAAGGGCCATTGATATCACTTCATATCGCCTTCCCCAAATATCCAAATATACCAAGAGCGACGCCGTTCCTAAGCAGGATGGCGAGAGCTTCACTACCTCGAGCACTGGGGATGACAATGTCAGCTCTGGTGACTACGTCACTACAGCCACCAACTGGTTGAAGAAGACCCTTCCAAAGGCAACTTATCGTCTTGTCAACGATCACTATATCGGTGATAGCGGAATTGGCCATGTCCACTTCCGTCAGACTGCTCACGGAATTGATATTGACAACACCGATTTCAATGTTAACGTAAGTGAAATATATCACTGCCCATTATCTTCAGGAATAAAATACTAATAAATATGTATAGATTGGTCGTGATGGAAAGGTCTTTTCGTTCGGAAACTCCTTTTATGATGGAGAGATCCCCAAGGCCAACCCAATGGTCAAGCGTGACTTCTCAGACCCCGTCAATGCTTTGCACGGAGCAATTCAAACTTTGAATCTTCCTGTCACCGCGAAGCCTGAGAATGTCAAGGCGAAGCCTGTTGAGGGTAAAGAGAACTTCAAGTTTGAAGGTACCTCCGGAGCCCTTTCCGATCCCAAGGCCCAACTTGTCTACCTGCAGAAGGACGGTGGCCTAGTTCTCAGCTGGAAGGTTGAGACTGATGTTGGTGACAATTGGCTGCTCACATATGTTGATGCAAACAAGAACGACCAAGTCCACTCTGTCGTTGACTACGTTTCAGCTGCCGAATACCAAGTATAGTATGTCTCTGAGTCTTCTTCATTAAAGGAATAAGAAGCTAACTGGATCATAGTCCCTGGGGCATCAATGACCCTACTGAGGGAAACCGAACCTCCATTCACCTTCCTTGGCTCAAGACCCTGTCCACCGACTGGCACATTGATGGCAAAGGCTGGTACCCAACTACTCGGGGCAATAATGCTATTGCTCAGGAGAACCCTACCGGCCATCCTGAATACGAAAACAACTACCGCCCAAAGAGTCCTCTTTTTATCTTTAAGTATCCATACAGTTTGGCAATGACCCCTCCATCATCGTATAGAGATGCATCCATCACCCAGCTATTCTATACCACTAATGTTTACCATGACGTGCTTTACATCCTTGGCTTCAACGAGAAAGCAGGAAACTTCCAGATTAACAACTGGAACAAGGGTGGTGTTGGAGGAGACTTTGCTATCCTTAACTCCCAGGATGGGTCTGGCGTAAACAACGCCAACTTTGCTACGCCTCCTGATGGTCAGCCAGGACGTATGAGAATGTACACCTGGAACGCTTCTACTCCAGAGCGTGATGGCTGCTTCGAGGCTGGCATTGTCATCCATGAATACACTCATGGAGGTGAGCTCAACTAACTTATTAACTATGATATTAAGAGTCATCATTTCACTAACATGGGGTTTTTTACTAGTCTCCAACCGACTGACCGGAGGTCCAGAGAATTCTCGCTGCTTGGCCGCTCTTGAATCTGGTGGCATGGGCGAGGGATGGAGTGACTTCTTTGCTACCGCCATCCGCCTAAAGCCTGGAGATACCCGTGCTACTGACTATACCATGGGCGAGTGGGCATCCAACCGACCAAACGGTATCCGCAAATACCGCTACTCCACCAGCCTTACCACTAACCCACACATGTACGTTGATGCCGATGGCTTGACCTCTGTCCATGCCATTGGTACCATTTGGGCTTCTATGCTCTACGAGCTTCTCTGGAACTTGATCGATAAGCACGGCAAGGGAGACGTCACCAAGATCAGGCCAGTCCTGAAGAATGGTGTCCCGACTGACGGCCGCCACCTCGCTATGAAGATCGTTCTCGACGGCATGGCCCTGTTAGTATTCCTCCTGCTTAAATATACCCGCCATCACTAGTAATGCATGCTAACATCCAACTCTCCACAGTCAACCATGTCTCCCCAACTTTGTCCAAGCCCGTGACGCCATCCTCGACGCTGACAAGAACCTCACCCAGGGGTCCAACAAATGTGAGATCTGGAAGGCATTCGCTAAGCGCGGTCTCGGTGTCGGCGCTGCCTTTAACCAGACCAAGAGAACCGGAAGCAACGAGCTTCCTGCTGGCTGCTGAGGGGACGCGCTCTGTTTATAGATTAGATTAAAAGAAAGTTTGAAAATCCGATCTGATAAGAGATTAACTTTATGCTTATATAATAGCCGAGACACGCCACTCGGTATAACTTTAGTCCTTATTAGTCATCACGCATATAAAAAAGCAAAGAAGAAAAGAAGAAGAAACAAGCAGAAAGGAAAGCCGAAAGGGAACGAAAACAAGAGGATCGATCAAGCGGTGAAGCTCAGATGAAGCTGCAGCTTACTCCATACTCCATAATGCAGGCTTGATAAGGGCGCAGATGTTTGCATGGAAGAAGCCTGAGCCCTCCCCGGCTCATGGATGGTGATAGTAAGATTGATGTTTTTATATACGAAAGTACCGTCCGAGATGAGTCAATGGAGAGAAGCTATACGAAGTGCATCCTTACCTGAAGCGTTTCCCCCGAGCCCCAAACAACAAGATTTGGCTTTGGGAGCTTTCCTTTTCTCCCAAGAAATTAAAGAGAGATCCATCTCCGCTTCAAAGTGGTGATAGCTGCGATCAGACCAAGCAGCGGAGGCCGTAAAAGGGGAATATTCGACAAGCAGCAATAGTCAAGAACACAGTCGAGTCCACTTCTGCACCCCACCGCCTGCAAAGTGCCGGGATACGGTCAACAGAGTCAGCAGAAGGGGCATCACGAGAACTGCCCCCCCTGTTCGTTCATCCTTGACGTCCAGCTAGGAGCAGCAGTCTAAACGGCCAGTCGTAGAGCGTGCTTGTCGCGGATAACTAGCCATCCGGAGAAGCGTAAAGTATAGAGGTCGAGTAGGCTCGGTAGGAATGCAATGCGAGTGCGAGGGTGGAGAAGGCTTGTCGCCCTTTGGTGGTGTTGGAAGCAACCACAGGGAGTCGTTTTTGGCTGTTTGGACGCCTCTTCTGGTGCTGGTCGGAGCCGTGCGACTACGGAAAACAAGTCTTTCCGTGACTCAGTCAAGCAAAGCCCTGGCACGCTTGTTCGTATTAGTTAGTGAGTTCGCCGTTGTTATATTAGAAACAGCTTCTCGCTGTTCGAGTCCGCGGTTGCTGCCTGGCCTCGCCTCCCGCCATTCCCATTCCCAACCACGCCGCGAAATTTCATAACCGACCAAACGACGAAAAACGACAGAAAACGGATAGACCGACAGAACATAGCGAGCCCGAGAGCACACAAGCTGCTGGCAGACGTCAAGCTGATGACTGCAATGTCCGCGGCGTCTTGGTTTCCTTGTACCGTGTTGTCGCTCATTGGCTAGAGAGCTCCGGCGTGTCTGACATGCTCCATCTGATAACATAACCGCCTCCTTCGTTACTCCGTACTATTATTGAAATATAGCCATCGTTAATACACCAAAAGCAGAGCTGGCAGAGAGAGACTGGCCAGCCAGAGCTCGTCTTCTTGCGTCTGCTTGCCATGGAAGACTGTGGTGGACGCCCGATCTGGGACGTCGATGACCTGTCAGAATGCTTCCAGAGAAAGTGAGCAAATCCTTGCTGAGCCTCTTCCTTTCTTTTTTCCACGTTTTCTTCTACACCCGATTTTTGGGGGATCCCGAAAGCATTTGTCTATATCAACAGAGAGCTAATCGTGTCTTCTCCGTGAAATAGGTTCCTTGGTTTTATTTTCCCGATAGCTGCCTGTGCGATCTCGCTGTTCTTTGTCCTTGCACACATCCTGCTTTACCGGATTGCCGAGTACCGAAGAAGACAGTATAAGAGCGTCCCATCTGATATCGTGGATGTACACACCAATGGAGCTGAGGAGGTTGGCTACAGAGATGATGGAGATGAGGAGAGTGACTTGATGCTCAATAAGGTAATCAGCCGTACGGCAGATATACTGATTGAGCCTGATAAGCCGCGGTGGAAGACGCTGGTCAACACCGTCGAAATACTCACCCTGGTTGGCCAGGTGGTTACGAACGGCATTGCCGTTGCAGCTGTTTCCAATGCCACCGGTTCCCAGATTTCTGCCATTGCCCGGCTGGCTTCGTGGACCTATATTCTCGCTCTAGCTGTTGGGCGAATTGCCTCTTCACCATCTAGATGCCCGTCCCTACCGAAACTATGGAACCATACAGCCTCCCTATACTCATTGCAATGGCTCTTCATCATCTTACCGTTCCGCTCGATCTTAATCCACCATCCAAAGAGCATTGTTTTGCCCTTCTTTGCCACTGATTTCAGTCTCTCCTCTATACTATTCCTAATTGCTTTGACAACTCGCAAAGGCGAAGAGACTATCCTTGTCCAGCATGAAGATGGGCTAACCCCACCTAAAGATCAGTTTGCCAGTCTTTTCTCCTTGGCTAGTTTCTCCTGGATGGATACTTTCATTGCTATGGGGTATAAGAAATCCTTGGAAATCAAAGATGTCTGGAACCTCAAGCCCGAGGGACATGCAACTGCGGTTCTGGCCAATTTCCGCCAGTATAAGAAGGCTTGCACTATGGCATGGAATCTCGTGGGATACTTCTCCCGTGATCTGTTTATCCAAGGTCTCTGGGCAATTCTAGCTGGACTTTTCACATTCCTCCCTACTTGGCTTCTTAAGTTCATCCTGGAGTATGTTGAAAACCCCGACGAGGTACCCGTGAGTGCTGCATGGCTCTATGTCATCCTTATTTTTGTTTGTGGAGCTGTCATGGCTGTCGGAGATGGCCAGTCTCTATGGCTCGGAAGGGAGCTTAGTGTCAAGCTCAGAGCCATTATCGTCGGCGAGCTATACGCCAAGGCTCTCAGACGTAAAGCCGGTGCGTTCGTTGGAAGTTCTCACAAGGATGAAGACGATACCAAGGATAAACTGAAGGGGTCCAAAAAGGCAAAGGGCAAGGATAAAGAAGACGGCAAGCCAGAGACTGAAAAACAGGCAAACCTGGGCAAGATTATAAACTTGATGGCTATTGACTCGTTCAAAGTCAGCGAAATCTGTGCATACCTGCACTTCCTGTGGGCAAGTGTTCCCTCTCAGTTCATCGTGGCCGTATACTTCCTTTACCAAGTCTTGGGAATCAGTTCTCTAGCTGGAGTTGCAATGACGATTTTAATATCCCCATTGAACGTTTACATCGCCAGCAGGTTCCGAGCTGTCCAGTATCAGATCCTCGCAGCCACAGATGCTCGTATCCATGCTACCAACGAAGTGTTACAGAATATTCGAATCATTAAATACTTCGCTTGGGAGCATCGCTTTGAGGGCATTATCGACGAAAAAAGAAGAACTGAGCTAAAGTATATACGCTCACGTTACCTGCTCTGGGCATGGGCTGTGACCCTTTTCTATGGAACACCGCTTGTCACATCTCTCTGCACTTTCTACATTTTTACCCACATTGAAAACAAAAAGTTGATACCGTCAATTGCCTTCCCAGCCTTGTCCATGTTTTCCCTTCTTCGTGTGCCCCTAGATCGACTGGCCGACATGGCAGCTCACGTTCTGGAAGCCAAAGTTTCCATTGATCGTGTTGAAGAATTTTTGACTGAAGAAGAAACTGAAAAGTACCAACAACTAAAGGACTGCGATGATGAAGACCCTAAGATATGTCTGGAAAACGCTACTTTGTCTTGGGGGTCCAGCAGGATGGATTCTAACAATATCTTGGGCAGCACTGCTCCAGCTTTCCGACTGATTGATGTCAACGTGAATTTCCAGCTTGGAAAGCTTAATATCATTGCTGGTCCGACTGGGTCGGGAAAAACCTCCTTGCTCATGGCTCTCCTGGGAGAGATGAGCTTAATCAAGGGCTCCGTGTCACTTCCCGGAGCCACCAGTGACAGAGCTGACCTTCGTCCTGACCCAGTGACTTCATTGACAGAGAGCGTTGCTTACTGTGCTCAGGAAGCCTGGTTGGTTAACAACACTATAAAAGAGAACATTATCTTTGCATCAAGCTACGATGAGAATCGATACGAAGCTGTGATCAAGGCCTGTTCTCTGGAACGTGATCTAGAGATTCTAGATGCTGGTGACCAAACTCTAGTCGGTGAGAAAGGTATCAGTCTTTCAGGCGGTCAGAAGCAGCGAATTTCTCTCGCTAGAGCAATGTATAGCAGTGCTCGCCATTTGCTCCTCGATGATTGCCTCAGCGCCGTGGACTCGCATACTGCCAAACACATCTTCAACAATGCTATTCTTGGTCCACTCATGATGAACCGTACCTGCATTCTGGTTACGCATAACGTCTCACTCGTCTTACCACAGGCTGAGTACGCTGTCATACTTAAGAACGGCCGTGTTACCGCTCAAGGATCTCCAAAGGATCTCATTGAGGCTGGCGCCATCGAAGACGATATTCTCAAAGCAGGCTCTGGTTCCCGTGGACCCTCACAGTTGGCTTCCCGTGTGCCCTCGAATCTGGAAGAAGTTGTCGCTGCCCAAGCAAAGGACACTACTGCCGCAGGAACAAATGGAGTCGCCAGACCTTTGAAGAAGAAGAAAGCAACCGCAGCCTCACCACCAACTAATGAAGAAATGAAAGTTACTGGAAGTGTACCAATGTCCACTATCTACATGTACCTTCGTGCCATGGGTCCGTGGTACTACTGGGCTCTGGCAATGATATTCTTCGTCCTTCATCAGCTCGCATCTCTAGCACCAAACGTATGGGTCAGACAATGGGCCAATGCGTATGAGATTAGAAACAATACTCAGAGCGTATCAGTTGCTGGTTTCGATGTGCCCAGCTTGAATTTTGGGCGCACAGCCGCAACATCTCTTATGTCCCAAGCACCGAACGAGTCTCTGCTCTCTATCGCACGAAGGAAATATGCTGACATCGACGAGTCGTACTACCTTTGGATGTACCTTCTGCTTACAATTGCCTACATTATCATTACTTTCATTAGAGAGTGGATTTTCTTCTGGGGATCTCTTCACGCATCCATGAAAGTCCACGGTTGGCTACTTCGTGCCGTAATGCGAGCCAAGTTCAAGTTCTTTGATTCCACGCCTTTAGGCCGCATTATGAATCGCTTTTCAAAGGATATCCAGTCTATTG